TCATATTCATATGGTAAAATATTATTTTACCAACTATTTACTAACCCTCAAAGGGTTGCATATAGTTTAACAGAAAAAAAAAACTCATAAAGGTTTGCAACAAGTGGAGGGTAAGTAAATGATGATAGAATTTTCACTTTAAGCTGAACTATCCATTTCTTTTTATCCAATTGCAAATATATTTACATTTCTATGATTCTCCCTTTCTGTTTTTTAGATACACCATTTTTCTAAAAGATTTCCTGCACTGTAAACCCTAATGCTGTAACTAATTAATTGAGTTGAGTTCTATTAACTTAAATCATTAAAATTCGTTTATCTTAATTAACCTTGATGAGTATTTAGAACTTTTTCTTATTTTTGAGTTTGTAAAAATTTAATCTTTCAAGTAAGGTGAACAATTCTGCTGGGTTTAATCTATACAAAATGTCTCTTTAAAGTTTCATTAACTCAAATTCTGTCAGCCTAGTGATTTTGCGTCTGACGTCATCCAGGTTCACGTACGTGCTCATGCTTCATTCGTTTTTTTCAAGATGGCGGATCGGCCTCGCTTCACACTACAGTAAGTAAAATATTTACAAATCCAAGAAATATTAAATGTATGTTTTAATTAATATAATCACAGTAACAGTTCAATGTAATGTAGAGTTAATCAGGGTGCGTTTACATGTCGTACATTACAGAAAACATGTTTAGCCTCACTTGTTGCTAACTAACGTTAACATTACTGTTTAAAAAGTTAGAATCAGTGCAATGTTAGCGTTAGTTGTAATGTGTTAACTCTGAATTTTAACAGAGTGTGATAAAGACAAAAATATTTAAAATCGGCAGATTACATTTTTCAAAAAAATTTAAATCTTGGCGCGAGTATGCCTTTTCTCAGCCTGTGCTGAAGTTGTCATGGAGACGTGCGCTCTCACAACCGCATGTCATGGCGCTGCGCTGAACTCCATCCAGTCTGTGAATGTGGTATTATCTTCGCGATCTGTAGGCACTTCGGAAACGAAAGGCGCAAGAAACGTAACGTTAATCATAACTCAAATGATCTCCGCCTAAACACTTAACGGTATTTTCTGATGACGCGCAAAAACGTAGTCTCAAAACTTAACTCTGTCACACGCAGCTTGTTGCTTGCTGATCCATGTATGAGGATAGCCTGACGGAGAACATTTAAGCTGCGCTCCTCACCTGAGCAGGTACAGAGCAGAGCTTCATTTTACACTACCACATTGAGGTAAAGTTGGTTTTATATTCATACATTCATTTAGTAACAACTTGTGACTCGCTCCATAAATTGTTTACCATGGTTCTTTGTCTATTCGTTCTGAAATCACATGCAAGTATGACATGAAAACAACATTACACTAAATGCACTATTTTTTTTGACTGAACAATGTTGTACTTTGAAAGTCATTGGCTGCTAATATGATTTCACCATTAAGAATATGCAAAAATTACCTTTCTGAAATTATATTATTAAGGAGAAAGTCTGAATGTGTAAATATAAAACTAACTTTACCTCAATCACCAGCACTGATCAACACTTAATATTTCCTCGCGCTTAAGACGACATCTCTGCATATCAATGATTACCTGATTAATGCGATCAGTTAAGTGAGTTTAAATGTCATTTAGGTCAAATGTATTTTAAAGGTATGATAAAAGTTTGTTTTTTTTTCAATCTATTTTTTAAAATGTCTACTCTGGAGAGAATATAAACAGCCTAAAAAACAAAGTATGCATATCTATAACACATTAATACAAAATTATGTTATTAAATAAAATAATAACAAAACAAAATATTCAAGACGTGGTAAAGAAGACAGTTTTCTGATGTGCAAATTTTGTAGCTTAAAATATATATTTATATCTTAAAAATATAAATATTTTAGTCTATATATTTTTACATCATTAGACAATAAGGTAAGTTTTGTTATTTCTAGCTTTTAAAATCAGGCCTTAAATTTCTTTGTCGTCCTATTCAGTTTTAGAAATTTCAATACTGTTTAAATCTGTGTTCATCGAATTAAAGCAACTAACATGATAATCAGCTCTATTGCTAACCGTTTTGGAGGTTAACGTTAGACATCAGGCAATTGTACTACTTCCACTCTCAGCTAAATGACACTATGACTTTGTGTACATACAGATTTGAAGGTCAGGTGTTGCTGACTACAGATAGGTTCTTAAATGGAGGCATGTGAAAGGTGGGTAAAATATTTATTTTGTACTACTATGCCTGGCATATCCAGATAAAATAAATATTACAGTGTATTTATCAATGATACTTTTGCAGCAAGGAAAGTGAAACTTCAGCTAGACCTTGAGTTCAGTTTACAACATGAAGATCCTGCTTTCAACATCTGATCAACACCTGATTTTCATCTGAGGTAAAAAAAATAGATAAGTAAATGAAACATAATAATAATATTAATACATTTTTTCTAGAATTGTATATTTTGTGGTGTGGGTTTGTTTTATGAAATTCTCTCTTGTTTCTTTTTGCTGTTTGCAGAGTACCAACATGTTACAAATGAGAATTTTCCCCACAAATTCTTTGCACAACTGGACCACCACCTATTTCATTTGATGACAATTTTAAGGCAAACAGCATCCAAAACTGGCAAGACAGCAGATACCCTGGCTAATCTTTTAAAGGTTTATGATGAGCAGGTATGTTTGGGGTCACGTGTTAAAGTATACATTAAAATATAATTTGAATTATTATCATTTTTTTAATTTTTAAAAAATTGATTCTTGATTTCCAGGAACTGCATGATGTCAGTTCATGACGGACTACTGTTATCAGAGGTCTTTTGGTCTTGCTGCGTGAGCGTGACTTAAGATTCTTTAGGAACACCATGGTAAGACTTCATTCATTCTTTTCACAATTAGGCATGTTTAATGAAAAGATGAAAGTTTTGAAAATTTTTACTTAATAACATATTTGTAATCAAGAATAGTTGATGAATCATATAATATTGGCTCAGTCATTTTGATACTGTCCTTACATTAATATCCTTGAATTATGTTTTTAGATTGATAATCCTGCTGACTGAAGATGCTTTATTGGCCCTGCATTCACTGAGGGTCTCTGTTGTCCTGAAGAATGAATTGGACACCACCCACAGCACACTTCCAGACCTTTCTTGTCTTGTATGGATTAATGTATGCTCTTCACATAATATATAGTACAGGACTTTGAACTTGTGCAAAAAGTTTTGCTTGGCATGGATGATGGAAAATAAAAAGTCTCGAAGCATGGAAACCTTAAAGAATGAGTTGATGTAGAGCTTTTTTTTTTTTACTTAATAAAGACTGTCTCTGGGGTAGTAACTTCAAAACATTTATTTACCTTTAATTGGTAAGTATGCATTTTATTATATATAGGGATAGTTTGTCCAAATGTAAAATTCTGTCATTTACTAACTCTTCACTTGTCCCAAACCTGCTTGAATTTCTTGCTTCTGTTGAACACAAAAGTTAAGTAAAGCTGACAACCTGTAACCACTGACTTTCTAATAGGAAAACAAATACTGTGGAAATCGGTGGTTACAGGTCTCAGCTTTTTTTTTTTTTTTCAACAGAAGAAAGAAACTCAAACAGGTTTGGAATAAGTAAATGACAGAATCATAGTTCAACCAAGACTGAATATATATATATATATATATATATATATATATATATATATATATATATATATATATATATATATATTGTAACGAGCGCACACATGCCACGTCGCCCTGGTCGCTAATTCAACCCAGCTGGACCATCATCAACACAGGATCGTTCACAGCTGGACGTCATCAAGTGGAGAGGCATATAAACCAAGCCCACGCAAGGAGAAGATGAGCTTCATTCACCCAATGACTCCATGCGCTAACGCTTGTCTCTCTGTCTCTCCACAGCAGACTCCAGCTCGTGACGATCCCACATCCGACTACTCATTGTCCTTCACTTACTTCCCGGAGCACCAGAGCACCTCACCTTGAAGAAGAGCACCGTTTACACCCCATTCACGTTGTAAATAAAGCACCCTTCGGGGACTTGTCTGTAAACTTATCCAACTGTGTCGCTGTTTTCCCTCTGCCTCGCTACAATATATATATATAATCTGCTCTCGGTTAAACAGAAATTGGGGGAAAAATAAATGGGGGCGAATAATTCTGACTTCAATGATATATATATATATACACAGTTTCTGTGTAGTTTACACTAAACGAGTCACTTCACAGAATGTGCACTTATTATTTTTTTTTAACGAATGCCTTAAGAGTAAGTTTTACACTTATTAATGTATTATTAAATTTTATCAAACTTATAGTTGTTTTTTCTTGAGGCTCTTATGTCTGATATCATATTTACATTGTGGGTAATTTTTATTAATTTCAGAATAGTGTTCATTTTCAATCTCTATGTCTAATAGTTTTTATCGTTTTAAGACATTTGTAATTGCATAGGAGACAAATTTGAAAGTACTGTTGGACAGTTTTTCTTTAACAATAAATGTCTAAAATGGTATTGTCTGTGTGTTTTAAATTACAGATTTATGGGGTTTAAAGATTAAAATAATGGCTAATTTTAATTGTGAACTGACGATGGAGAAGTTAATTTAAAAAAATGCTATCAAAATGTATGAGCTGGGTGACTAAGTATGTAAAGGTGAGATAAATAATTAAAAATAAGTTAATTGCTATTAAAATGTATGAGCTGGGTGATTTAAGTATTTAAAGTTGAAAGAAATTAAAGCAATTAAGTTAATTGGTATTAAAATGTTTGAGCTGGGTGACTAAGTATTTTAAGTTTGGAAAAATTAAAACAATTAAGTTAATTGCAATTAAAACGTATAAGCTGAGTAACTTGGGTATTTTAAGTTAGGTGAAGTGTCTTGCATGAGTACAACAAACTCAAAACTTAATGTTTCTGTTTACTTAAAATAGATAATTTCATAACTTAAAAAATTTGACGTAACTGATTACCTCAAATTTTTTGAGTTTTGTCAACTTATTCGGGATTACAGTGTGGAGTCTGCAGAGCAACATTTTTTGTTGGGTTTCGTGTGCACTATTATGTCTTCACCGATCATCCAGAGCAGGTTCCTGATGTGAAACTGGGTGGAGAACGTAAACTGACGGTGATGACAGTCAATAGTTCGAGCAGATGGCAGGAGATGAGTTTGGGCAGGATGAAAAGGCTGGAGATGCTGATTGAGAGTGGACTGGTCAATGATGCTGACTATCTTTTCAGTCTTGATGTGGATACAAAGTTCTACGGCCGCTGGGGAGCAGAGTCTTTGGGTGATCTTATAGGTGTGATACATGCATGGTATTATTATACACCTCGTGAGCAATTCCCATATGAGAGAAGGCCTGAGTCTCAAGCGTTTGTCCCTTTTTCTGAGGATAATTATTATTAGGGTGGAGCTGTGCTTGGTGGTTCAGTGAAGCAAGTATATCAGCTTGCTAAAACCTGTCGAGAGCAGCTGGACATTGATGCAGCTAAATCCATTGAGACAGCATGGCAGGAGGAGTCCCATTTGAACAAGTACTTCCTTTATAACAAACCCAGTAAACTGCTTTCACCTGAATATTCTTGGGATAAAACAAAGACTAAACAAGACCAGATCAAAGTCATTCGCTACTCTCATATTCCTAAAAACTATGCTGAAGTTCGTCCAAACAAATAGAAGCTGTTATAGAGAGAGATGCAAAAATGGGGTGTGAAGTATGTGCAGAGCAAAATGTGCAATTGTTTAAAAAAAAAAAAAAAAAAAAAACTTTATTAAACTGTTTTAAGTCATAATAAAGAAATTTGTTTAAAATGAGATTTTGGCACAATTTATTTATTTATTTTTTTTTAATTTAGGGTAGGAAAATGAATAAATGACTTTAAAATTCATTATACACATGTAGCTGGTGCTGAAATGCCCACTTTCCTCTAATTGGTCAACAAAGTCTGAGGTTGTGACGTCGCCCTCAAAATAATAGTCCTCTGCGGACCAGTACTCAGGCTTTTAATTATTATTTAATTATGAATATATATATATATATATATATATATATATATATATATATATATATATATATATATATATATATATATATATATATATATATATATACATACACACACACATATACATTAGCAGTATTATTAGACATTTGTTAACGTCCTGCTGCTGTGCACCTGATGCTGAGCAAGATAGCCATTTCCGAGCAGCACCTGGTTTGCATGATTGATTCTGAGCAAGGCCCATATATTAATAATAATAATAATAATAATAATAATAATAATAATAATAATAATAACAATATATGCCTGTAGTTCGCCACCAAACTTCTTGCTGTTGTGCACCTGATGCTGAGCAAAGATGGTTTGCACAATTGTTTCCAATCACTAATGTTTGCGGTTGACAGGTAAGTGAGGTACCGTAGGTAAACATCTCTTGAACATTTCCATCCTCAACACTGTGAACTTGCCTCAAAATCTCTGACACACAGAAGCCAAGAACACTGTCTAACCTTTGATCGATTCTCAGTTCAGTCCTCATCTTTAGTCAAAAATTTGGGGGGGGGTGATTTTTGAAAGCAACCTGTCGTTTGAAGGGCAGATTTCAAGCATCTGTAAAATTATTCATCCTAAAAATGTTGGCAAACTTTAACATCAATGGCTTAAACATTTTTTAAAAGCTTGTTCATGCTTTCATGACCTCTCATGTTAGATTATTGTAATGCGTTAGTATTTTAGGGTGCTCCTGATATTTTACAGCCCCTCAGGTCCACTATGCTCAATTAATTTTTGACAATTGATTATCACTCCTAAGGATGCAAGATACTGTAGATTGTCAGACTGATGTGGTGGGTTGTCTTTGATGGTTTTAGCACTGAGCCAGCAAAAATCTGTACACACCCTCAGGTTACCATCTTTTTTTCCAGACCATCACTTAGGCGATGCATACTCACTGAAAGACTTGCCAATTATTCCCTTTCCCTCCATCTCTGACACTTCTCTCCATGTTTGATAATGTGCAGGAGGGATGCGACGATTGCAGCTTATCCTTGGGGTAAACATCATGCTACGACAAAAGAAGAGCTGTCAGTTTTTTCCTCCACAACTTACATACATTAATGTGGTCTCCCAGACCGAAGTCTTTCAGCAACTACACAGCATCAGAGGGTCCGACAAGGGGATATAAATTGGGAATGTTATAATCTTATCTACTCAATCTCTGCATGACAGTGAGTACTTTGCTAGTCAGGAAAAGCTGCAACTAGTTTAGAGTTTTGGCGAAGTGTTACTGATGTTGGATTAGGGTTAAGTAACTTCATTGGCACCCATCGATCACCACACTTAGGTGTTACGTCCAACCAGAGAGTTTTTAGGAGCTGATCGTGCAGTGGCTGGCTCAACAATTACAGTGCTTCCTGTGATAAAAACAGACATTTGTGGGCAGTTTACCCCAAACTACATACTCTTCTGGGAAGTAGAGTGACTGCCTGACAGAATTTCACATGGTCAAGTTTGACAGGCTGTTGAGGGCCTGACCATCGTGAGATTTGAACTTGAACTTGAACTTGAACCAGCTTGGAAGTTCAAGGAAATGTTCAAAATCAGGATTACTGTTCCTGAAAGAAACAAGTTTCCAATAATTGTCATGTGATTGTATCTTCTGCAGAATGCATTTGTTCATGTTGCTTTCAATTATGAACTTATTTCTTTGTCCAGGAACTACAAGAGTTGGAATGACAAACTTGAATACATATATATCAATCTCCAAGGCTTATGTAGACTTTGGTTGAATTGTAAGGCCACCACGGTTATACAGAACAACATTATTAGAAATCACTTGAGTATGTGGGAGGACACCACCAGCATGCAGCTTGAATTCACACTCTTCACTAAGCTTGCAGGACATACTACTAGAATCCAATAACCCTTTAAGTGTGCGTTGGCCACAATCTGTCACTGGATCTGTCACCAGCCCCATTCACTCCCTGATACCCTTTATATAAAACAGTTTTGTTTTCTGACAACTATATGTTAAAAGCCGACCTCTCAGGAATGCACACATACAGTATTTCAACGAGACAATGCAAAACCACATTCTGCACACATTACAAAGTTCTTGCTGCGGGGAAGAGGATGCAGGTACTTGAATGGCTTGATTTGCAGTCTTGACCTGTCTCCAATAGAGAATGTGTGGCGCATTTTGAAGCGCAAAAACCAAAAACCCCTGTACTGTTCCCAACAACAAATTGTGGCTAGTGAAAATACATAGTGGCTAGTGTCGTTAGAAAAGTACTAGCCACAGTGGCTGGTGATATTAAAAAAAATTATGTCAAGCCCTGTGTGTGTGTGTGTGTGTGTGTGTGTGTGTGTGTGTGTGTGTGTGTGTGTGTGTGTGTGTGTGTGTGTGTGTGTGTGTGTGTGTGTGTGTGTGTGTGTGTGTGTGTGTGTGTTTATAGTTGAAGTCAGAATTATAAGCCCGCCTTTGAATTTTTTGTTTTGTTTCTGCAACAACAAAAGGAGTTTTACATTTTTTTTAATTTAAGGTCAAAATTATCAGCCCCTTTAAGCTATATATTTTTTCGATAGTCTACACAGAACAAACCATTGTTATACAATAACTTGCCTAATTATCCTAACCTGCCTAGTTAATCTAATTAACATAGTTAAGCCTTTAAATGTCACTTTAAGCTGTATAAAAGTGTCTTGAAAAACATCTAGTCAAATTTTATTTACTGTCATCATGACAAAGATAAAATAAATCGGTTATTAGAAATGAGTTATTAAAACTATTATGTTTAGAAATGTGTTGAAAAGATCTTCATTCCGTTAAACAGAAATTGGGCATAAAATAAACAGGGGGACTAATAATTCTGACTTTAACTATATATATATATATACAGTTGAGTAAATGAAACTATTTGGAGACACAGTGTTTCTTAAAGATTTGATGTTAAACTTTGTAAAGAACTTAAACTGACTGTGATGACAGTCAATAGTTCAGCAGATGGCAGGAGATGAGTTTGGGCAGGATGAAAAATCTGGAGATATTGATTAAGTGGACTGGTCAATGACGCTGAAAATGAAGGCTTCTCTGTGTATTGTATAAACATTACTGTCTCAGAATATAATAGTAATTCAATAATAATTTTCAACAGTTGTTTACACAAGAGGGGTCCAATCCTGCTGTCATCCAGAATGTGTGGTATCATCAGAGTGAACAACAACCATTAATGTGAGCCTATACACACTTGCTGGAAAGCTTATTTTATCTCATGAAAAGTTGTCAGACAAAAAATATTTTGATGGGAGATTACTAGGGGTTGATAGATACTGTAACCCGCAAGCCACAAGAATGTACTAGAATGTGCCAAAACTGGTTTAGTGTCACTCCACTTATTTTATATGGTGTGGCTGACATGATAATTAATGTGCACTTCTTTCAAAACTGACATAGTCTCATAGTTATTAAGAAATGTGTTCTTCACACATAATTATCAAATGATATCAGACCTGCTGCCAGAATTTAGAAGTGAATGCAAAAAAGTATATTTACAGTTTGTAGCCACTGCTTTTGTAATTGACTTTTACTGTATTCAAATAGTGCATTCATTAGGTAATGTACTTATGACTATTATCTCTACTGTACATGATACATTAGCCTATGGAGATTCATTCTATCTGGAAGCGCATAAGCATGTGCACTTTATACCAGTTTACTCAATTCTTTAATAAATGTGTCCTCTTTTATGTCCAATTCATGAATGAAGTGTTATTTTGATAATCTAGCTTGTACCAAAAACACATTCATTCTGTTAAAATGATCATATTACTGTCTATTCACATTGCCTTTTTCCTTTCTCTAGATTGTTATTTTTAGCATGTTCTGGTAAAGTTTAAATTTTAGATTTTCATCTGACAGAAGAGTCAAAGTTTTCTGTCTATTTTTTTTTCCAACTTTTTTCATTTCTAAATTTTGATGAACGAGCAAGGCCAGCACAGACACATTGCACTAAAATGAAGTACTGCTGAATTAGGAAGTAAAGCAGTTTTACTACATTGTGCTGCAGCTATTATACTATATAATCTAATATGCCAATAAGTGTACTGTGCTGCTCGTGTTTCAAAGGATTATTTATTCATCATTTTGAGGGTCTTATTTCTAGAGTCACACAAGTCTTTATAAGACATTTCAGTCTATTTTTTGTCAGTTTTAAAAATATTTTTTAATATAGAGCATTGAAGAGTACAAAAAAACATTATTTATTAAAGGTCAAATAAATTAAATGTTATTTAGTAATGTTGATCATTTTTAATAACATACAATGGCAAAAAAAAAACATGAATCACAGAAATGTGCAACGTTATCCATAAAAAATCAAATACTGATGCCATATATATATATATATATATATATATATATATATATATATATATATATATATATATATATATATATATATATATATATTTTTTTTTTTTTTTTTTTTTTTTTTTTTGCCTACTGGCCCAGCTGGAACTTGAACCAACGACTTTCTTGCTGTAAGGCAACAGTGCTTATAAAAACAAAACTTGCATTAAAGCACTTCAAGTGATATTTCGTAACCCTCTACGGGTTCTCTATTCTCTATTAAGAGAAAAAATAAAGACAAAGAACAAAAGTCAACTTCAACAATAAAAAATAAAATAAATAACCCATAAGATTCCTATATAGGAAACAGGGTGGCACAGTAGTGCTTTGCCTCAAAGCAAGAAGGTCTCTTATTTGAGCCAGTTGTGAATCAGTTGGCATTTCTGTGTGGAGATTTTATGTTCTCCCCATGTTCATGTGGGTTTCCTCTGTGTGCTCCAGTTTCCCCAAGACATGGTCTATAGCTAAATTAAATAAGCTAAATTGGCTATAGTGTATAAGTGTGAATGCACGAGGGTATGGGTATTTACCAGTGTTGGGTTGCAGCTGAAAGGGCATCCGCTGCATAACATGTGCTGGATAAATTGGCGGTTCATTCCGCTGTGGCAGCCCCTGATTAGTAAAGGGACTAAGCCGAAAAGAAAATGAATAAATGAATGAATGAATGTATGAATGAATGACAAACATGCTCATAAAAAAATTATAAATAAAAAACGTTTTAACTTGTAAAACTCATTCTTGATTCTAGAGTTGGACCTGGCTTTATAATTCCAGTTGTTTATACACATTACAGAGACATGTTAATAAGCAAAATCACAAGGATTTGGATTCTATTTTACTATCAGGAAATTTAGAGAAAAAAAACGACTTGTTGTTTCTATCACTACATTATGACTGTGGACACATTACACACAGTTCTGTCCAAACAGTGCCTGAAAGTGGATTTTGCATCATAGATGCCCTTTAATAATAATCATAATTACAATAATAAAATGCAGGTTTTGAAACATCACCCTCTGTCTGGCTTGCATTATTTTAGAGCGTTCTGTCATGAACTCTTCCCGTGATTATTTGCCATTTTATGATAAATGGCTTGGTTGCGTTCATTTGTTTAACAATGGATAAAATCTTCTGACTACTTCTGAAACTTCCTATTATCCAAAAACACTGAAGTAAAATATAATCAACGCCAGATGACTGTGGTGCAACAAAATGCAAATGTATTACAAAGTTTTGAATATTCAAATAGGGCAACGCATGGCGCAGTAGGGTAGTGTTGTCGCCTCACAGCAAGAAGGTTGCTGGTCGAGCCTCGGCTGGGTCAGTTGACGTTTCTGTGTGGAGTTTGAATGTTCACCCTGCGTTTGTATGGGTTTCCTCTGTGTGCTCCGGTTTTCCCCACAGTCTAAAGACATGCGGTACAGGGGAATTGGCTAGGCTAAATTGTCCGTATAGTGTATGAGTGTGAATAAGTGTGTATGGATGTTTCCCAGGGATGGGTTGTAGCTAGAAGGGCATAGAAGGGAATGAATGAATGAATATTCGAATAGTTATTAAATGAAGACCTAATTTGAAAATGTAACACCTCTATGGCATTGAGTTGCCCTCATTCAACAAACCCTTTTTTTGGCCAACCTAACGCCGTGACAAAAAATGTGGCATCTTTGCTTCACATCCACCAACATATTTCTGAGGTTTCACACTGACGAATAATCATTAGTAAATAAGTACACTCAATCGGTACCCCTCAGAAACACACAATGCACAATTTATAGTAAGAGTAAACTAAGCCCTTTAACTGAGGCAAACACAAAATACAAATCAATGCATAAGAGTCTAAATAAATATTGTGTAATAAGACATAATTAATAACACATTTGATAGGTCATCCAATCACTTTAAATAATTAAATGTAGAAAAATAATGACTCATCAAACAATATTTTTTTCCCACAGGTGTTCTGAAGAAGATTAAGATTACTTGAGAACCAGAACTGAACTCCTTCATTCTTTCTTTAAGAGATGGTTATCTTTAAAAGTTTGTATTCATTTTACATTCACAAAGCTACACTGCATGGAATATAATATAATAAAGAATATTATCATAACTTCTTTAACAGTTATGATACTAATATTTTGTATTGCCCCTTAAAAAGTACATTTGTATCTGATGCGTGTTGTCGAGCTCTACGATAATAATGTTAATTATAATTATAATGCTTTTTTCCCCATTGGGCAGAAGTCATGTGGTTCATTTGAATGCACACGTAAATTAATCTTTGAGGCACCTGTGACCTGTCGCTACTTCTGGACTGCACGCCACTGAGAAGCGGCTAGGTTTGTGTTTATGGGTACCTTTTTCATGTCGATAGCGAAATGCTGTTCAACAAGCCCAGCAAGTTCAAGTCGAACTGAGGTTCGGTGGATTATACCAAAAAGAGCAGTAAATGAAGATAAGTTCACATTGCTATTATTGTTTGGGTTTTTAGACTGAAATTATTTTCCTTAACGTGTCACTAACACACTCCTCCTCCCTACAGCTATGTCTCTCTTTTGCTGTCTCCATCTGTTGGACATTTACTTTTCAACGGAACAAGGACACAAAACCTAAAACAGGAGAAAATGAAACCTCTGCAAAAAGTTAATTACTATCTTCTTGTATTGGCTGGACTCTCATTTGCAGGGTATGTGTTTTTTTTTTTTTTTTTTTTTGTAATTAGTTTAATGTTGCCTATTGTGTTTGTCTTTTTTGCCTACATTTTTTCATTAGTGAGTCTGTTTTTCATTTGAAGTGATATCACTCTTTATACATTAATAGTCACAATTAATCTTTTGTTTTTGTTTTTTGTTTGTTTGTTTGAATGACATACTGGATGCCGAAAATATTAAAAGTGTTTCTTGGCTGAAAGGTTAAAATTCAGATCCAGTATTACAGGTTTTTAAAATAAATCCCTTTATACTATAAGTGGCGTTTACGAGTTATTGGTAGTTTTACAGCAAACATTAAAGGAAATAGTTTGCTGAGATTGCCAAAAGATTGCTTTAATCTGGAACAAATTATTTTATTTTAAATGTTTCTTGCAATTAATGTAAGGCAACCAAACTGAAAACCGAAGGGCTGTTGTCATGTGGTTGTGTAATTTAGAAAAAAGAACTAATTGTGGATTAATTCAGTCTTAATCCTGGTGTAATTGTATATTTTATAATACAAGAAATTGTATAAAGAAATGTGTGCTCAAAATTGTATTTCTAAAACAAGTAACTATTTCTAAGCAAGCGCTTCAAAGGGATATAGTTCATCCAAAACTGAAAATTCTATAATTTACTCCCCCTTCACTTGTTCCAAAGCTGTTTGTCTTTTTTTTTTTTTATCTGTTTACACAAAATAAAGTATTTTAATAAAACTTGCAAGCCACCCATTTATTTGCATAGTATTTATTTTTCCTCCTGTAAGTCAATGGTTACAGGTTTTACAGGTTTTAGACCAAGGAGAGTAAATGAGGTAACTTTCATTTTTGGGTACACTGTTAAACTCGAGAATCTAAGAAATAATTATAACACAGTGTAACACACCAGTACTGTCGCATGCTTATTATACACTTTAAAAGATACTGCAAATTGCAATCATTGCATAAATAATGATTCAAATATTTTTTTTACCATAGCCACAGCAAAAAAATAAATCTAATCTAGCTTCTGGAGTTCATTCAAAATTCAAATACAAAAAGCCACAATATATATATATATATAAAAGCAATGACGCCTTTGAAAGAGACACAGCTTAAGACTTGGTTAGCTTGTTACTTAATCCACCTCACCATAACTACACAGCCCACTTTCCTCATAATAGAAGACGACCAAGTTCACCTGTAAAATAAACAAAGATGATGCCTTTAAAAAAAAGTACCTGATTGTTCTGGTGTTCATTGGCAGCTTTGAGTGGGTATGTAATTACTTTGAAATATATAATATGCAGATTTTGTCTCGAAGGTTTGATGTCTTTGGTCAACATGAATATAGCTGGAGTGTTTATTTTTTTCATGTGTGTTAAATTGACTTCTACAATCTACTGTTTGTGATGTTTTTTTTTGTGTGTGTGTGTATTACTATTAATAAATTATTTTCTTATAAAATGTATTTCTCTACTCATCTGATGCTGCAATAAAAATAAACACTGATCATACAATGCTAGGGATGAGCTGATCTGAGCATTGCACACTACAACAATGAGTTGTTTTTCATCTTGCTAAAACATTGTATTGTACTGGTACTGTATCGCTTGCATATTTTATCCCATTGGGTTTATTTATTTTGTGGTACAATGGCAGTAAAATAAGGTATGGCAACATCACAACAGCACCAAATTTATAGGAACAGATTCAACATGTCTGTGGATAAAATGTAGCTGTGTAAGCATATTCTAGTGGTGTTCTGATGTGCTTTTAATATGCATGATTTGTTTTTGTTTTTTTGCAGGCTCATATATTTGGGCTACACCTCCTCCTCCTCCATTGGGTGAGTGCTTAATAATTAGTTCTTTAAATGGGACATGTCTGCAGATTGAATACTTATTAATCTAAATTATTTTATGTAGCACTTGAAGTCATTTACACATATTATAGCTGCATAATTTATAACATAAAAGGGACCTATTAAACTTGGCACTTCAAATTAATTTGAGCTGTTTGATTAGTCTTCGTGTTAAAGCCTATCAAATATTTTAGTGTTTTCATTCACAAAATGCTTTAGAAGTCATTGACAGAAATATCAATATCTCAATTAATACTAAAAACAAAACTCATTTTGGAGATATGGCGCAATCTTTTGGGTCTTTAAAGGATACATTGAACGTAGGGATAAAGCAGTGTTCATAGTGCCAGTGTTGATGCACTATCCAATAATACAGTCCAGCCCTTCATGGGTTGCATTTCTGCTTTACAGTAAGAAAAAATAATGCAAAACAAAATAGCAAAATTAATATGAGAAAATCAGATAATTAATGAGTTTTAAGTGAATCTATTCTGATTATAGATGCAGTTAAAACAAACATTAATCAGGCAGTGTTCCAGCATTACCTATAATAATCTTGTACTGTACCTGTTGCAGATTTAAAGTACCAAGAGCCTGCTTTAAGTAAGTACTTTCACTGCTCATGTTTACTCAAACACGTTTAAAACACACTTCATACACTGTACAGAGGCACATTCTCACAAGCACACATACACCTTTATGCAGATACATAGAAATGTGTACCGTAAGAAATCATATTTCTCAGCAACTGAACATATAGCGGCTACATAGCAAAAACGGACCTACCTATATAAATAAAGTGTTATGTTTTTATTGATCTTCTCTTGTATCTTAGCATAGCAAAGAAATACCCGGAAAGTGCTGGCTTGCGGTTGCCAGAAGGGTGAGTACAAACACTTGTCAATCAAACTAGCTTTTGATTCTTAAACAAAACGCGAAGAAAATCCAATCCACTCAACACAGAAGTTTTGTTTTTCAAATAACAGGCGTCATTCTTATTAAACTTCCTTGTTTGTTTTATATACCAGCTTCGTTAAACATGTAGAGGAAAGTCTGGTTGTTTTCCCTGAACTAGTTCTGTCAGTTCATTTTGGTAAGGTACTACATTAAAAAAAAAAAATGTTTCATACTCACATAATGAATTGATTGTGAGTCACTTTGGACAAAAGCGTCTGCTAAATGTAAATGATTTGCAATAATGTCTATCCTTGCATCCCGACAAATAAAATTATACATGTTCAACACATTCAAGTCAAGTCAGTAATCATAACTTCAGTTTAACTGTAATCATAATAATATAAATCATGATCAAATGTTTTCATTTAAAAAATAAAAATCATTTTAAGTTTTAAAAAAATAATAAACAAATACACCCAAGTACAGCCACTCATGTGCAAAAGTAGTTGTCATGTGTTTTATAAATAATTGAAGTATATCAACTAGTCGTCTGTTTACAGAAACCATTATCAACTCATGAATGCTTATAATTAAAATACAATTTGCAAAATAGTCAATAATGCAATCTTTCCACCCTGTTTCCACCCCTGAACATTTATGGTAATATTGTTTAATAAATTAGCAAAGTATTTAGTTCAAAAGATGATTGAAATATTGTATTTTTGTTTAATGCCCTTGTTTGATAATATAATTGTAATATATTTATGTCCCAGTAGCCTTTTCTATTTCAGGTTTTACATATTCGGTCACAATTTTTATGTTTTTATTTTTTACTCAGAACACTGAACAAACATCTTTGTTTCTTGAATTGCAGAGACTACTGCTCTCTGTATAGAACATGAATGCAGAAGCAATGTGAATTGTTTGTAGAATTGAGTTTGTAGACTTAAATGTGTTTGCTGACTTATAACTGTTTACTGCTAAAGTTTTTAAAACAGTTGTAATTTATTCTGCAGGCTTTCATACAATCAGTCCAGCGTAGTGGGGTAAGAACATGTTATATTATATATATATTATGTATAATAACAAATCAGTTTGTTTTTCTTGAATTCTGCTATGCTTTTGAATTCTACTATGCTTTTATGCTATGCATTTCAAGTACATATACGTGATTCTTCTTATTTAAAACAGCCCAGATGGCAAAGTTGCTCATGTAACACCATGGTTAGCCCCAATTGTTTGGGAAGGAACTTTTGATCCCACACTGATTGATCCGGTCTACAAACAACAAAACATCACTATAGCGACTACAGTCTTCGCTCTCGGAAAGTGAGTTATCTTCTCTCTTGTCTGTTTCTCTGATCTTTATTGACTTTGCATTTAATCAACGTCAAATTAGCAAAATGCCTTTACAACAAGACTTGGGCTGTAAGTGAACACTAGGGCATTTTACCTTTTTGTGTATTTCCTCTTTAAGTACATCAGACAGAATGAAGAAGTTAAAAAGTGGTAACAAAAAAATGTAAACATTGACTGGAATGCATTTTTAATTTTTTGTGTTAACATTTTTACATTTCAAGGGTAACAACAGGGGTAAAGAAACTTGTAATGTCAGCCCATCTGGTTTTCCTTGTTTTACTACTCAATGTAAACATAGGTTTCACTACATGGGAACTGCAACGTGTGTCTAGAGAAAGACACTATGGAAGCTCGCTAGATGACCAATCACTCTAAAAGGTAAGAAAATGGGCCAATGAATGCAAAATGAATTGGCAGAGCTCGGCTCTGCAGGTGCCAGCGATAAATCAGTAACAGAAATATCAGTTGATGCTTGTGAAGCGAGCATAAGATTTTTGCTTCAGAGGCTCACTCTTTTTTTTTTTGTCAAGAAAGCATTATTCCTACCAGTGCATGCGATGACATGTACAGCAGCTTTGGAACTGGACTCCTTTCCCATCCTTTGGATGTCTCACTGGTAGCTGAAAGCACAGTTTTCACTAAAAGAGCAGATCCTAAGAGAGCAACACGGTCGAGCAACGTGTTTTTTCACGACACTGTTCTAACTGTGTGTCTCTGGATGCGGTAATTCCCATCTCTGGATGATGGGTCAGGGTACTGCATCACAGGGCTGAGGGTCCAACATGTTGATGCAGTGCTCACAGACAGCTCATGCTCTCACTGTGAGGGCATGGCTAATGCACACATGAAATCATGGCTTCGAAGCCACCCCAGTTGCTCCTTGTAAAGGTAGTTAAGACGTGGGCAGATCTGAGGATCACACTGGGGGTTTATTCGTCACCTCCTATCCAATCTTTAAGTGGTTGTGTCAGTTCATCCCCCATAATGCCTGCACCTTTGCTTGATAACAATGACGAATAGATGCCCATCATGACATCAGAGGGCAAACTATCAAGCTCAGATAACAGACCGGGCTTGCTACCATCCTTGCAATGCATAGTCACGATTCTTAAGTCGGACATGCTGGCTGCGCTTCCTGGGATGCTTTGGCGGTGTGGTTGGAGACGGCTCGTCCCCCATTCTCACCATCTCAGAGGCACACAGCAGGCACACGCATGCATAGATGGCATTTTTCTCTGCCCGGTCCACATGCTCGTTACCTCCCTTTATGGCAATACGGCCAGTGGGTATGAAGCTATTCCTCAGGTCGTGGGTGCCGCCACCTGGAGGGATAAACTGAGACCCCTGTCAAAGGCGAGTGGGTTATCCGTGTCTCTCACAGCAAGAGCCTGTCCTGCACCATGGCACTACCTGGCTGTGCTGCACAAGGGCGGTTCTTCCCCAGGGTTATGCATAAGCTCCGCACAGTGGTCAACTATGCTGACCTTTGAGTCAGCCGCCCGTGCCCTGTGTAGGATGATGGCCACACAGTGGTCTAGAAATACCACCCTTGATGACCACTATTCCCATCTGTTGTCCACCTTTGACGGCCCTGCATGCTTGGTAGGTATTGACGAATAAAGGCAGTCCAGAAACAGCACCTGGCTATGGTTCCATCTTCGTCATCCAAGCCATTTACTAGAATCATACAGGAACTGGGGTAGCAAGGAATGTCGGCGACCCATAAGCAGGAAATTGGGTCTCACAGGGTCTACATCGTATCTGAAGATACGGATCCGAGTGGCTTGGAGTTTAGAATGTTTTCCACTTCCACAAAAAGGGTTTGCAGGATTGGTTCTGGCACTGACTGCTCTCTGAGGATCACTTGGAGTGCTGTCTAAACTGATTTTATCTCATGCTCCCAAGTCTCTACGAAGTGAGGAGTATTTGGGGGGTTATGATGAAATCAGATTTTTTGCTCTGTCAGCTGTTCCTGTAGCTTTGGTGACATGGCCTAAAAAGATTCATGCAACTCCCGATCACCTCCAGACAGGTTTGCCTCATCGGGCTATAAAACAGCGCAGAGAAATAAAGAAAGCATCACTGTCCATATGCTCCAACAGATCTTGATGTACACAATGAGTTGTTGGACATTTGTAAATGCTCCCTTATCTTTTCTCGTCTCGGCTCCAAATCTTGACTGCATTCAAGCTTGGGGATATGGGGATCTGCCATTTGTGGAGTTTAAGGGTTTGGCTCGCCCTATGTGACAGTCTTGACAGGTATGCTGGTGTTTATGAACTGCTTGTCGACCTCGAAGTATCCAATACTTGCGGCACAATTCTGCTAGCACCCTCTCTGAGCCAGGGTGAAGAATTTGTTGGTCCATCTCTTTAATCAACAACTTTTTTGATATGATTGCTAGGGTCTAATATGATTAGGTGTATAGCCTCCAAGTTGAGATCACTAGCACCCTGAAGTCGCCCGCCCACTCTAATGAGACCAGTGACATCATCATATTCTGGAGCAAGTGAGCCTAAGTGAATGTTTGGGGAAACAGAATGTCCAGCCTTTAGATGTTTAACTTTCATAGGGATGGAGTCCATCTGAGCCTGTGCCAGAAGTAACTTTTCCAACTCAATAGACTCAAGCCTTAATAGGGGAGTCTGTGTCAGCAGCCGCCCCATGTAGGGATCTACTAGTGGCCTGGACGAGCTCCTGCCATTTGTGAACGTTGCCTGGAACTGGTAGAGAAACACTGGATACTGAAGCAGTTCTGACAAAGGCTGTCTTCTTCAGCTCATTGCAGTTGGGTTCAGCTTTAGTTTCGGGCATTGATGGCCATTGAGATAGTAAGGCCTCATGTGATGTGGTCAGCAGGGTTGTGATTTGACTCAACATTCTTCCATTCAGCCCTCTCTGTCAAAGTCTGTATTTATACCACCTGTGTCCCTACAAACACTTTGTAGTGGCAAGATTCAGATCCAGTATACAATACAATACAACACTATTGTAGAATCAAACCAGAAAATTACCTTGTGGATTGGTAGGGTCAACTCAGTTTAGATTACTTTCCCCAATTGGGCCCCAGTAAGGGCAGCACATAACTCCAACGTGGCACATGCGAGGCGCGACTCTAGACTTGGCCGAGACCAAGTTAATATGGACTTGTCCTTGCTTAAAAATATGCATCAGATTGCTCTATTGTGGGTAATGGGTAATGAGTAATAGTTTGTATCAGATGAATACATTACAAAACCCAACATCAGCATGAGCAATGATGGAGAACATAACAGCAGGTCCAATAAACAAATCATCCCCCCTAGAAACATGCCTGGACGGTGCTTGTGGGCTTATGATATGCTTGGTAAACTTCACATCAGGGGCGTGACAGGCTTAGCTGCTGTGGCGTTTTCCATACATTCTCACATAGTGTCTTTCTCTAGACACACATCAGAGTTCCCATGAAGGGGGAACATCTCGATTATAAACGTAACCCTCTTTCCTCAAATAGGGAATGGAAACGTGGGTCACTATTGTTGCAACAGCTGGGTCTTCAGCGGTTAGGTGAGTAATTACCTTTTTAGAAAGCAAAAAATCTAATGCTTGCTTCACAAGCACCAGCTGATATACTCTGTTAACGATTAATCGCTGGCACCTTCGAAGCCGCGCTCTGATAAATTTATTTGGCATTCATTGGCCCTTTTTTTTACTCTTCAGAGTGATTGGTCATCAAGCGATCTCACATAGTGTCTTTCTCTAGACACATGTTTCTGTTCTCTGTTTGGGGACAAGGGCTACATTTGTAACAGATGTTTTTGTGTATGCTTATCTAGAACAGTATGTTCCCCTTTAGGTTGGGAACTTCGAGGTGTGTCTTAGATACAAATAATAACTCACTAGATGACAGATTATTCTAAAAAGTAAGAAAACGGGCAAATAAATGCCAGTGAATTGGCAGAGCACAGCTTCACAGATGCTGTGATTAATCATTAGTAGACTATATAACCAGCTCCCAAACAAGCGTGCTTCAGACATTCACTTCAGAAACATTCACTGAGCAACTGAAGAATCTTTTCTGCAAACTTATTTCAAGATTTGAAAAGCGTTCCAGCATCAAGCAGGGGTGGTAACTGATTATTGATGGTCGAGCTAGGTCTTTTTCTATTTCCTGGGCCTTTTGCTGAGTGCCTGGAAGAGCAGATTATCTAAAAGTGCAGATTACCCTAAGAGAGCAACACGGTTGAGTAGATCGTCTTTTTAAAGACTTTGTTTCGACTGTGCATTTCTGGATGTGGTGGTTTCCTCTCCCCAGATGATAGACACAAGTACTGCATCACATGCAAGTTGAGGCGGCACTCATCGACAGTGACACCATCTCTGTTGGGCAACTGAGGTCTCGGTTCACTCTTGCAAAAGCGTGCACCACCCCTGCTTTTCCCTGCAAGCCTATTAACACTCGGGCAGGCCTGAGGATTACAGTGAGAGCTAATCTGTTGCCTTTTTTTGGCTTATGGACCCCTGCTCAGCTACATTTTGCTCAGTCCAAGCTTCGAGCGAGTATGATGATTCATCCTTTGGGAACATCATGCTCAATTACACCTGTTCTGTGCTGTCATGTTCTGGTGATGATTCAGACCAGCTTCCTCCGGGGTTAATAAGCAAGGCTCAAGACTTGGAATCGGACATTTCTGCGCTGTTTTGTCGGTCGGGCTAGAGGTGAAAACCCTCCTGGCTCTGCCCTCTTCAGGCTCTCCCTGTCTCTGCGGATTTTCACCATGCTCAAGGAGGGTGCTCTGATGCCCCTTTGGTTCTTGGGTATCCGCATGCTCAATTATATTGATGAATGGCTAATCCTAGCTTGGTCACGCAATCAATTGATTAGTGAGCTCAGCTGCTGAAATTGCTATACGCCATTCACATTCCAGATAAGCTTTTTACATTTCAGCCGATGCACTCTCACGGCAGCTTACGCTCTCGGTAGGATGGAGCCTTCACCCCGGTGCAGTCCAACTGATATGGGAGTGCTTTGGGGAAGGCCAGATCAACCTGTTTGCTTCCCCCAAAACTGCCTAATGCCAGTTGTTTTATTTCCCTACAAGGCCTGCCTATGTCCTGAAATGGAGTCTGCAGGACTGCAGATAGATCAGTTCAAGTTTGATTAACATGAGATGTCTGTCCATGAAGACAGCTCTGCTGGTTGCTTTGGTATCTATCAAGAGGATCTGGGACCTGGAGGCATTTTCGGTCAGTGAATCATGCCAGAAATTTGAACGGGCTTTTTCTCACATTATGCTGAAACCCTAGCCCGGCTACATGCCCAAGGTCCTTTAAGAGATCAGGTAGTGAATGTGCAAGTGCTGGCCACAGAGGAAGCAGATCACCTGCTAGGCGACACCTAACACATTTGTGAAATTGTATAATTTTTAGGTTGAGCCGGTTTCTGCCCGATTACTGGCTAATTCCAGTCAATCAGGAGGAAACTAAGCTTGGTGTTCAAAAAAAGTTGATATGCCCGCTGTGTTTGCCTTGGTACTGAGGGTCGGTGCCAACTATGCATAATCTCTATTGGAGATCCCTTATGCATCATTCAGCCAAGGAGCGTTCCCCCTTCTCAGACGGACCTGTGTCTCCCCTACCCGCTAATCAGCTTATGATATGTAGAGCTGCCCCTGGAGAGGGTTTGCCCATATACTCATATTGTCAACAGGTCACCCCATTTGGGTTGGAGGTGGCCTCCGCAGTGTTCTTTCCCTTTGGGAATGGCATGCTTCCCCAATGTATTGTTGTACCCCTAGAGTATGGTTGGCTAGGTGAAAGAGAATATGCGACCCCCAAATTCTAAATTATTCCCATATTCTTTTAATTATAAGGCCATGGGACATTGGAAGGTTGCACAGTTGATAACATTGTGAGCTCACAATAGGCTTGGCAAACTTGATGAGCTGGGCTTCTGTGGCATTTTGCTTACACTCTCCCATTTGTGTCTAAGACACACATCGAAGTTCCTGGCCTGAAGAGGAATGTCCTGTTTATGTCTGTAACCCATGTTCCCCAATGGAGGTAACAGAAACATTCGTCTCCGCTGCCACAACAGCTGGGTGGGTCTCCAGCTGATTGCTAGATATTTGCCTACTTCAGCAGCTATATCTGAAGCACCCTTGTTTGGTAGCTGGTTATATACTCTACTAATGATTAATCACCAGCACATGTGACTGTGCTCTGCCAACACAGACACATTTATTGGCCTGTTTTTTTTTTTTATCCTTCAGAGTGATTAATCTGAACTCTCTCTCTCTTTTTGTGACTTAGACGCATGTCTTTGTTTCCTCCTTCGGGAAACGTAATATGAGATGTAGACACTTGCTAACAAGTACACATAACATTTTTAGTCCGTTTCTCGAATGAGTAACGAGTGAAGAGATAGTGATAAAACCAATTTGGTGGATGAGGATGTTTGGGAGGTTGTGATGATGAGGGCCGATGGAGGAAATTTAGCCGGGACACTAGGGTTATAACCCTCGTTATAGCGTGGAGAACACTGACTCTTGTAATAGTTTTTTTTTCTACGCTGCTAAGAACGATACAGCAATCTTGGCATTGGTTGAATTGGACAGTCGATTCGCATCAGATGCGATGACCCTCAGTGTGGTATGTGATGCTGTAATAAAAGATTGGTTCTTTTCCTAGTCCTTTATGTGAATTTTAATGCTAAACACAGTCTAGGAAATTTTCAAGCTAGGAAATTTAGAAGTGTAATATCTCATTTGTGTTCCAGTCAGTCATGTCACAGTTGCATATTCACCACGAGGTGTCACTATTTCATGACTAAAATAAAAAGAAAATACTGTCTGTCCTTTAAAAACACCTGATGAAAATCTGTGCATGTGACAAACTTTATAATATTATGATTTATATAAAACACTTTTTCACTCTGTTCTTTTCATTATTTCACACAATGTGGACCTGTATACAGTGGTTTAGTTTAGACTTTTTTTGATGGGTCAAAGATTTAAAGACTTAACAGCTTACAAATCAATATCAATATAAATCCTCTGTAATGTTGTTGTAGATGTGGTGTGGACTTATACATTAAACATTTAGGATGATTACAAAACAATATCTTTATTTCTCTCTCTCTCTCTCTATTCAGATACACAGTATTTCTCAAAGATTTCATGGAGTCTGCAGAGCAGAATTACTTTGTTGGATTTCATGTGCACTATTATATCTTCACCGACCATCCAGAAGAGGTTCCTGATGTGAAACTGGGTGAAGGACATCAGTTGACGGTGATGACAGTTGGTAGTTCTAACAGATGGCAGGAGATGACGCTGCGGAGAATGGAGAGGCTGGAGAAACTAATAGAAAGTCGATTGGTGAATGAAGCTGACTATGTTTTCAGCCTTGATGTAGATTCAAAGTTCTACGCCCGCTGGGGTGTAGAGACTTTGGGTCGTCTTGTAGGCGCAATTCATCCTGGTTACTTTAAAGCACAACGTGAGCATTTACCATATGAGCGAAGGCCTGAGTCTCAAGCGTTTATCCCTTATTCTGATGGTGATTATTATTATGGTGGAGCTGTGCTTGGTGGTGCAGTGAAAGATGTATATGAGGTTGCTAAAACCTGCAGAGAGCAGCTGGACATTGATGCAGCTAAATCTATTGAGGCAGCATGGCAGGAGGAGTCCCATTTGAACAAGTACTTCCTTTATAACAAACCAAGCAAACTGCTTTCACCCGAGTACCTGTGGCAAGCCCACTTACCGCAGCCAAAGGAGGTCAAAATCATTCGTTCTTGTCATGTTATTAAAAATTATGCTGCTGTTCGCCCAAACCCATAGTTTACTGAAATGCAACAGATTTTATGCTTTATATTTTAAACTGGTGTAATTTTAATGTTTTTAAAGTCTTTAGCAAAAACTGCAGCCAAATATATTTCTCATACATCAACATCTGAAGTGACCATTTGCTGCTGAAAAAAAGCCATGTAGATAAATGTATAGTGTTGATTTAAAACAGTTTTATGGTTAAAAAGATTCAGAAACTATTATTGTTATACCCCAATACCTTATCAAAACTAACATTTTCCTTCAGTAAACTTAAATAAAACATAATTTGTCTACTAATTATAAACTCTGATTAAAACTCAGTTACAGGTACCTTTGCATATGTGAATTTAAATATGTGCATTTAAATATACAGTATATCCTAAAAACCATGAACTTTTGTCGGAGGTGATGTACAATTGAAATCAGAATTGTTAAACCCCCTGAATTATTCGCCCCCCGTTTGTTTCCACCTAATTTCTATTTAACAAAGAGAAGATTTTTTTCAACACTTTTCTAAACATAAGTTTTAATATTTCATTTCTAATAACTGAGCAACACGGTGGCACAGTAGACAGGTAGACAGTCACTGGTTCGAGCCTTGGCTGGGTCAGTTGGCATTTCTCTGTGGAGTTTGCATGTTCTTTCTGCTTTCGCGTGGGTTTCCTCAGGGTGCTCCAATTTCCTCCACAGTCCAAAGACATGAGGTACAGGTGAATTGGGTAAGCTAAATTCTCCATAGTGTATGAGTGTAAATAAGCGTGTATGGATGTTTCCCAAAGATGGATTGAAGCTGGAAGGGCATTCACTGCGTAAAACATGCTGGAGAAGTTGGCGGTTCATTCTGCTGTGGCGACCCCGGATTAATAAAGGGACTAAGCCGAAAAGAAAATGAATGAATGAATTTCTAATGACTGATTTATTTTATATTTGCTATGATGACAGTAATTAATATTTGACTAGATATTTTTGGGCAACTTCTTGTATAATGATGTTTTGTTCTGTAGACTATTAAAATATATATAGCTTAAAGGGGCTAATAATTTTGACCTTAATATTTTTTATTATTAAAAACTGTATTTATTTAAGCCAAAATAAAACAAATAAGAAGAAATAGTCTTGCTCTGTAAAACATCATTTGTGAAATATAAAAAAAAATCAAAGGAGGTTTAATAATTCTGATTTCAACTGTAATTCTTACTGAATGGAAAAACAACAAAAAAAATTCCAATTTCAAAATCTTTAAGTATACTTTTATTTTCTATCTGGGTTTGAGTTTCCTCATGCATTGTGACAGTATGCTAATTGATGTGATATATGTAAACTGTCTTTATTTCCCTCACACTTTGGTTGTTCCACTTTGGTTAATCTGTTGGTCAGCTGGGTAGTAATAGCCTACCCCTGAGCAAAAATGACGTTCTTCACACATGAAGGTTAGCTTTAGATAAGATATCTTTTTTTTTTGTTTGTTTATTGTTGTATTTCTTATTGCTGTTGATCTCCCACACAAGCTTCCACACAAATTTTATTGTATTTTTGTTACCATGACAGCAAAGTTTCTTTATCCTTTACACAAATATATTGTGATACTTTCCCCAACTTCAAAATCATGTAAATGTTTATTCATTGAAATAATTTGTCATGATACTGAACATCCAATGCTAAAACGCTTTCACAACACTCTGCAGTGTTTATATATGTTTAATAATAAGACCATCACAACATTATTTAGCCATTTGAAACATGAAGCAGCAATCTCAGATTCACAGCAGTAGTGAAGTCTTTTCAGTGAAAAGGGATAACAGAGAAGGGTTGAAAACCCTTCAATTAAAATATTACTTTAAAACTTCACATTTTCCTTTAATGCTTCAGTTTAAAATATTACTGTCTAAATAAAAACTCTTCTGAATATAAACCTAAATTGACGTGTTGTATTGAAACATACCTTAGATATTTGACCTCTCCACATATGTACAATACAAAGTGTATTAACACACAGTCATTTGCCTCCACGCCCTACTCAGTGCTTGTTTTTCTTCAATCCTTCCTTTACATTTGATCCTTCTCCCCCATTCCGCCATTCTTCTCTCCATTCACCTCACTTAGAAATGTCAAAGTACAAATATTCTGTCATTCATTCATTCATTCATCTTAGTCCCTTATTTATCAGAGGTTGCTACAACGGAATGAACCACCAACTTATCCAGCATTTATTTTTCACAGCGGATGCCCTTTCAGCTGCAACCTATCACTGGGAAACACCCATACGCACTTAGTCACTAACATACACTACGGCCAATTTAGCTTATTCAATTCACCTATAGCGCATGTTTTTTGGTCTGTGGGGGAAGCCGAAGCACCCAGAGGAAACCCACATGAACACAGGGAACATGCAAACTCCATTCAAAAATGCCAACTGGCCCAACGAATGAGTGACCTTCATGCTGTGAGACGACAGTGCTAACCACTGAGCCACCATGTCGCCCCTAAATTTTATTATGTCTTGCTAAATGCTTCTGTGATTTGTTTTCTTTTGACTTTAAGCTGTCTCATGTTTATGTTTGTCAGGCTTAAATCCCCATGTGTCAATAACAGTGCAACAGTGGCATGGAAAAACTCCCTGTGTGGGAATATGTGTGAAGCACAAAGGAACAATGAGCACTTAAAGAAGAGGAGACCAGATAAAGATGAAGTTATAGTTAATTACAGACTAGATGAATTAATAACTAAAAAGATATATAAATACAAGGTGCAATGAAGAAGTGGGTGCCCTTTTTCATTTTCATTTGATCTCATTCACAGTGCAATGAGTTCCAAACATTTTGGAAAGAGATTATTTTTTAAATAAATATAAGTTATAACGCATCTCCCTCCTCATTCCTTATTGGTAGGAAAATCAGATGATTTAATCAGGCCACATTCGTCTGCGCAGCTCTGCATGAGTCAAACCCACCTAAACACTTGTGTCAATTCCTGCACTGAACACCAATCCTTTGAAAAGTTACTTGCCTTAAATGGTATGTAAATATTTGCCTTAGGTTGTATTTTTTACACTTATCTATGAGCTCGCATAGCCAAACGAGTCTCTAACATGTCTCTATTGCAGATCACATGCCATGCACACATATGTTTATGATTTTCATGTGCGCATAAAGATCACCAGTGGGCTCTACACAGTTAAACTTAACAATAACGCTGATGATCACAGTTGAGTTCTTTATCGAAAAATAAGTAAAGCTTCTAGTTCAATTCAAAAGTTCTTATTTGTTTATTATAAAAAGCCAAAAAATATATACAACCCCGAATCAGAAAAGGTTGGGACTTTTACTTTGGAAATTTACTTTGACTTTTGACTTTATTTATTGCAAACAATTCAACAAACATTATGTAATGGGTTTGTGTTCGTGATTTTTTATTGTTCAGGGTTTTTTATTCTTATTTTTTATTCTTTTTTTCTAAATAAACACATATATTACAATTTTGATTCTTGCAACACATTTAAAAAAAAAGTTGGAACAGAAAAGCACTTACCTTTTTGTAAGGTTACTATATCTTTTCATAATATTTAAAAAATGTATAGGGATTGAAGACACTAATGGATGAAGCATTTCAGGTATAATTTTGTCCCATTCTTCCAGCAAACAAGTCTTAAAGTGCCCAACAGTACGGAGCCAAGTTAGGACTGTATGCAGGCCAGTTAAGTACCTGTATCCTCTTCCTCTGCATTCAAAACTTTGTATTATGTGCAGAATGTTTTGCATTCTCTTGTTGAAATGTTCAAGGATGACACATACAGAGAGATGCCAACCATCGAGGACTTTAACCACAAGACATACATTTAATTGACAGATACACTTAAGTAAACATGCACACACAGACATCACCCACTGTATATACTGTAAAACTGCAGGTTAACTATGTTTATATATATAATAACTTATATTTAATTGTAACTTTAGGTTGTTTTAATTGTAATGCAAAAATATGCACCTTTTGTAAAGCTGCTTTGAAACAATAATTATTGTAAAGAGTGCAACACAAATAAACCTGAATTGAATTGAATTGAAATATACATGGGGCTCCCTGGAAAAGAAGGCAGCATATTGTGCTCCAAAATCTTCAGCATTCATGGTGCCATCACAGAAGTTACCTTTGCCAAGGGCACTGACACAACCATACCATGAATGACCCGGGCTTGTGGACTTGTTGCTGGCAACAGTCTGGATGATCCTTTTTTTCTTTGGTTTGGAGCACATGCTATAAAAATTTCCCTAAACATACCTAAAATACTGACCACAGTACACATTTCTACTGTGTGATGGTCCATCCCAGATGCCTCAGAGCCCAAAGAAGTTGACGGCACTTCTGGACACTGTTAACATAGGGCTTCATTTTGGCACAGTACAGTTTTTACTGGCATTTGTGGATGTAACTATGATTTGTTGTAATTGACAAAGGTTTGCCAAAGCAGCCTATGTAGTGATGTCGCTTGTACATGGATGACAATTCTTGGTGAAGTGGCGTCTGAGGGATCGAAGATCACTGTAGTTTAGCTTAGTCTTGCGCCCTTGTCCTTAACACATTCAAATTCCTTCAGATTACTTGAATCTTTTATTAATGTTATGTACTGTTGAAATTAAAATATTCCAATTGACTTTCTATCTTTCTTTGAGGAACATTATTTTTAAACATTTCAATCATTTTCTCACGTATTTGTTGGCAAACTGGCAATCCACTGCCCACTTTTGTTCCTAAAGAACTAGACCTTTCTTGGATGCTGCTTTTGTACCAAATCATAGTATAATCACCTGTTGACATCACCTGTTTAAAATCACAACATTATTAAACCAATTTACCTGATTACATGACCAATTTACCTGATTACAGACTTTTTTTGGAATGTTTTTTGGAATGAAGTTGACCAGACAAAACATAAAATATTTTTGTTCATATTGTCTGCAATGAAATACAAGTCAAAGTAAATTTGGAAATCACTTTCTTTTTTTATTTGTGCTTTCCATACTGTCCCAACTTTTTCTGATGGTACAGAATATTCCATTTGTTTTATCAAATTTCAAATCTTCCTATTTTTTGTTTAGAATTTTCGTTTTTTTTCTCTTATTTGGTTCCTAGTTAAATATTCAGAAAGGCTACTCACCTTATTCTTCATTTACTGAATCATTTTGGCTAATTTCCAATTAGGCTGTTTTTCCAATTCAGTTTCATTATTATCTCGTCTGAACCCCTGGGTGTGCCGGTGTTTAAATCCAGAAATTTGAATTCCATTTAATTTCAAGTGTGACTGGTTTAGTGTTCGGTTCAATTCTCCCATTATTGTATTGTATTGCTATTGTATGACCTCTCTGCATTTATCATTGATATTTGAGCTGAGGTTAGAATTTCACAAAGTATGTTTTATTTCCAAGGGCAGTGTAAATTAACGTTAAAAAGTCTTAACACTTTTATCTAGCTTTAGTTAGTCTACCTTAGTTTATTACATCCAATGTGCTTCGTTCTTCATCAGAAGATGACTTAAGATATTTTAGATGTAATCTGAAAGCTCATTCACATGTAAGAACAATAACTTTAAAAACATCCTCAAAACAGACCAAACTTTTGAATAAAGTCATTATTTTTGTTTTACGTCCCCACAAAAATATTCTCAGACCTGGAAAATATTGAGATTTGATTTTTGTGTTTTTGAATGAGTCTGGAACCTGAATGAGAGAGCTCTAGATTTCATCTAAAATATCTTAATTTCTGCTAACAAACAACGGTCTCAGGGCTTAAAAAATTACTTGAACTAAACCTTTAAAGTTTATAATGAGTGTGCACTAGATTTATATTTTCCATTTTCAAATAAATCTGTCCATTATAGCTTAGAGCAAATCAATCTGGGCATTACAGCTCTGAACCTGCATTTTGGCATTCTTATTATTCAATGGGCATTTGGCATCATTATAAAAATTTGAGTTTTCTTCCCCATAGCTCCACCCTTCTGTGTCAATATGACTCTGAAATATCCCACTCACCATAGAAACACACCCCTCCTTCCTTGATCTCAACATCTCCTGCTAATTCCTCTTGCTTGCCTTTTAGTAAGCTTAACATTAGTGTGGACACAAATTAAAACAGGAATAATGCCACTGCGGGCAAATTTTATTTTCATCATTCTTCTGTTTTTTGGGATGGCATTGAGTGGGTAAGTAATAACATATTTTCAGCAATATTTGATGTTCACAGATGTTCTGGATTTGGTTTGTGAATTGATTTGATAAATATTAAGGAAGTACAAATGCAAACTTTTAAATAAATTGTCTATTAAATGTTTTTTCTGCTGCAAAGTAATTTTCTTTTAAAAGATACATACATTACAGACCAATTCCCAATCATTACAAAATCATTATTATTCATACTTATAAACAATAACTATATAATATATATTGTAATATTTAAGATTAGACAGGAACTTAAGTTGTAAAATCTTTTTACTTATGTAAAATATTTAAAAACTATATATATACATGTATGTATATATATATATATATATATATATATATATATATATATATATATATATATATATATATATATATATATATGATGACAATAAAAAATATTTTACTAGATGTTTTCAGGACACATTTACATGTATAAACTAGTAGTTAAACTAGTAAACTAGTAAACTATAGTAGTTTTGACCTTAAAATGTTTTTTTTTTATTTTATTTTATTAAAACTGCTTTTATTCTAGTCGAAGTAAAACAAGTAAGACTTTCTCCAGAAGAAAAAAAATTATCCGACATATTGTGAAAATTTGCTTGCTCTGTTAAACATCATTAGGGAAATATTTAAAAAAATCAAAGGGGGGCTAATACTTCTGACTTCAACTGCTAATAATTCTGACTTCAACTATATATATATGGAGTTCTTGCTTGACAGTGCAATAAAAAATTGTGAATGAAAGATAAATAGCATTTGTTTGGGTTTTGAAGTTGTGGCATTTTTCCTGGAGTGTGACCTTTTTTTGTGCTAAAAAGAATTACGTATTTTCATTGCCCGAAAGGATCATATTTTATCATCCTTGTCATTACTATTTGCTTCATGTGTACTTGACAAACTTTTGCTCAGAGAACAGACACACATCTTTATAAAAAATCTTTTACGTCTTTCTTCACAGGCTCATTTACCTGAGCACAAACGTGAGAAGGTGAGTTTTGTACACACGCACTACAAAGAAACTGGTTCAGACATAAAGAAAGTTTGCATGTTAGCTGATCATTAGTTTTCATTTTACTGTTTTAAGCTGCAATCAAGAGCTCATGGAACAGGTTTTTGCAACGTAAGTAATGCAGTAACATACTATTCTCATTTCAACACACAAGAAACTAATGCGCAAATAGTCGAATACTTCAGCAAACACTTGTATATGCACCCTATATGATCATAATTCAACTGAGTAAGAGTTTGAATTTTCAGATCCGTGGCAAAACCAAATACCCTTGAAAGCCAGAGAAGTTTAAAAACATCTCCAGGGTAAGTATTACTTTATTTAAAATGATTATGTTTAGCCTAAGCGAAGCAATGGCGCAGTAGGTAGTGCTGTCGCCTCATAGCAAGAAGGTCGCTGGGTCGCTGGTTCGAACCTCGGCTCAGTTGGCATTTCTGTGTGGAGTTTGCATGTTCTCCCTGCCTTCGCGTGGGTTTTCTCCGGGTGCTCCGGTTTCCCCCACAGTCCAAAGACATGCGGTACAGGTGAATTGGGTAGGCTAAATTTTCCGTAGTGTATGGTTGTGTGTGTGGATGTTTCCCAGAGATGGGTTGCAGCTGGAAGGGTATCTGCTGTATAAAAACTTGCTGGATAAGTTAGCGGTTCATTGCGCTGTGGCAACCCCCGACAAGAAAATGAATGAATGAATGTTTAGCCTACAATCGGATAGATACAGAGTCAAAATGACAACCATTGCACTTGCTAAAATGTTTTGTTATTTCATATAGAGTAAAACAGTCAAATTATGCATCATGTACACATTGTAAAGAGTAATGCCCATTTAAAGTGAAGTTATAGTTGTGTGTCTATGGTATTTTGCTAATTTGTGTTTAAGCACTTAGGGATATAAAAATGGACAATAGACCCCTTTCACATGAGGTCACGTGGTGTCCGGTGTTGTAAATAGGAATCAGTTTTTTATTATTTTTGTCTCTTTTTCTTTTAATCAAACAATTATTTGTATTGGTCATGTAAGGGTCATATATTAACTGAACTTCTAATGCTGTGGGTGAGTGCTGTGCATACTAATTAGCATTTTTGCAAAAGTAGATAGATGCGGGTCCAAAATAAAATTCAGCTCTGCAGAAACTTCCTGTCTGAAGAGAGGTGTTAAAACTGAACGCAGAACACAGAAAGTTGTATGTTTGGTTGTTGTGCAGAGAATTCGTAGAAAAAGAGGAAGTATGTTGAAGGTGCGGCCAATGGAGGACTGAACAATGACTGACAAGTGACGTTACACCAAAACTCCACCTGTTAATATCAGTTGTGTATATATGCTGGAGTCAGGAAATGTATGTTAGTTGCGAACCTCTTGAATGTAATTCTTGTATTGCATTGGGGTAGTGTAACCCATAGCTCTGTCATCGAATTATTCATTTGTATCCAATAAATTGTTACGATTTTTGACATTGAAGAAAAACCTCTCCTGACCTTTTCTCTTGAACACGCATGGAATTAGCTAGATATTCCAACACCGGTTTTACTCCATGCAGTGTATCATTACTTCCGCCTACACAGAAATCCCCATAGAGAACTCACCCAGTCAGCTGTATATTTACTACAGATATGGTTGGACTGTGACTACAGCTGTTTTTTGTTGTCTGCATTCAAGCTAAGACATCAGACATTTAAAAAAAAACCTTTCAGATCATCCAGGTTTCTGCTTGAACCAAGAAAATAGGACTTTAAACAGAGTCTATTGCTTCGTGTAGCTGTCTTTACTGCAGATGAAGTTGGTATAATTCTTGCTATATGCACATATACTCAGTATACCTACTTTTTTCCGCAAGCTGTTTGGGTAAAAGCTTTTTTTTTAGCTGTGTTTTAAACACAGTTGGAATCTGGTCATATTTAGATAGAGTGGATGTCAAAAAAATGAAATATGATTTGTTTTTATTTCAAGCTACATTCAAGTGGTTGGAAACCCTGTTGAAATTCTATTTCTGGAAATCAGTTTTATGTAGATTTTTTTTCTGCCATATTTTTGTTTTGTTTTACTTTTATTTTAGATTATTGATCTTTGTTTTTAGATTTTATTTACAAATAAAAGGGCTGCGACTTTTTTTAAGTACAAACTAATTTTAAAATTTAGCTAAATTTGCTTGTAAGTTCTAACTTTCATACTTAATCTGTTCAGTACTTTCTGGGAGTGCCTGAACCCCACAAACTAAATTGAATCAAGCTTTTTGAATACATTTCCCAAGTAACATAGAATTCTGGCAGGCTTTCATTTGGCACTGCATACAGCATTTGGGCCTAACATGACCTGGGTTTGGTAGAGGTTGCACCATCTTAATGGCAGCACACAAGACATAGGCCACATGTCAAATGCAGTATTTGGCCCAGATGTTAAAAACTGATATGTGGGCCACATAAGTTTGGCCTATCTTGACCCATATTTAAAATACATTTAAATATTTTTTGTGTAAAGAAATATTTTTGCGATTTATTCCACTGTGGTGACCCCTGATAAATAAGGGACTGATTCGAAGGAAAAAGAATGAATGAATGAAATATTTTAATACAAAAAAGTTCTTTCCATCTTCCTGTTTGCATCTTCGAATGCCTTCATTTTAATCCAGGAAGCAATCAAGATATAATTGTTTGAATTATTAATCTTTGTTTCCTGTAATTTCCAAAAATAACTGAATTCAACCTACATTACATATGTTTTATTAACTAAACTGTTGTTTTACAAACTCTATTATTATTAACCATTGCTAACATTATTATTATTAACCCACAATTCTTCATGATTTTATCGATTTCATTGCAGTCCTGAGACACCAAGTCTGGCTTCCAGACAATGTCCAAACATGGGTCCTAACTGGCCCAGTTCAGGCACAGATATGCTTTATTAACTTGGCACAGACCCAGATATACAGTTGAAGTCAGAATTATTAGCCCCCTTTTGATTTTTATTTTCTTTTTTAAATATTTCCCAAATGATGTTTAACAGAGCAATGACATTTTTACAGTATGTCTGATAATATTTTTTCTTCTGAAGAAAGTCTTATTTGTTTTATTTCGGCTAGAATAAAAGTAGTTATTAATTTTTTTAAAACATTTTTGGGACAAAATTATTAGCCCCTTTAAGCTAATTCTTTTTTGGATAGTCTACAGAACAAACCATCATCATACAATAATTTGACTAATTACCCTAACCTGCCTAGTGCACCTTATTACCCTAGTTAAGCTTTTAAATGTCACTTTAAGCTGTATAGAAGTGTCTTGAAAAATTTCAAGTAAAATATTATTTACTGTCATCATGACAAAGACAAAATACATCTGTTATTAGAAATAAGTTTTTAAAACTATTATGCTTAGAAATGTGCTGAAACAATCTTCCCTCCATTAAACAGAAATTGGGGAAAAAAATAAACAGGGGCGCTAATAATACAGGGGGCTAATAATTCTGACTTCAACTGTAGTTCATGTTTGGCTCTTGTCTGGAAGCCAGACTTGGTCCAGTCATGTCCCGTAATTCACTGCGGCATTTGGGCCAAGCAAAAGCTGATTGTGTGGGCCAGAGCTGGGCCAGAGAAATTTTGATATATGGGTTCAAACAAGGTATGTTTTAATTAGTCACTAAAGCAGCAATCAAGTGTGTGTTTTGTAAAGCAGCCACAAACATGAAACACTATACCACCCCTTAAACGTTTGTATCATTAAGCCACAAACAATAAAAACATTCTTGGTTCTTGATAGTTTTCATGGTTCTCAGGTTACCAATGAGAGGGGAATAAAGATTTACCAATCTTTTCAGTTCACACACCTCAGTTCACAACCTATGAATGCCTGTTTTTCTTTCTGCTAATTCAAATGTGTTACAGGTTTCAGTACAAACAGCCCAGTTTGCTAGCAGGGTGAGTATTATGTTTTCAGCATTAACCTTTTGCCCATTTCCACCTACAAACAGAATGACCCTTATAAAAAAATTACTGCAGTTTTTTTTAAAGGAAAACATCTGAAAAGTGCAAAGTGTCCAAAAAATGCACTTTTCAGAAGTTAACTAAAATTTAATTATTCCCTTAAAAACTGCAGTAATTGTTTGTAAGGCCTGCTCAGTTTATTTAATGTTGCTTTAGTTGTACTGCAGATTTTACTGCTGTTGATCTTTATTGCATTAAAGTTGCTGTTGTAGTGTTCATTTAACTGCAGTTATTTTTTGTTATTCGTTTTTGCAAATAAACTCCTAAAATTCTAATTAGAAAATTACTTAAATCCAAAAAAAAATCCCTAAAAAAGTACAAAATGTTCTTGGAAGATGTTGAAGAACAAACCCCTTGGAACACAAGTGCAGTGCAGTTATTACCATACCTTTGGCATATTAGACCAGGGGTTTTCAAACTTTTAGGAGACACGGCCCCCCAAGTTTGTCCAATTTCCCTCGTGCCTCCCGAGGCACTCCATCCCTTGAGTCAAAATGATAATGCATGCGCAAACAAAATTCACATATTACTTGCTGCGTTTAAAGTGCGTAGCATTAATTACATTGAAACATAAATACCTTACCTGATTCAGAGTGATGGCTGAGCCTGTTTCTGCGAGGACAACATGCTAATCTGTGGTCAGATTCCTGACACGACTAACCGTAAATCATCTACTGCCAATAAGCGTGAGCCATAGCATACTTGCTTTTAATGTACGTACATACAGAAAATACTGCTTCGCAAAGCCAAGTTCGCAAAGCCCTGACAGTGTGGTTGAGTATGTTTACATGGGCAACAATACTTTATTATGATTTTAATATAAATAAGACAATACTCTGATTAAGAGTCTACCATTTAAACAGTGATTTTTGATTACCTCAATCCGACCAAAATCATAACGGAACTAAACAGAAATGGAATTAAGACATGTGGAGTATGCATGTTAGAGGCATTATTGAAGTAAACGCATAAGAATGCATACGTTTTTTTTTTTCCACTCGACATGCGGTATCAATAAAAACAACTCTTCCACCATCCCTTCATATTCACGTCAAATACCCCAGTTTGTCACAGGGGTATGAATGAAATGTTAATGAGTGAAAGTTAAACTGTCGAACTGCAGTTAAAGTCATGAAATTGAAGATGAAACACAAAAAAATACATAAGACTGCAGGAAACGTGAATAGCCTGGTGACGCAACATTTAAAAAAAACACTTTAGGTAATTAATATTGTCTTATTCAGATTAAGGCAAATAACTGTTACAGATGTCCATGTAAGCGTAGTCAGTAGTCTTCATAGTAAGTGAAAGATCCAGAAGGGCATCTTGCTGATTTGATTCAGAGGGGCACTTTTTTGTCAGACCCCTCACCGGTTTGACTTTCATTCATTCACTTTCATTTTAAAGCGTCATTCATTTTAAAAAGCAACTGCTCCATTTTATTTGTATATATTTTACTGGAATGCATTTAATGATGATAGTAAGCTGTGGAGCTAACATTAACCATATTATTCCTTCTAGAGAACGCATAAAAATCTTCATAATTTACTCAAGTGCACGCCTCAATGCCTTGCGCCCCATTTGATAGGTGCTGGTGCCCCCCTGGTGGGGCACGGTAACAGTGCATACAGCAAAACCCCTGTATTAGACTACAGCAGCACATGTGCAGTAAATACGGAGATTACTTGTTTTTACTCCAGTTTAGTGCAACGTATACTGCTATTGAACTTTATTGTACTGTATTTGAACTGTGTTTATACTTCATTGTATTGCAATTTTGCAATTGTTCTTAATTTGACTGCAGTTATACTTCTATATGCTGCTGTTGTTTTGCAGTTTTACTTTAGTTAACTGCTTTTTTTTTTTGTAAAAAGAGTACAGCACTATGTAATTATTTATATGTTTGTGTTTGATACAGTCGGGCAGATGTTGTTTCTTTATCACCATGGCTAGCCCCTATCATTTGGGAGGGAACCTTTAACCCCACGCTGATTGATTCTATCTACAAGCAACATAACATCACCATTGCCACCACTGTCTTCGCTTTGGGAAAGTAAGCTCCTCGTTATACTTCTGTGTGGCTTAGTGGCAAGGCTGTGTAAGAACCAAGGTGGCACTTGCTCACCCACACTGATCATTGACCCACCCAATCAGATAAGACACAATATTGTTTTAATATAGGGTTGAAAAGTGTAGAGCTCCACGCTAAAGAAGGGAAAAGATATTTGCTTATCTGCAATATATTTTGCAATATAAAAACAATTTCACCAAATGAATTGAATAGTTCTGTTGAAAAATATTTTTTTATTAAAGAATAATAGTACTAATCATTTTTAGTAAAGTGCATCTGTATAAATATATTCAACAAATTACAGATAGCAAAATCAGACAATCAAAGTACAGATATGTAAAATTGAATACAAATTAAATTAAGCAGTGCTTAATGTTATTTTTTCTGGTATTCTAACGGTCTTAAGATACAGAAATTGAATAATAAAATGTAAAATGACACTGAATAGTCTACATACATCATACATTTTTGGGCTTGAGTTATTATGTTGGCTTGAGAAAGCCAACATACTGTTATACTACTCTGTCCTTGAAAACAAACGTATCTCCTCCTAGGCCGTTCATGCCACAAGGCCCAAATGTGGTCAAAATGTGCCTTCTACATTCAAGATTGTTGCTATATCTCCTCATGCCTATAAGACTTATTGTTTTTTTTAATAAAAAATGTTAAATATTAAATTTTTATAATTCGGGCATTTAAAAAAATTATACAAGCCCCAAATTTGGCCAAAAGCTGAGATGCGTTAGATTTTGTTGCTATATCTTTAAGGTTTATCAGACTCATAGTTTTCCATTAAATAATTTTTAAGCATTATTTTTCTCAAAATATGGCAAGCCATTATTGAAATTCTAAGTTCCCTTTTAATATACTGTTTGAACTGTGAGGAGAAGAGTGTGAACTCATTGTACCAAGTTTTTTTAAAATGCAGATACTTTTTAACAGAAGATGCTTCGTAATTATGTAAACCATCAAGTGGTTTAGGAATAGGAGAATAGCTTTAACAAAGCAGCAATAATGCCACTCTAGGATGATTATTTCAAAATCTGCATACCATTTTATGTGAAATTTGGACTTGTTTTAATCAAGAACATCTCCGGAAATGTGGCCCACTATGGTTAACTAATTCTTGGGGAAGCTAAACACAATAGCTACATGTGTATGTTTTAGTATTTATTGGTCTCTGGCTGAAATGATTCTTCATTAAAAAGTATCTGCATTTTAAAAAACTTGGTACAATGAGTTCACACTCTTCTCCTCACAGTTCAAACAGTATATTTTAAAAGGGAACTTAGAATTTTAATAATGGCTTGCCATATTTTGAGAAAAATAATGCTTAAAAATTATTTATTGGAAAACTATAAGTCTGATAAACCTTAAAGATATAGCAACAAAATCTAACGCATCTAAATTTGCATGTGTACTTTTATCTTATGTCCAGTGAAATGATAGTTGACCTGCTTAATCCAATTTCCTCCTGCAATTTGAGAATAAGCGTTTTACTTTAGAGCTAAATTATGTTGGTTAAATAAGGTTGTTCAGGGAAACAGCATAGTCAGAATTGAATTGCAATAGTTTTTAAAGGTTTAGTTCTCGCAAAACCAAAAATGATGTTATTAATTACTAGTTTCTTCTTCTCAGTATCAGTATATTGTGCTAGTTCAGGAGCACTGTGCAGTAATGTAGACCCTCCAGATGCTCACTCATGGCTTATTCTCATTCAGTCATTCATTTTCTTTTCAGCTTAGTCCCTTTATTCATCAGGTGTCGCCACAGCAGAATAAACCGCCAACTTACCCAGCATATGTTTTATGCAGCGGATTATGCATATGTTTTATGTCTTTGGATTGTGGGGGAAACCGGAGCCCCTGGAGGAGTCCCACACAAACATGAGGAGAACATGCAAACTCCACACAGAAATGCCAACTGACCCAACTGGGGTTCGAACCAGTGACCTCGCTGTGAAACGACAGTGCTAACCACTGAGCCACCGTGTCACCGAGGCTTATTCAGTTCGAAATAAATAACTGGTAAATTTGAGGTAATACATCAGCAAACAACCGATCATGACACACTCATAATAGTCTAGTGCAGTGGTTCTCAAAGTGGGGGTCGGGACCCCTTGAGGGGTCGCGGAACAATGAAGGGGGGTCGCCTGGTGATTTCCAAAAATCTACTTATTATTAAGCCATAAGAATTACCATATTTTATCCATAACCAACTGAAGAGAAAAAAACAGTCGTTTATAGTTACTATAGTAGCTTATTTACTTGTTCTAATGGATTGCGACCCCTGGGGTAAATACATTATATTAAAGACAGCAATAGCGTCAGATATAGCAGATTGATTTTATAACACCAGGTTAAACTTTCTAGCCCATTTACAGCACTGGCATACATAAAAAAAATTAAATGAAGAATAGACTTTGGTCTATTGGTGTGTGTGTGTGTGCGCCATTGCATGCAAGTTTTCTGTATTTATAACCACCTCAGAGGATATTGGGGGTCGCGAGTCACTGGCATTGTTATTTTAGGGGTCGCGTGCTGAAAAGTTTGGGAACCCCTGGTCTAGTGAATGTGTGCCTTAAACAGACACAAAGGAGAAGAACTCACTTAAAAAGATTCCATCTAAAATATCCTAATTTGTGTTTTGAAGATGAACAAAGGGTTCAGGGAGTTTGAAAAATGTGAGGGTGAGTAATTAATAACATCATTTAAATTTTGGAGAGAACAGTTGAATAATGTGTTTAGAAAAATAGCCAAATTACCATTAAAAATGTTCCACTTACATCTGTGTGCTTACATAGATGGGCAAGCAGAAAGTATATAAACTCATCTGGTCATATGACATCGCTACATTTTAATCAAAGCAATCTATTTTTTAATTCATAAATTGCCAGAAGTCAAAAACAGTTTTTAAATAAGGAAAAGACATAGTGACACAATTGTGATGCAATTAAACAGAATAAGTTTGAAAGTAGGCGCTGCTGTGCTATCTACTTTATTTCACCAATGGTCCACAATTTCTGGCCTCGTCACTGATTTCAGTTAACCTCCTCTATTGTATAGTAAAAGGTAAAGATAAATCAACTGACTAACCATGTTATCTGTCATTGTGTTTATTAGATACACGCGTTTTCTCAAAGATTTTCTGGAGTCAGCGGAGGAGCATTACTTTGTTGGATTTGGAGTCCATTATTACCTGTTCACGGATCAGCCTGAAGCAGTTCCTGAAGTAAAGATGGGTAAAAACCATCGTTTGACAGTCAGAAAGGTCCCAAGTTTGGACCGATGGCAGGACATAAGTATGGGCAGGATGGAGATACTGGAAAAACTAATAGCGGATGAACTGATGCATGAAGCCAACTATATATTCTGCCTTGACGTGGATACGAAGTTCTATGGCCGCTGGGGATCAGAGACTTTGGGTAATCTGGTAGGTGTGATTCACCCTTGGCTTTTTGATTATCCAAGGGAATCATTTACATACGAGCGAAGACCAGAGTCTAAAGCATTTATTCCGGTTGGGGAAGGGGATTATTATTACACTGCTGCTGCATTTGGTGGCACATTAGAGGAAATACATCGTCTCACCAAAACCTGCCGCGAGCAGCTGAACGCTGATCATGAAAACTCCATTGAGGCAATATGGCATGAGGAGTCTCACTTAAACAAGTATTTCCTTTACAACAAACCCACTAAGCTGCTGTCACCTGAGTATCTGTGGCGGGACATCAACATAAGTGCAGGACAAATAAAAATTATTCGCTTCTCTCATGTGGCTAAAAACAATGCAGAGGTTCGTCCAAATGCATGACATATGTTGTGAATCTGTCAACAAGCAAATCTAACAACAGGGACTTTGCATCTACAACATAAATCACAGACGTACAAACATGAATGTAATGTTTGTATGTAGCAACAGAAGCTTTTTGAATGACCACATAAAATTGGTAACATTGTACAATACTCTCCATTGTTATATTGTCCAGTCAAATAGTCTAGAATTACTAAAGTCACTGACAACCCTTTGTTTTATTTTTTTAGCGAGATGAGGTAGGTGGTTTAGAAAGCAAACCAGCTACAGGTAGGTCTGATCTGAATCTGAAATCAACTAAAATTGTCTTTTCTGGGTACTCTACTGCATAAATATAATTGTATTTTTATAGCATTATCTTATTTATAATTACTGTATGTAAGATTGCACTTATCTTTCTGTATGTTATAGTGTATACTGTAAAACAAGCATTATGGACGCATTGACAGCAAAAAAGTTTATACACTTGTAGAAAAGTCAGAATATTTACAAATATATTTCTATGTTTTATATAACCGTGTTTATAGCATAAATATTATATGTAATTTAACATTATTATTGAGCCAATAATGTCCCCCGAATTTTTGCCATTGCAACTTTTTTACAATGATAAATCATAATGTGTGGATAACTGTGTTGTGTAAAGAGCAACGACATTAAACATATTCAGTTGATGTCACTGGTTAAATACAATTATCTCAAATCATTTACTTTTTTTGTTTAATTTTATGCACACCCAAGATGTTTCTAAATGTGTTCAATTTATGATGATGTGTATGTTAAAACTCTATATATTTGTTGTTCAAAAATGTATGTGTATAATTATTAACATTGCTAAAGAGGACACATTATATTTCTTGAGGTTGATGGATTTTTCAACGATACTGTCAAATTGTAATATATAGATACTTTTTAAATGAGAAGTATTTTTCTACCACTTAGTATTCAGGCAAATTAAATCTTTAAAGAAAAACTATTTCATCTTTTATTTCTTTATTTATGTTCTTAGCTGGCAGGAGTGGCACCCGGTGTGGTCTTCTGCTGCTGTAGCCTATCTGCCTCAAGGTTGAACACGTTTTGCATTCAAAGATGCTCTTCTGCAGACCTTGGTTGCAATGAGTGGTTGTGGTTGCAATCAGTCTGGCCATTCTTCTCTGGCCTCTGGCATCAACAAAGCATTTGCGCCCAGAACTGCTGCTCACTGGATATTTTCTCTTTTTTATCCATTCTCTGTAAACTCTAGAGATGGTTGTGCATAAACATTCCAATAGATCAGCGGTTTCTGAAATACTTTCCAGCCCTTATGGCAACAACAACCATGCCACATTCAAAGTCACTTAAATCACCTTTCTTTGCCATTCTGATGCTGGGTTTGAACTGCAGCAGATCATCTTGACCATGTCTGCATGCCTAAATGCATTGAGTTGCTGCCATGTGATTGGCTGACTAGAAATTTGCTCGTTAATGAGCAGTTGGACAGGTGTACCTAATAAAGTGACTAGTGAGTGTAAAATAGTTTGTCTATGTCAAAAGTATTTAGTCAATAGAACAGGAAACTGAAGCAACAATTCACACAATATAAGAAATAGAACATTGGAAAAATGTTGCCCAGTCTAATTAGTCTCTATTTCTACTGCAACATTTGGATGGCAGGGTCAGAATTTGGCGTCAACAACATGAAAGCATGGATCCATCCTGCCTTGTATCAATGGTCCAGCCTAGTGGTGGTTTAATGGTGTGGGGAATATTTTCTTGGCACACTTTGGGCCCATTAGTACCAACTGTGCATCGTGTCAACGGCAAAGCCTACCTGAGTATTGTTGCTGCCCATGTTCATCCTTATGATACTTCCAGCAGGATAACGCGCCATGTCATAAAGCATGAATCATCTCAGACTGGTTTCTTGAATATGACAATGAGTGAACTCAAATGGCCTCCACAATCACCAGATCTCAATCAAATAGAGCACCTTTGGGATGTGGTGGAACAGGAGATATGCATCATGGATATGTAGCCAACAAATCTGCAGCAGCTGCGTGATGCTATCATGTCAATATGGACCAAAATATGGACCAGATAAATATTTCCAGTACCTTGTTGAATCTATGCCACGAAGGATGAAGGCAGTTCTCAAGTCTGTAAGGTGTACCTAATTAAGTGGTGGTGAGTGTGTGCACTTATTTAATGACTATTTGCCTTTTTTTAACTTCCTGGTTTAAAAAGAGCATATATGTGTGACGTCGGAAGAACACCTTACTCAACTCCCTGTCCCATCTCCATCTGCAAATGTAGGCCATGAAGACAGTCTTTGGGATCTAAAATACAGCTCTCAATTAAAATGAATGGTCACTTTGTTACTTTGTGTTGCTGGTAGTGTGAATGAAGCTTAAGCATTTGTGACTATAGCAACTATCAGAAATGGATGATAATAAATATTTTATTTTGAATCAAAAATCATAAAAGAGAAGAAAGAATTAATAATTACTGCATATTCATCCTACATACTATAGTCTACTTTAAATTGTGCTCATGTCACCTACACATGTTGTAAGAATGAAAAATTAATATTAAAATAGCATAATGTGCACAATAGAATACTTTTTTCCTTCTCATGATATTGTAAATTTATTAAGGGATAATTTTGTTTCGTAATATCTAATTATATATTTCATGTGTTATCCTTACCTTTAGTTAGGCTCAACTAAAAAAAAATAGAATTTTTGAATATATATTTTTTTGCAAACTAAATTAATGAACGTACAGTGCTCAGCATAATTGAGTAGACCCCATTTTGAAAATGAATATTTTGATCCATTTCTATTTACTATAGGCAATGTATTTTGGTGCATTGAAAGAAAACTGATTTATTAAACATATATTTATAAAATTATATTTTAGTCACCAAATATATTTAGAAATAGAAAGAAAATACAATTCAAATCAAGCAAAATATTGCAAAAAAAACCAATAAAATTTCAACTAATATTTCCTTTTTTTTTTTTTTGCGTCTCTTGATTTTTCCTCTGTTTTTAATTTGTAATTAATATTTTTGTAGATCATAAATTTGGGTGTAGTAGTTCTTGGACTGTTATTGTAAGTTATTTTGTTAGATAAGCTCCAGATTTGGCTTCAGCACTGACTTATCTAATCTATATGCACAAATATAATATTCTATAGTTACCTATAGAAAATATAAATTTAAAAGAGAAATTTCTGAGGGGTGTACTCTGGGGTATATATGCTTAGCACTGTAAATGTTACCCAACAAAATATTACAGTAAAGGCCCTACAAAGAACACTTATCAGAGGTTTAAATTGGAAAAAGGTTTGGTCGTTGTTTAACATTTTTTTTATTACAAACCAATTTTAAGAGGTTTCATTTAAAATTCTGCATAAATTTTACCCTGTGAATCATTTTTTGCCAGGTTTATACAGGATGTAGATCAAAACAGTTTTTTTTTTTTTTTTTTTTTTGTCAAAGCCAGAAACTGTGGCACTTTTTTTTTTTTTGAATTGTCAATTCACTTGAGATCTCCAAATTCATAAACCACAAATTATTGCAGAATACAGATTTTTGAACTGTAACAAAAAATAGGCAAGCAGGCTTATGTTATTAATTTTTAGATAATCTTTCCAAAGTATCATATATACAAATTTAATAACCAAAAACCATTTTATCCTGCTATACTAAAAGAATTACAACATTAAACCAACAACATAAAGCAAAGCACTAATGAAAACGCACAAAACAAAACCTTTTTTACTTGAAACCTTAAGATCCTATAATCCCACAAGACCCTTACCCAGTAAGTTTACTTACGCATTTGTTTGTCTTATATATATTTTGTTTTTGTACACCCCTGACCCTTTTTTTCTTTCTTTCTTTTTGCATTTGTATTGTTCTGTACTTTGTTCTTTATGCATTCATGATAAAAAAAAGAAAAGAAAAAAAGAAAAACATCATTTACCAAAGGCACCAAAGTAAATAGAGAGAAATTTGCTTCACACCACAGAGCATCAGTGGCAGGCCGCACAAACAATTACACAATACCTGTCGAATACAGTAATCCAAAGAAGTAATCAGGGAAATCAGTAAAGTCGGTAGGCAAAACAAGACTCTCTCTCTCTCTCTCTCTCTCTCTCTCTCTCTCTCTCTCTCTCTCTCTCTCTCTCTCTCTCTCTCTCTCTCTCTCTCTCTGTATTCCAGCGATAGTGACCTCTGGTGACGAACCGCAGCAACCACAGAAGCTAAAAATATTGTATTCATTTGAGATTATTACGGATATTATATATGTTGCCACATTAAGTTTGTCATAATTAAACAATATTAATATCCAAGAACGTTGGCTAATATGCTCGAAAAAGAGTTTGTATCATAGTTTTCTACATCTGACATTATAACATCTCACAGGAAATCTCATGCTTTACACAAAGTGCTAAAAATACGACTTACAGTGAAAACGTGCACATACAATAGACATTGTACGCTGTAAGAGAGCCGTTGACCGTTTGGCAAACTGTAAATTCCATAGATAAATGTCAAGACAGACCAGTTTTGACTTTATGATTTATATCTTTAACCCTTTAACTCTCACCACACTTGAGCTCACACTTGAAAATGGTTTATGATATAGGCTCCTGTGCAGTTTGTCAGTTCAGGTTTAGGCAAAAAAAGAAATTAAATATAATAAATGAATAAGTAAGCAAGCAAGCAAGCAATTAAAGCAAGCAAGTAAATAAATAAATACCGAAAAACGTTTCACTTGTGAGGATGGTAATATTTAAGAGGTTTAATGTTCGTGTTGAAGTCTTGACTACATTACAACATGGAGTTTAGATATAAAACGTTACATTATAATTTTTTTAATGAAGCCGAACAGTGTAACAAATACAAACAATTTATATAGGCTATTCTAATTTTTGTTATTTCTTATTTTCCGATTTTCACATTCAAATATAAATAAATAAATAAATAAATAAATAAATAAATAAATAAATAAATAAATAATATCCATTTCTAATCAACCCAGGGCATGCAGGCTTAAGCTGTAAATTCGTGGGCAGGAATAATGTCTTCTTCCCTTGAAATAGGCGTCAAGAAAAGCAATGCCAAGTAACAAATGTAAAAAAAAATTAGGAGGAGATATAAACAATATCACAGGAGTACATACGGGTTTGTATAATTCGCATAGCTTTTAGATTTTTTTGAAGGTAATATGGACTCAGTATAATGCTTTACCTCATTTTAAATGCAATAAAACTTGTATTTCTACCTGAAAATTTACATTTATGAAAAATCTGGTCATTAAAATAAGAAGTAGCCTAAATAAACACTGTATGGGTCTTTTTGTCTGTTTTTCAAAATTCTTAAAATAATATCTTCCCAATGTAAACCAATGTTTTCGTCAATATTGACAGCAATAGAGTCAATTACATTTCTCAATTTACATTTCGCCATAAATGACACATAAGGGCAATGCCAAAATAAATGAACAGCGCTCTCTGGCAAAGCTACACCTTAACTTACATCTATAGCTTTAAAAAAAATTAAGTTAAATAACGTTTGGCCGGATATATTCTGTGAACTAAACCAAAAATCTGTTGACGATTCTAATTAGCACAGGTGTGTGTTCTGACGTCACACTTAGGTGTGGGTGGTTTGGTCCACTGCAGACTGCAGCGAGACGCTCCTCCTCATCATCTCAAGCAGAGAGAACAATCGACTGTTCAAATCCTGAATGTTGCTGATTCCTGGCAGAAGCGTGCAGCACAAAAACATTGTAAGTTCGTAAACCGTTGTTGAAAAAAGTTTACTCTCAGCACAGCCCTTCGAATGATCCCAGCCTTTTGAATGTGTGGTAAAATAATAATTCAAACGACTCACGGTAGATTTAATGCAGTGGCGTACATAGAGCGAAGATAATGTATTAAAACTTAGTTTTAAAACTGTTTCTGTTTTCGTATTAAGAAAAAAAGCGGCCATTCGGAAAACTACAATGCACCTGTTATTTAAAATATGATAATTAGGCTACACACAGAAAACTATAATAAACGGATTAGATCCTAAAACAAATCACTGCACAAAATCCACTCATGCAGGCACCCACGTGAAAAACCTACAACCCCGCCGTCCAAACAACTTTTTTAGCCTTTAATGAATATTTTTTACAACGAAAAAAATGCGCGGAATATCTTTTTTTATTCCCTAGAGCAATAAAATAACTGAATTGCAAACTAATCAGATTATTAATCGTAAAATGAACAAATGCAGACATTTAAAATGATATTTTAGGAAATGTTAATATTTTAAGGATAATGGGGCATATTTGTGGTCAAACAAATTCAAGGCAGAACCAGTTTATGCATTGTGCAATATTCCGGTCATTTGTTGTACAGTTTGTTTAACAGGTTGTATGGTGTGTCGAAGCACACATATTAGTCTTTGGCTGTCAGCAGTGTGTGTACGTTTCATCCAGTTGTCATGGTTGTCTTCATGTACGCCCCACCCTCGCCTGACTGTATTTGACTTTGAAATCTGCAGCATGACAGCATGCTCTTCCATGTCCGATATTTTCACTCTCATTTTTCAGATCAATTTATCAAGTGAATTCGGACACACAGCCCAGCTGATACGGCAATAATGCGAATCCGTCAGAGCTCAAATTTCTTTCTTCTTGGGGTGACTGCTGGCTTGACACTGACTGGGTATGTACGGCTTTTTACAAATCTTAAAAGACTTAAACTTTGATAATTGAATGTTAAGTGAATGTTATATTCAAGGCAGAAGCAGTAGACATTTTTTTTGACGTTTTATTAAAATATTAACAGATGTTTGTCATCTGGTTGGGAACTCATAGGTGTAATAGCTGAATCGTTTAGCTGTTTGCATGAGGTGGAAGATTGTTAGTTATGAACAGATACTTGGTGGTTAAATTTTTACTCAAAGTAATGCATTTTTATGTACAAAGCGCTGTAACCTTCAACGGTCCATAAAACCAGTTCTGTGGGTTAAATCCCTTTCAAATGAGAGGTATATTGTTGAAGCTAAAATGAAGTATTGCACAGAGAACCAATGAATCTGATGTTTGTTTGCTTCAATCCCTAAGACCCATTTCAAAAGACTTTTATGCGTGTGTGTTTGTCAGGAACTCCTATTTACATTCAATGACTAAACCTTTTGTAAAATGAGTTACAACTATATTCTGTGAAACCAGGCATTATATAGTATTAAAAAAATATTAAAACCCAATTTAACAATTTTGTACACATTCACCCACACACACTAAATTCATTGTGTATTTTTTTTATATATATCTACTGCTGGATTAGCTTTTTGTGCTTTAGTCAGTAAGTCTTTTTCTTTGTCTGCTCTTCTGTATTGCATAACTGTGTCCTGATTTATCTGAGCTGACTAGTTTATATGGACATCAATAATTGCCCTAATCTGAATAAGACAATAATATGATTAAGGTGTTTACAAGAGCTGTTTTTTTATGTTCCTTTCATCGTCCCATTTAACATGTTAAAGCACATAGTTCGATTAACATTATTGCATCACCCTACTATCCACATTTTATCTGACGTTTTATGCAATTCCGGGTGTTTCATTTTTAGTTTGTCGACTTTAACTGCAGTTTGGCACTTTCGCTTTCATTCAGGAACATTTCATGCATGCCCCCCATGACAAATGAGGTATTGGATGTGAGTATAAACTGCTGGAAGAGTGTTGTTTAATGGAATTTTATTCCGCGCATCGTATGGGGGAGAAAAAAAAACTCTGCATTTCATGGTGCAGGTGACTGTGGTCCTTCACTGGGTGCAAAGAATAGTGTCACACAGGCAGTGTGTGTATAAACTATCCTGTCCAAAACAATACGGTGAAAAATCTGCATGATGATATTAGTTTAGGGTGTTTACATGTCTGTACTCTACTTCAATAATGCGACTAAAATTGGCATACTCACGTCTTCATTTAATTTCTGTTTAATTCAATTATGACCTTAATCTGATTAAATTATTTGTAATTTGTCGTTATTTACATGGTCAACTCTTAATCAGAGTACTGTCTTAATTGTATTAAAATCGGATTGTTGGTGTCCATGTAAACATACTCTGTGATATAGAAATGCTATGGATTAAGTTTAGCCTTTTCATTAAAAAAAAAAAAAAATATATATATATATATATATATATATATATATATATATATATATTATAGCTAAACACACAATACTAAGATTGAATGAAAGATTTGTGGAAAGATCCGGTTGGCTGTTTGATTTGCTGGACCAGCCTGAAGCATCATTTATGATTGTTTTTGTTGTTGGATTTAGTGGTATTTTATTGAGACATGGATTTAATACTTGCCCCATGTAGGAATATATAGGTTGTTCTTAAAATATAGTTTGTGCATCTCAGGGTGGTGTACAAATATGAATAAAAAGATACAACATGAACATACTTTTAAAACATAACTCCTCCTCCTTTTTAAAAGCGTTTGAGCATCCATATGCATTTCCAAAATGATCTGAGCTTATGGGATTATTATGTTTTGTTTTTCAGGCTGATTTTTTTTGGCTACACCACTATATGGTTCAGGTAAGAAGACCATCTATATACATAATTCTTGTTTATGTGGATATGTTCAGGGTTTTACTGAAATGTAAGTTTTGTAAAGGCTTTATTCCAACACAATTAAAATTATCCCAACAATATTCTCAGCACCAATAGGGCTTCACAATATATTGTTAGCAAGGGGTGAGGGAATTTTAGCATCAATATCGCAATGTGTGCATCCACAATAGTCACAGTTTTTAAACGACACTTTATTTCATCATATACAAAACATAATTACTGTTTAAGATTCTTAAATTCAACATCATCACACATAATGGCCAACTTTGTTGATAATTAATGTTGTTTAGGATTCTTACAGTCATCATCATGCATAATAGCCAACTTTGTTGATAATTAATGTTGCCAAAGGTCATTTGCTGTATGATTGCCTAATTAATGATTGGCATGATGGTCTTGAACTCTATAATCTTTCAACTTTTAACATAAAACAGGTATCTGTTGGCCTGTAATAGCCAGATAATGTAATATTTCAAATTTCTCTTGACAATCATCAGCATCAGCTGTGCATAAACAAGGATCCAGCCAATATGTTGTATACTGTACATTGCTTCAATGATATTTGTACAAGGATCAGTTGATTTGTACAAATGTTTGCTTAAAAAATATATATGTATTATGTAATATCTTGGCAACCTAATCACATGTTAACCAAATTGAGTTATCAGATACTGTTCATCAAAATTCATGTTTCCTACTACAAATATACAGTTGAAGTCAGAATTATTAGCCCCCCTGAATTGTTAGACCGCTTGTTTATTTTTTTTCCCAACTTCTGTTTGACGGTGAGCAGATTTTTTCAACACATTTCTAAACATAATAGTTTTAATAACTCATTTCTGATAACTGATTTATTTTATCATTACCATGAAGACAGTAAATATTATTTGACTAGATGTTTTTCAAGACACTTCTATACAGCCTAAAGTGACATTTAAATGCTTAACTAGGTTAATTAGGTTAACTAGGCAGGTTAGGGTAATTAGGCAAGTTATTGTATAAGGATAGATTGTTCTGTAGACTATTGAGAAAAAATATAGTTCAAAGGGCCTAATAATTTTGTCCCTAAAATGGTGTTTAAAAAATTAAATCATGCTTTTATTCTTGCAGAAATAAAACAAATAAGACTTTGTCCAGAAGAAAAAAACATTATCAGACATACTGTGAAAATTGCCTTGCTCTGTTAAACATAATTTGGAAAATGTTTAAAAAAGAAGAAAAAAAATTCAAAGGGGGCTAATAATTCTGACTTCAACTGTACATGTACATACATTTTTTTTATAAAAGATACACCAGTCCACCTCTAATTTAATGTCACTTGTTAGTGGATAATATTTGTTTCATAAAATTCCCACACCCTTGCTGTTCTGCAATGCAAGAAACATTTTTTTTTTTTTTGCAAAAACACTCACCAGATTTATTTTCACATCTTAGCTACTTCCCTTGTTTTGCATGAATTTGGGTCCCACATACAAACATTCTCACTCACATAATACGGATGCTAACTAACCCTTCCTCCACGGGCATATATTTACTTTTGATATTGGTGGGACCTAATTTAAATCTCAATCTTATTTTTTTATAATCAACGTGGAGGCCAAAATCGAAAAAGATTGTTGATTATTTACACAGCCATGGTTACTATTATAGTGGCCAACTTGACTTCAAATGACTTACACTTTTCTTTGAAATGTAGCTCATTATGTCCTCATCTCAATAGGGTAAATCCACACAGACTTTTAATTTCAGTCAGCCAGCCCCAGAGCTCCTTCTTAATTGTCATCCCACACAAAATCGCAGCATTTAAGATAAACAAGAAGCACTGCATTAAATTATATTTTACTGCACCATGTGTTTAAAATATGGAAATGAATTTTACCCCAGTATTTTCAATGGAATTTCTGTGCTCTTCTGCTGCTAATGACGAAGCTAGTGATTACACTAAGAGTTTTTGTCTCTTTTTACTCTTTAACAACCAAATGGATGCCTATTTAACGGATTATATTTGAATTACACTACAAGGTCCACACTGTAAAAGAAACCTTATGAAATTTAAAATAGTTCACATAAAGCTGTCACCGGAGGTTCATCATTGCCTGAAAAACACTAGCTGTGCATATAGCCCATTGAGTCTTGCACAGTAAAAATATCCTTGCAGTTTTGGCATTTGTACATTTAAATTAATGAGAGTTGACTGAGCATTATTATTTTATTTTGGAGGCAATTAAATTATTGATGAGGACATTTCAGTAATTAGTAGATATTGGTAGGGCCCAATTTGAAATTCAATAACAAAATTATCAGTATTCACACTGGCGTGTAAGGGAAAAATAAAATATAGGCTATTACAATTTAATACTTAGGGCGATTTCAATAAATTTTATTTACTTATTTACTTTTTTGTAGTATGAAAATTTTACAGAAAAGGTGAAACATTTATGCCTTTTAGAAGGTCTATTTCTAAACACCATTTTGTTTAGAAGGAATGATGTGGAGAGTGTGTCAAGACAGCAAGTTGATGTTTTCAAAAGTTCATACAATCTCTTCCAATATTTAACTGTCAATTTCATTGAAATCAGATATAATGTCTGATTTCTTACATTTTAATTGAGCCTGTGTTATGTCAGCTCATCTTTGCTGATTGGATAAGCTGATTGCCTTCCTGATAATGTTGATCTTATCAGTGCAGAAATGAGCAAACTCAATAGGATTGCTTTCAGAGAGAAATTAACTTGTTTAAGTGTTGCACGAGTTATACGGTTTAAAAAGAAAGTTGCCTAGCAATGTTTAGTTCCACCCTGAAAGCATGGATACTGTCTTTATAAATGTATTAATAGACTACAACTTTCGTCTTTCTTCACATGTGCTCCACTTTCAGTATTTATGCTCTGCTGTTGAGATTCTCCAAGGTGTTTTTTTTTTTTTTGTCTCCCAGTCTTCTTTATGACTTTAACAGGAGTAATCAGCAGACTCTGCAGATATGCTTTGTGTCATTGATATGACCTTACAGTGTTCTTATTTAGGCATCTTTTTCTGAGTACTCTATAAAGATAAAGACAGTGTAAATATTATTTCCTTTGGGGTGAATAACATTTCATTCACACTAAAATTCCTGTGAAATCAAAATAAAGTTTTTTTGTTTTTTTAAGATAGAAGTTTTTAGTAGAATATCTATAAGCTAGTGTGCTCTAAAACTGTGACAATTTGCATTTAGAAGATATAAACATCCAAAGCTTTGATAATTCTACCTAAATGTTTGTGACATCACATTTAGCCAACGTTTTTTGACATCACCTCATAATTCAGGTTCTCATCAAAACTCCTGTTTTTAACCAATTATGTTCACATAAAGCTGTATTTTAAAGCAGACAAACGTTAAGTCTGACTCCGCATTAGTAGCATTATAGACTGTGGTTGTCATATGTTAGGGAATAACAGTTAAAAACAAGGACCCAGAATGTTGGACACAGACCAGGAGTCAGAGATACAATTAAATAAAGAACTTTATTGAAGAAAATAGTTTGTAGTTTTTTTTGTTTTTGTTTTTTGCTGAAGCCAGCTTCAACCCTCACACAGTTTGTAAGCCACTCTGTGTACAACAACTATTAGAAAGTCACTGACCACATCAAACGTTTAAAGATGCATATAAAGATTGTGGTTGGTCGAAACAGATAAACTTGGACAATCTCAACATGTACATAACATGTACACTTAGGTCAGGCATAATATTTTTGAGGTGAGATTCAGCTTCGGTCTTCTAGTCTTCCTCGATAAATACACATACACACGAATGCTACTTCAAGGATGTCTAGTTTAATTAAGTATGCTATTAGTATAGTTCACACTATATATTCAGTTTTAATACAACTTAAAACACAACAAACTTAGTTTCAATTTTATATTGGTGTTGCAGTTCTCACGGTCCCTCAGCATTCCACATTTGAGGTCCTAATGACCTCTTGTGCTGGCCTGGTAACCCTGAGAAATCAAAGAACTTCGCATACAGAAAGAGCAATGACACTCATATTTTTCCAGTTTTACTCTAAAGAGGGATGACATAAGGGTCATCATATAATCTAGTCACTTAAACAGATTAAGCACTACTATTAATCATATCACAGAAATAATATATCCTAATCCATCTTGGAGTATCATATGGATGCCAAATCCTTCACATGAATCTGATGCACTCGAGTTAAATAACTCTGAATGGAAAATAAACAGACTAAACAGAATTGTCTGTTTTTTTTTTTTTTAAGGAGGAGAAGCTACTCTGTCCAGCCCTGTCTTTCTGGTTTAGTTAAGGTTAAGTCAAACATTGAATAAATTTTTTATAAGTAAATCTAGAGTGTGTGGTTGTGGGTGGTCCCTATACAGGTAAAGTCACATCAAAATCTGTCGTAATTATTTTAAAGCATTGATTTCTGCATTATCAGTGTGAATATTAAAATCCACAGCAATAGTGAAACTGTCAAATTCAGAGGTTATTATTGATAGAAGCTAGTAAATGTTTCTGAGTCCTGTAGATAATGATCAGCAATAATCGTGGAGCACCCTTTAGTAATATACTCAAACATTCGATCTTTCATTTTGTGTTTGGCTTAGTCTCTTAATTAATCTGGAGTCGCCACAGCGGAATGAACTGCCAACTTAACCCGCCCATGTGTTTTATGCAGCGGATGCCCATCCAGCTGCAACCCATCACTGTGAAACACTCATACACACTCATTTACACTCATTCACACACATACACTACTGACAATTTTAGCTTACCCAATTCACCTGTACTTCATGTCTTTGGACTTGTGGGATAAACTGGAGCACCCGGAGGAAACCCACACCAACACGGGGAGAACATGCAAACTCCACAGAAATGCCAACTGACCCAGTCGAGGCTCGAACCAGTGACCTACTTGCTCTAAGGGCAAACTACTGCACCACCGCATCGTCTAACTCAAACATTCAAAGGACAAATGGTCATCAAGTAATGCATTCTTATGCAGATAGAGCAGCAATGCCTCCACCTCTCTTTCCGGCTCTGCAGACATCATAAAATAAAGTTAAAGTTTGGAGGGGCTGATTCATTGAAGACTGCTGCACTACTGTCATCTATCCAAGTTTCATATACAAGCATAAAATCCAAGCAACTTGTATTGATAATATCATTGACTAGAAGTGACTTATTTTTATGTGAATGGATGTTTAAAGGTGCTAACTTAACAGTTTCAGTTATTGTCCCTGCTGTAGTCTCTGATTTACATTTAATAGGCATCAGTTTTAGATTGCTTTGCTACATGGCTTGAAAAAGCCTCAGATTTTCTATCACATATTAAAACAGAGATGTAGGCTCAAAGAAAGCCACAGGCAAACTGGGTTCTGCCTGTTCTGTAAACATTTGGTTAAGTTATTGTTATTAAAGCAGGCACTGACACGCGTCACTGAAAGCTCTAATAGTTGCTTTACAAATCATAAAGCTCTGGTTATCTGTGTACAGTTCCTCTACCTAGGCTGAGATTTCAATGGTGATTTTCAATTTTACAGCTAAGAATGTAAACGTTTGTGTAGATTTATATATTTAATTTTTGCATAAAAGTGTTTTTTTGGTTTGCAGAAGTCAACAAATGGACAACTTTGGGTGAGTACTCATTTAATCCATGCCCAAAGAAGCCATTGTTTGAAGCAGTGTTTCTCAGCCACGTTCCTGAAGGGCCACCAGCTCTGTACATTTTCAATATCTCCTTAACCAAATACACCTGATTTAGATCACCAGCCTATCCTCAGTATTAGTAGATACAGAAAGACCTGTAATGTTTGTGACAGACAAATAAAACATCTAAAACATGCTGTGTTGGTGGTCCTCCAGGAACGTGGTTGAGAAACTCTGATTTAGAGGGTTTATTGTTGTTTTTTTAAATGGATATTTATAACAATTATTTTATTGAGAAAATACATCAGGACCAACAAAAATATATATTGATGTTGATCTAATTATATAATTTGTCAACCAAGCAATACTATTGTGATTAGCAGAATGGTTGAGACAGAGAGACACATTGGCACAGTAATACAGATGTAATGCTCAAACTGTAGGTCAGTGGTATAGGTAACCATGTGGCTCTTTGATCAAAAATACGTGGCCCTCCAGCTGTCTTCCTTCAATAATATTTTACCATTTAAAAAAAAATCGAACCATCACTAGAAATATGTTTCCTATCGAAAATACAAATACAATTCCCTCTTTTTGTAATTGTGTTTTTAGAGCAAAATAAGAACTCTGTTAACAATAAAAAGACGTTCTTCATTCATGCACTTGCTCAACATGTGATGCTTAATATTTGTTTATTTTTAAGTTGTGCATAGACATAAATTAAGGTGTTGTTTAAACCTGTATTATTTATAGTAGTAATACCGTTGCAAATGCATTTTGAAGAGGCATTTTGAGATAAATATACATCCAAATGGCTCTTTAAAAAAAAAAAATGTGTTTGCTAAAAAAATCAGAAATGGTTCTTTGTTCAAAAAAGGTTCCCGCCCTCTGCTGTAGGTGAACATTTCTAAATGCCTTTACGATGGCTTTGAATGTGGCACAACCATTCAAAATACAATGTTTGATCCGTTCAAGATCTGGCAAAATATAGTGTGTAATACCCTATATTGATTTTATTCTGCAATGCAGAAGTGTGCTCATTTTTGCTATTTTGTTTTAGAACTTCCAATTCAGTTGCCTATGGGAGAATTGACTATAAATGGCAGAAAATGTGTGTTCATGACTATACATAAAAGGTAGAATAATATATTAAGAAAATATCTGTTTGCAACATCAAGCAGCATAACAAGTTGTTTTTAATGCCCAAATCGTTGGAAGTGAAAAAGACGGAAGTCGAGATATTACAAAATATTCCAATTGAAGCACCAACTGGTATGTGAAAATAAGGTCAATAACAACAGAATATAAACTGTTGAAAATAGTCTATTTTACTACTACATTTCTTTACTTTGTTGCTCAGTACCACTGTTTGATTGTAATAGAATGAATGATTTTGTGTCTCTAATACAGTCGGACGGATGTTGTTACTTTGACACCATGGCTGGCCCCAGTTGTTTGGACGGGAACCTTTGACTCCAAACTGATTGACTCTATCTACAAACATCAAAACATCACTGTAGCGACCACAGTCTTCGCCCTGGGAAAGTAATGCATTTACAAACTGTACATTTCAAAATCTCTGATATAATTTTATTTAGTATTCATTTAGTGAAGATGAATTTTCAGTCATCATTACTACACTTTTCAATGCCACATGTTCCTGTTGGTGCTCAAGAAACATTGTTTTATAGTATTTCTTTTAATATAACTTATTTTATTTTAATATAAGTTTTGATTTATTTTCCCCTTACTTCTAATCAAGATGTTATGTGGTCCAATTTGGTGATTCTATGTGAATTTTAGCCTTAGTGTCCAGTTCTTAGCCAACAGAAGTGCTCTTTTACTGATGAAGCTAATCTGCTTCAAGGTTTGACATGTTGTGTGTTCATAAATATTCCCCTGACCTCAGTTGTAACAAGTGGTTATTTTTAAGTTACTGTTGCTTTTTTCTATTAGCTTAAACCAGTCTGGTCATTCTCCTCTGACTGTTGGTCTTAATGAGCCAATTTTTACTCTACTTTAAGAACTGCTGTATATTTGTGACCAAGGATCACAAAACCAGTCATAGGTGTCAATTTTCAGATGTTGAGATTTATACATAATCTGAATAATTAAAGGTGCTGTATTTGTTTTTGACTCTTCTAAAGCATAAAAATACCATAATATGTATGCAGATATATACACATGCTAAGTGAACATTCTTGTTTATCTCAAAAACAATGCTGAAGTCAGTAATTCTTGCTGAAAATATCAGTTTTGTGCTGGAACGCTGTCTTTGTTTTGGTTCTTTTAACCCACCCACTGGCACTTTAGCCAATTATATTTCAGCGGGCCAGGTTGTCTTGTTAGAAAGCCACATATTTCATTCATTCACTCAAAGGCTTTCAAAGCATGCGTACATAACCAAAATGCGACTTCCGGTGGACAGTAGCAGACTCCGAAATGAGACCCATACTTGGAGTGCTACATAAGGTTATTAATTATCAAATATTACGAACGTAAACATTAGTTGAGCAGGCAGAACGACAGAAATTTAAACACAGCCATTCAGAAGCACAGAATATCCACTGACTTGAGAAATTGTATGTTTTATAATCTAGTTAAAATATATTAAACCTATTTAGCATTATTAAATGTAGATGCTGAATCACTGATATGTGTTGCAGTTCTAAAGTTCAGTTTCAAACGGTTTATTTTCAAGATCTGAGGTTAACTATCTGCTGCTGCTTTCAGTATTATGGCAGTAAATGTAATGTAAAATGGCATTCAAACTCGCATTGTTAGCATGTAACACTGACTGAAGCACATGAGGTGTACCTAAGGTGATCATTAACATAATACAATTCTAACTCAAGGTGTTGTTGAATAAAACTTTTTTTAATATGGAAAATATTCATTCTATCACGTGCCATTGCTTTTATTTAGAACACTCACTCCTGTTGGTTCTCAGCTTTCTGTAGATGTATGGTTTGTTGGGATATGCAAACATCTGACTGAGATGCAACTATTTGAATGTCTAAAATCTGAAAGTTAAAAAAATCGAAATATTGAGAATCTCTGATCGCCTTATAAAGTTGTCCAAATTACATTCTTAACGAAGCATATTTCTTTATTTATATATATATATATATATATATATATATATATATATATATATATATATATATATATATTAGGGGTTTCCACCTTTATTTGATAGGACAGTGGAGTTGAGACAGGAATGCATAGGGAGCAGTGAGAGAGGGGAAGGAACGGCAAAGGACCTCGAGCCAGGAATTGAACTTGGGTTGCCGTGAGCATCTCAGTACTATATGCCAGCGCACTTTACCCCTTGGTTATTGGCACCAACAACAAGTCATATTTTTACTAAATGTCTTCATGTAACATGACATTTACTTTAATATTCTTATTTTTAAGTTTTTTTGACATAAAATAAAAATCAATCATTTTGACTCGTACAGTGTATTTTTGATTATTCTAAGGCACCTAAATTATCATTCTGATGCTCACTTTGGACAGTTGAACAGGTGTACCTAATAAGAGAGTGCAAATGGGTCAGTAGTATACATGTATACAATCATGCACAAAATGAGTTTTTAATATCTATTCTTCTCATTTTTTTTGTCAGATACACGCGTTTTCTCAAAGATTTTCTGGAGTCAGCGGAGGAGCATTACTTTGATGGATTTCGAGTCCATTATTACCTGTTCACGGATCAGCCTGAAGCAGTTCCTGAAGTAAAGATGGGTGAAAACCATCGTTTGACAGTCAGAAAGGTCCCAAGTTTGGACCGATGGCAGGACATCAGTATGGGCAGGATGGAGATACTGGAAAAACTAATAGCGGATGAACTGATGCATGAAGCCAACTATATATTCTGCCTTGACGTGGATACAAAGTTCTATGGCAGCTGGGGATCAGAGACTTTGGGTAATCTGGTAGGTGTCATTCACCCTTGGTTTTTTGATTATCCAAGGGAATCATTTACATACGAGCGAAGACCAGAGTCTAAAGCATTCATTGCGATTGGGGAAGGTGATTATTATTACACTGCTGCCGCATTTGGTGGCACATTAGAGGAAATACATCGTCTCACCAAAACCTGCCGTGAGCAGCTGAACGCTGATCATGAAAACTCCATTGAGGCAATATGGCATGAGGAGTCTCACTTGAACAAGTATTTCCTTTACAACAAACCCACTAAGCTGCTGTCACCTGAGTATCTGTGGCGGGACATCAACATAAGTGCAGGACAAATAAGAATTGTTCGCTTCTCTCATGTGGCTAAAAACAATGCAGAGGTTCGTCCAAACTTGTAGCATATTTCAGGCTGTTTACATCCACGTCAGGAGGTTCATGTTTCTCACAAAAGCATCACCTTAATCATTTTGAGACACAAACTGGTCAAATCAATCATGATTGTGTTTTTTAATTGTCTGTTTACATTTAAATCTTGCATACATTACTGAATATGTCTGATATCTGAATTCATCTAAAACTTACTAAATGCTGATTAATAGTGTCATGACGAATTTCAAATTTATGACTAAGTCAGATGAGCCATGTGGATAATATGTTAAAATATAATGTTGTGTAAATAATGTGAGCTGTGAATGAGTAGTATTTAATGATATTTAAAGCAATCACTGCCAATCTTAAATTAAGTGATATGTTATGTCAAAATACAGATATGCGTATAATATTTATTTGACAATTATTATTTGCTTTACTAAAAAAAATGTGCATATTAAAAAAACAACACTAACGCAAGAAACAAATAACAATAAATATTTATATTGTCTTTTTGTAAGCATGAACTATGGTTTTATGCTTTCAACTAGGTTTTGGGTTGTAATTTTAAGATGTAATTAAAATTCATTTACCTCCATCAAAAAAATTAATAAATGAAACCACTTTAATGGTAAATGCAGACTGTGGTTGAATGTACAACTGTTACAGATTGCATTTCTTAAACCATTGTATTTTTGTCAGTTTAGATACGGTACATTTAGGAAAATGTTATACTTGAAATAGAAAAAATACAATGTCTTGGTTTGAGCATGCATTTAACAACATTTACATTCACTCAGTACACTGTAAGCTGGAGGTTTACCTCATTATACATGTTGTGTTTGTAAATTTTGCACTGAAATATTTGTACCATGTGTACCAAACGTAAACCACTTTCTTAAAATGAAATAAATTGTATGGAAATATGTAAATCGTCTATTTGTCTAATTTTGTTTAAACATTGTACTTAAAAATAACCAACATCAAATGTAATAGAAGTATAGACATTTTATAAAGCAAGAAAACTAATCACTAAATCATAAACTAAGAAAACAGTCTATTTATAACTTCTAATTAATAAATCATTAGTCATTTTTCCAAGTACTAATTAATAACTGAAATAACCCTAATATATCGCAGTATCTGGTGTCTGTTGTTGTGAAATTGTATTACAAAACTGCCACACCTGTAGTTCAACCAATTATTTACACACCAGTGTTTTACGTTGCCCGATTATGCAGGTCTTATTTAACCAAAGATAAGTCTGTAGGCTACAGAATACTCAAAAAACTAAAATCTATGTTTGCTCAAATGTTATTCAAACATTTGCTCTCCTTTTGATGAATGAGTTGTGAAAATGGAAACAAAGTGCTCAGAAACTACTGCAAATATTTAGTGGGCAGTAACAGAGCTTTTGGCTTGCTAGTTTGAACATAAATGTTTTTTATTCACATTATTTTCCATGAGAGCCTTAAACATCCGGGTTCTGTATCATGAATATGAAAATGATTCTTTAGGGAAAGCCTTTTTGCTGCTTTAAGGCACTTTTATTTTTAGGAGAATATTACATTACACCATGTTACCCACATGAAAAATACCATAGTAATACTATAATGTTTTTAAATCATAGAGTACTTGAATTAAATCTGCTGTAGTGATTCTATGGTTGCTGTATTAACATACAAACTGTAGTAATATAAACCAAATACTTAAACCAATTCTTCTTCATTTCTACTTTAGGCTATGAAATGATGCTACAATACACCAGTTTACTGTAGTAAAATCCAAAGTGTACCACAATATTCATTACAGTTATTAGTTCATACTACAGTATCCATAGCATTCATTAACAGAGGTATAAATACTGTAATGTATACGTATAATACACTAGTATATACTAAATATAGATTTTACAATGAAATATATTTCCATCTAGGATATCTACTATAGTTTATATCATGAAATGTGCTACACAAGCTTTATATAAAACATTACATAGACATTTGTGTTCTATTGTTGTATATTCTAATTGAAGGCTGGGTGTGTGTCAAACATATACAGTACACAATCTTATGGAAATTACAGACAGGCTCAATCCAGCGCAACAGTAAACGTGGCTTGGAGCTTTTCTTCGACAGATAGACAAGATATGAGAATGTATGTCCATTACTGTGGTAATTGTACTCCAATCGGTGATCAAGTGAAACTGCAACTAATGCAAAGTCGTCAAAGTGAGTCTGACGACTTAATCTTAAAAATAGAAAGAATCTTTGAATTCAGAGATGTATTTGTTTTCAAAGGTAAAACTCTTTATTTAGCCTATAAGAAGGTCACACACTGTAGTGTAAAATGCAAACTGCGATTTCTAGTTTCTGCATAATGAATAAGTGGAAACACTGACGAGGGCCATCAGCATTGACCGCCCAGGAGAGGGCGCATTTCAACAATTTTTTAAACTACTGTACTGCCGTTCATTTAAAGAGATAGTTCAACCCCCAAATGACTTTCTTCTGTTAAAAGATGTTGTTTTAACAAAGCAGTTGACTATGCAAGGGCCTATAGGGACACTTATTTTATTAATTATCAAATTTCTAGTTACAAACATCAAAATAAGTGACTTCAAAATAAGTCATCTTGAATCAAAAATCTGATTTGAACATGAGTATATTGTATATACTAATACTATTTTTTGTCTTAACTATCCTTTTTAAGTGTTAACACGTTACAAAATTAATCATAAGACAGCAATTTAACACATTTATACTGCAATTTACTACATTTCAAGATATTGCTTGAAAATAATAGCAGGTTTGGCATACTGTCCTGGGAGAGAACCCTGAGCTCCAAGATAATTGAGCCAAGGGCTCCCTTCTGGTCAATGAGCATAAGGGGGTACGAGATAAGGTAGTTCTCAAGAGCTCCCCCTGGTAAAGGAGGGGTAGATGGGGGATTCTTCAATAAATGAAGATAAGGGATTGATGTTAGACAGGCTATTTAGTGAGTTTAAGATAATCCGATTGGCTTACTAATGATTATAGATGAGAGACTAGCCGCAATCAATCATATCGCGTACTCTTCTCAAAAACTTCACTTATTCACTAATCATTAAATATATTTTTAAAAATCTAAAAATAAAATATTAAATCAATTAGATGTGGCTGAACATGTACATAAATGTTAGACTTTCAATTATTTTACTACCTGTACAAAAATGGAAACTTGGGAATTATTTTGCAACAACATAGAAATGTTCTTGTCTTCTAAAGAAACTTGTATTGTTTAATGTTACTTGTTGGCGTTTTAGGTCATTTTAGTTATGACAATGTGTGGTTGTATAAAAGCATTTGCTAGAGTTAAGGAAGAATGAGTTGTTTAGACAGTTTAAATGTTTTTGTTGTGGCAAACGAACTAATTATTAAAAGTTTATAATATATTATTCTTAAATTAATAATTTATTATTATTTTATTATTATTAAAACAATGCATTACATGTGCTTGATGAGGACCTGCCAGGATTTTTGTGGTTGTACCCAGCCATCAAGACTCTGATTCAGTCTCTAAGATGATGTTAGTATATTTAAATTATTTTTTAGAAAAATCACTTCACTGCCATATGCATGATTAATTCAAATTTCCATTTAACCACAGTATAGCTATGTTTTCACCAATTGGGACACAAAGCCAGTATCTTAGGGCATGCCAGGACCAGTTACGCTTCCACTGTCACATTCAGGGCTTGATTGGGCCTCATCTGGGCTTCCTCTGGGAAAACAGCCAGGGCCAGTCGTATTCCTTGGTCCAAAGAGATTCAACTTGGGGATGAGGAGTGTTCAAAGGAGTGTGTAAACATTTCTACTCATTTCTCTTGCTATTTTTCATGTTATTTTATATTAAACAGCATATAGTGAGACTGGAGTGATTGTTAAAATATCCACAGATTGTGGAAAATTAACAGAAATTATCACTTTCTTTCAAAGGTAATGTCATGTCAATATTTTTATAAGCCTTTCGATTTAATAGTCAGCCATATAGTTATTTTGTTAATCCCTGCACTCTTCAAAAAAAAAAAGGTACTTATAAAAATTGTTCTCATAAAAAGGTACATAAGTGTTGGACAAATCCTTTATTACAATATCAATGGAAATAAATATTACTGTAAAGGCAAAGTGATTTGTAAATGATTCCAATATTAAAACATGAATCATCATTTAAAGAATGTTTAAAGAAACTCATAAACATTCATTATTAAGTTTTATTATACACAACAACTGGTAAAACCATAGGTATTGTAAACTAAACATTTAAGGCCCTTTTAATAAACATTTGGTAAGCATTTTCTGATAAATACATTTTTATCGTTGAAATTGGCATTTGCTGTCCACTACACACGTACAAACACGTACGTAAGCTGGCAAAAGTCCTGCATATGCAAAGTGTTCATGCAGAAATTTTAGTATTGTAAAATTAATCAAACATTGTGTATATCTCGTTACAATACTTTTGCATAATTTCTATTTAAAATTAAGTAAATTAAATAAACTTTCAAGTGATTACAAAGGTATTGTGTGAAAATTGGAGAAAAAAAGTTTTATATTTTACGTCAGAGAATGTTTCTGTAACATTTTGTGAAGTGTTGTGAAATGTTTTAAAAAAATAGATGGTTTGATTCATGTTAAAGTATTTTTATTTTTAATTGTAAATTGAAAATGTGCATTTACACAAAAAGAAACTTTTTTGTAAACTGAAACATTGTTTAAGAAATGTATTTGATGTTTTAAATTTACTGAAAAAATTACACATTTTTGATAAAGCAAATAATGCTTTTATACAGTTCTTAAACGAACACATTTGACACTGTTAAGGTACAAAGTGTCTTGTCACTGTGGCGGTACCTTCATGGATCAGATTTGTATCTTTGTTGAAGGTACAATATTGTATCTGCAGGTTTTAAAAACCAAAGGTACACTTTTCTTTCCCAAGATACAAATCATGTTCTTAAAGGTACAAACGGCAATGGTACAAATTTGTTTCCTTGTCTTAAGGTACTATTGTGTTCCATAAAAAGGTACTGCCCCAGTGACAAAAGTTTGTTCCCTCTTTGGTACAACATTGAGCCATTTGTTTCTGAGAGTGTATATTGGTGGATCTGGAAGTAGGTGCCGTCAAATATAAATGTGTTTTCTTTTCATGTAATTTTTTCCCAGTCCTAGTTTGATTCATAATAAATTATGTGCATTCCTGACACAATATATTGCTTAAATTTTTTTCATTCTTTCTAGAGAATTTTACAGTCAAAAAAGCACCAGAACAAATAATAAAAGAAAAGATGACACTAATGTGACCCTCAAATTATTTTACTGAAATCTAGATGTATACTTTCAGCTTTACTGCCCCATAAAACGCATTGTGTCAACAAAATATTTTAAATCACAAAAATAGATTTCTGGGTCTGGATTAGCGCTCCAAAATGTTTTGGCACTGATACTGTGATATGTGTAAATGTGATAGCAGTAAAAAAAAAAAAAAAACCTTAGGTGATTAATTATTAAAGGGTTAGTTTTGGGTGCTACCTTATAATTCCCATGAATGTGGATATGGCCTATATAGGGTGGAGTGTAAACATGGTTCAATCAGTTTTAATTATTACCTAAAGATATCATTGCAGTCAAACCACTGCAAAGCCATCTGGACTTAGATGTACACATCCTGTCCTACAAGAATCATACATTTAAAACTAAACTGGTAAACTGGGTTTTCAAAATGTGATTTATAAGCCAAGAAAAAGTTATTTACTTTTAAATAATAATAGCTTGGAATATGTTACATTTCACTTTCATATTTTAAAGTATGAGAATTTTACTCTAAGTAAGCCTACAATTCCTCAATAATTTTACAACTCTGCATGAACAGTAGCCTATAATTCAGTCCCGTTGGCCAAGTGTGAATAGAAAAACAGCGTGTGTGGCTTTAAGAGGAGGGTGGGCGTGGTTAAAGCTCAGTGACCTCAGCGAGGTAGAGTTTCGACTCGGTTGCGTTGCTAAAACACCTGTAGACGTTCAGAGTGGTGATATCGATTACCCGAGTTTGCGGAACCATTTTTGAATACTTTTAACCACAATTTGTTTTACGCGGAGCTTTGATTTTTACCAAAGAGGACGGTGGCAGACTTGCCGAATATGGGGCCTCTTGCCAGTCGGGACGTGTTTTCGTGGCTGTTGTTGGCTTCTGTTCTCCAGGTGTCGAGTGTTCGTTTGGCGGAGGCCAGTTACCTGTGCACTGCATACCTGAACATTTCATACACCAACCCTGAAAATAATAGAAGCACCTGGTTTCAAGAGGAGATGGGGCTGTATGGACAAGACTCACCCAAAGCTTATGTCAAGGGGAATGTGTATTTAGCTTCTCCGACCTATGGCTGTGATGATGACACCTTTTATGGCCGACCGAACGGCTCCAAGGGCTGGATCGCCTTAATCCAACGCGGAAACGGCTGCACTTTTACCGAAAAAATTAACATTGCGGCTATGAACGGGGCTGCTGCTGCTATCATCTTCAACGACTTTGGATCAGAAAATCGGGTCATTCAGATGTCCCACCCAGGTATGCCTGTAACCCCGGGGGGGATTAGGCTTAGTTGATGTATTTGCATAATGCGAGTGTTCCTTTTTGTCTGTTTATCCTGCTTAATTTTGGCCTCTGTTGGGTGCCAGTTGTACTCTAACCCGGGAGTTGTGTTGTGTAAGTTGTGTAAACTTCACGACTGATACAGAGAACCTGTCAGTGGGACCTCCTCAATGCGGAAGAGCTCGAAATCTGCTTTCGGGTGACCAGGATACTTGAAGAAATCCGACTAGAACAGCATTTTAGTTGTTTAACGGTGATCCATGATTTTAACAGTCATTTTTTTATTGAGAGGGAGAGAGAGATTCGCTGCCTATGACTCGATCTCCTGAGTCTTCAGATGACCTGTATTAAACTCGATCTGTCGAGGGCGAGTTGGTGTCGATGAGATAAAGATGATTTGAGCTAAAAAAATCTTGTTTTAATAAAGTCTTTTAAAAATATTGCGTTTTGAACTATCATTTTATTACTTAATAATTAACATCTAGGCAAAACAAATAAAGAATTTACAGGTAAATTAATGAAAAGTAAACTTCATGAAAAAGTTGTCTTGGCAGCTTGTTAAGAGACTTTGCCATGCGTCTTGCGCCTACAGACTATTTTCACACACAAGCTGTCAGTTTCTGCCAGTGTGTCTCATGCCTATATTTTGATAAAGTATTTGCAGCCCCTGTGAGCATAAGAAACTCAAGAAACATTTGAATTGTTGTATTGCAAAAAGACTCCATTTCTAAAGTTTAGTGCATGTTTTTTTCCCTTTAGATAATTTCACTAGCTTGCACATCACTGTTGCAGAGTGTGGAAAACAATACTAATTGATTACGTAAACCGTTGAATCTAATTAACACGATGTGCAGATTAACTTATCCATTTGTTTGGAAAATGTAATGAAAACGTTACTGTGTTCAATGAGTTTTTCAACCTTAAAATAAAATAAAATCTAATTTCAAGCATTGCATCTTGATTATTAAACTGACTTTTATCTTTGAACACTGTTTCTTTTCATTTAAACATATTTCAAATGATTAGGTGTTGCTGAATGTTTGATGTAGCATGTTTGTTGAAGGATAAAAAAAGTTTGTTGATAGTTCGGCTCTTTCCGTGTCAACCATCATGTTGCTACCGCTATCATGTGTTTTAGTTTGTGCACGCGCACTGCTTGTGTTTTCATCGTCTCTCGTATGTTTCTAGGCACAACTATCGTTGCGATTATGATTGGCAACTACCGCGGGATGGAGCTGGTCCAGCTGCTGGATCAAGGCGTTCCCGTTGCTATAGCGATAGAGGTTGGGAAACAGCACGGCCCCTGGATGAGTCACTATTCCGTGTTTTTCGTCTCCATCTCCTTCTTCATCGTCACCGCGGCGACGGTCGGCTACTTCATCTTCTACTCCGCGCGGAGACTCAACAGTCTCAGACAGCAGAACCGCAGTCAGGTACCACTCAGCATTTGTGTGCATTGCTGCTGATATGATGAACTTTAAACCCCTGTCCTCTTAATAGAATATAGTAACATTTGTTTATGCTAAAAAGGTACAATAAAACTACCCCACTGCCTGTAAGGAAGTTAGCCTATTAAAACTTACAGAAAGTACATCCTTATAGTACGAACTGATTATATTCAAGCATCTATAAATGATAATACTAAACATATATGACAAAGCATCTGTTTTAGAATTGTTTACACTCATAATTAATGCGATTCTGAATAACTGAGAATCTAAAACTAATTTGATCTATGCACTTGAACTGCAGTCAGACCTGTCAGTTAAATAATGTTGTGACAGTCGATAAGGCTTTTATGTTTATTGAAGTCACCATCTTTCATAGTCCTTGTCATTATCAATACAGGTGTTACAGCTGTAAACAGAATCATTAGGCCATTGTGTTTGGCTTCTGATTTACAGATACAGTAGTTGATCTGCCCTGTGAGTGGTTGTCTGAATGGGGCTGTATGGCCATGTGCTTTCATTGAGTGTAGCACTCAATGCTGTTTTGGTAAGCACTCTGGTGAAGCAAGCTTCCAACTGGTTGGTCTGGTTTCACAGCATTGGGCTCTGAGGTCATACATTTTTCTAGCTAAATGTAGTAATTGTGCATGTATGGGTTTCATTTGATAAATGGCATTAGGTTTAAGCTTAGTATCAAGAGACTGTGTTAATAAAAAAAAACAATTTTTTGAAGTTTAACTGAAACCACAAACCAGTTTAAGAGGTTATTATCTCACACACCACAGGGGAATACCCCTTTTCAAGGTATTACTCTGCCCAGAAAGTACCTTTTCCAGTTGTTCCCCATTGCTAGCAGCAGACTGGGAAGGCACAAATAAAGGGAGACAAAATCAAAAGGGCTTTGGAACATCAGAAAAACAAAACCCTTTGTTTCTCAGTATCCTTTGAAGCATCTTGTTAAAACTACTGCTACTGTATTGCTTCATTGGTCTTTTGACATAATCACCATTTTAATATGATTAAGTTACTATTTTCTTTCCTTTTCCACATTTTTCAGTAGATATTTAACCTGATCATTACACAGTGGCATCTCTCAGGCCACATTTTAATTATTCAAACTAGAGGTGCCAACTTTTATTTAATTGCCAATATATATATTTTTATTAATGCGACTTTATCAATGGTTAATACAGCATGGACATCATTAAATGATTATTTATGCCACACCTTGTGCGATTTATGCATCATGTAGTCAAGTCTCTGCCAATAACGTTCCCTTACTGCATTGGTTTCTCAGCTTCATATACGTGTGACACATAAAACTATTGTGTCTACGTAAAAAAATAGGTGCCATTTCTAGCTCAAAAAGAGCACTAGCAATTAGCAATTCTGAAAAAATTTTGCTTATTCAAAGACAACTTTTTTACGTCAGACAGCTTCCATCCAAACTAACTTACAACATGTATTTCTCCCTCCATCATCTGTCTGCTTTGTGTCACTGAACTCAACCTAAATTGCACACACAGAACATCATACCTGAGTGGGCATGTGGCTGACACATCCCTCAAGGACAGCAATAACACCACACAGCCACAACAACCACTCCTCATGGACACATGCCCATCTGTGCCCTGCACACTGAGCTCTCCACAGATAGTGTGATGTATTAGAACAGCTTCAAGCACTCAAGGTTGATCTCCAAAAAAACAGCAAGGACAACAAGTTTCAACAGCTGATAACACCAGAGTTGCAGTCCTTGTCAACAAACTCGCTTTTAAGCTCTTCAGGATCCTGAGTTTCTCACAGAAACTTGGAGATCTGCTGTTTGCTGAAACTATACTAGCTCATTTTCAATGCTGTGAGCTACTTAGTTAACAACCAAAAAGAAGCAAGCCCGACAACCACCTCTGCACACACCTGTGAGAGCCCTCCAGCCCCTGTCACACCATCAGGGCCCCACATACCTGCCGTCTTCAGATGGTTAACATAACATCTTTCAGTGAAATGTGTGGAGTGCCGACTTTAATAACAGCATCTTTATCAAATGTTTATAGAACAAGCGGGAACCAAGCATGCCTGTAGCTTCCACTAGGGCTATATGTTTTATTACGTAATAGAAAATCTAGGGCTTGTTATCTAGCGACTCATTTTAAGGTGGTGACTATTAAATGTAGATCTGAGACTACAGTAGGGACAGTAAGTAAAACAGTTAAGTTAGCATTTTTTTTTTACATCTGATAAATCATCCCATTTTATCAATGCAAATTGCCTGGATTTTATGCTTTTAAAGCTTGGCTAGATGACAGTTCAGCAAATAAAACTTTATTCATTTCTTTACTGATAAGATCAATAATGTCAGAAAAGCAATCCGCTCATCCAGTCAGCTAAGTTGTGCTGACGTCAGACAGGCTCAATCACAGGAAATCTTGGAAGAGATTGTACTGATTATGAAAATGTCAACCTGTAGTCTTGACACACTCCCCGCATCGTTCTTCAAAACACTGTTAAACTGTTCAAAAGTAGATCTCCTTAAAATGGTAAATGTTTCACTTTTTTCCGGAACTTTTCCAAACTCCCAAATAATGAGAGAACCAGATGTCCTACCTCAGCTATGCTGGTGACACTCCGATCTACTTGGCCTTATTGCTCAATGAATACAGCCCCATTGACACCCTCTGCCAATGCATTGATAAAATGAAGAGTTAGATGTGACTTTCTTCAGATAAACAAAGACAAACCTGAAGTCGTTTCATTAGGAAACAGAAACTGAAGTTCTCTGTACCTTGGCTGTAGGGGTTAAACCATAAATATTCAAGTCAAAAATCTTGGTGTGATTCTAGAGTCAGATCTAAGTTTCAGTAGTCATGTAAAAGCACTAGATAAATCAGCATACTATACTATCATCTTAAAAACATTGCAAGAATTATATGCTTTGTTTCCAGTGAGAAAACTTCATGCTTTTATCAGCAGCGGGTTGGATTACTGTAATGGACTCGTCACTTGCCTTTCCAAAAAGACAGTCAGACAGTTGCAGCTCATCCAGAACGCTGCGGTCAGGATTCTGACCAGAATAAGAAAATCAGAGCACATCACACCTGTCTTTAGGTCCTTACACTGGCTCCCAGTTACATTCAGAATAGATTTAGAAGTATTATAACTTGTTTATAAATCACCAAATGGCCTAGGACCTCAATACTTAATAGATTTTCTTACAAGCCTAACAGATCAATTAAGAATTCACTCAAAAGGGGTGAATCTGCTTTCAGCTACTATGTGGCCATATATATCTTAGGTGATCCTAATTTCTAATGCTTAATAACACATAAAGATCAAAAGCCATAATCATGGTATTATATAGAGTGAATAACTAATAAAAAAATTTTTTTTTTATTAACTTGCAACTATAATATGTCTATTTTTCAATGTTGATATTAATGCATTAATGTTTACCAATGGGATTTAGTGTTACCTATTGTACATTGTCATTAACCTTTTGCAGTTTAATTAGTTTAAAGCATTTATTAACTCTGAATATGTATATATAATATAGCATTACACTGTGTTTCTGGGTTATTAAATCTCTTAATCTTTTTTGAGCTTAGGCCAATATCATGATAATAACATATACCACGATAAAACGTCTGCAATTAATTGCAACAGGAAAATTTGATATAAGCAGAAGCCTAGGTTCTTATGTCTTGTATTGCTGCAATATATAAAGCTTAGCCAGTATATGGAGAACTGTGCAGTATTGTGGAGAATAATTTAATGCATTTATATTTAACACACGTTTCAACAAAAAAACTAAACAAACCAACCAGCTATTAAGTACTCTAAATATTCAAGCCTTTTATTTGATGCAAAGAAGTGGGTGAATATTGTTCTGATATTGCTCACTGCAAGACTCTGATTGATGATAAACATTTCTTGCTAAGTTGTTTCTGTCTCCTTAATATCTTCTTTTCTTGGTCATCATTTCACAACCAGTTTGACTGATATTTTAAGTAAATGGTCACCACCAGAGTTAAATTCGCACCACATTGTGTTTTCAGCTTCAGTTTGGTAAAGGATTCATATTATAATATTATCTGCGTCAATACAACCTTTGCTGTCTCCCTATGGAACACAGCTGAGTTGAGAAAGGTCATTGATGTTGAGTTAGCGAACACATGCAGGCGTGTGCAAAGACACTGAAGAATTTGGTTTTCTTGGATGCGATTCTCCAGTCCTGCAGGCATGTCTCTGTCTGATGAAGAAACCCTTTCCATTTTTTCCCATTTTTATTTTTGGTGGTTCTGTGTCTGCCAGTTACAAAACATTTCAATTTTATGAAATGCTTTTTTTTAAACTAACTTAATATGCCAATACAAAGGATTTATTTGGAACTATTTGAACGTGGGAGAATTAATTTATTTTAAAATTTGCTCTGAATAAACACTGTTTGTGAGCCTTATTATTAAGATTTCAATCACTAAAAAGAAAGTGCCAAGCGTGTTTTTTAGGCATTGTTTAAGTAGTTAATTATGAAACCAAGTTTTGTTTCCTCTTCAGACTATGACTACTTCATTGTGTATGTGTGAATGTGGTTTAAGTTTTTTTTTTTTTTCTGTTATCTAACGTGTTGACACTTTAGTATTGTTTAAGTGTGTTTAAAGTGTCTACATTTGTGTTGTGGCAACTATGTGCGAGTCAGATAAGTTTATGAGTTATTAATGAGCAGTTTGTTGAGTTTTTTTCCACTTAATATATACTTAATCCTTCATAGTCCATATGATAGTCCATCAATGATCCATTGTGGTAGATGTTTAGCATAGATTTTACACCAAAGCTGGATATTTTTGTCTTTATCATCACTAAAATATGCATACACTTCCTGAAAAGCTAGTGTTACAAGACCAGAAATACCAGTATACATGCCTCTCACATTGTTTTTTTTTTTTTTTTTTTTGTCTGTTCTCGCTATTTAGAAAAAGCTGAAAGCTGAAGCAAAGAAGGCAATTGGCCAGCTACAGGTCCGCACACTGAGACAAGGCGACCAGGTAAATCTGAACACTTGTGCACATATGCAAATGCAAACAAATAGCCTATTTTTTTTTTTTTATCATGAGTATTGTTATAGGCCAACCAATGAACGAAAGGCTGAAATACAGAATAAAGCATAGCATAAAGAATACAAAACTTATTAAAGGGGGAAGGGCACATGCAATTTATGCATTCTAAGATATGTCTTTTCCCAGAGAGAATCTCAAAGCTGTGTCTTTCTCTTATGTGTGTTAAAAACATTTTGGAATAAAGATGTGAGAATGGGTGAAATGAGCATGATCCTTAAAAAGAGATTTTTTAAATGTCTTATTAGTAGAAATGCAACGATTAACCAATTTCACTATTAACAGTGCTTTAATTTGTGACGGTTAATTAATCATGAAGTCTTCTCAACACCACGCTTCTGAAGTGTGGCGCTGCGCCCTCATGCTTTCCAGGTTTACCTAGTTGAAAGAATGGCATGAGCGGACTGTGAGTTCGTGACAAGAACCGAGTGATCAGCTTCATACTTTGTATGGAATATACACATTTCTACTCCAAAGAGAAAAAAATATGAAAGGAAAATACCAAACAATTTTGTAATATAGTTGATCAAAGGTGCCTTTCAGACAGGTTCAGCAGCCTTTGACTACATTTAAAAGGGAAATAATTAGCTAATATGTAGCTTAGATTTACATTTGACAAATACAATTTTTTTAATTTATTCTTTTTTTAATTTATTTTTATTCATACAATCATTCATTCATTTATTTATCGTTCTGTCATTTATTTTCAGTGTAAAATTATTGACAAAAACTTTTCACTTATTTTTAAGTCCACAGAGAAATGGACTATTGTTTGTTTGTAATATTATTTTGTGCTGTATTGTTTGGTTACTGATCAGCAATAAATAACACTTTTTATAATATAAGGAGTTTCCATTTAATTTACTAAACTAGTAGTGTTTTGAAAAGAATGAATGCATAATAACCGTGAAACTGTGATTATTCCTCAGACTATATTCGTACAGCCAAAACCTATAATCGCTGCCTCTGTACTGATTAGCAGTAAATTTGCTTATTAATAGCACTGTACAAAATAACATTAAAGAGGATGTTTTATTGATGTATGTGTTTTATAGGAAATCGGCCCGGATGCTGATGCCTGTGCAGTTTGTATTGATTCGTATAAAGCAGGAGATGTATTGTCAATTCTCACATGCAAGTATGTTTTTCTGAGGATCTCTAAGTCCATCTGAATCACTGATAATTTCAGTATAGATCATCATTTTTCTCTCTTTCCAACACAGTTGTGTTTGTGTTTGTTTTGCAGTCATTTCTTCCATAAATCCTGCATAGAGCCATGGCTGCTGGAGCACAGAACCTGCCCAATGTGCAAGTGTGACATTCTTAAAGCCCTTGGAGTTGAGGTGAGAGTTGAGCTAGTTAATACTTGGAAAAACATTATTTAACAGCTGCCCATGGCTTATGATTCTCGCCATGTTTTTTCCATTTATATACACTGATAAAGTGCATTTGATCTCTGCTTTGACAACTTTTAATGTTGAAAATTTAATTCTTCTTTTAAACAAAGTCGCTTTTGTTGATTTTTGTAGTATTGAATATGTTGTATAAGAAATGATACATTTTAGAAATAAGTCTGTACAGTAACCACAAAAGTTCTGCACCCTCAATATTTTCTTCACCAACCCAAACAGTACATGGTTTCTAAACAAAACAGTATTTTTGTTGTAAGAGAAAAGAATATGATTCTACAACGCAGTTTGAAAGTTCAAATAAACATTAGAGTCACATGCTGTGAGCAATTGTTAATTAACAGATACGTTTTACAGCACATCCTTATCTTGCTTCACATATCACACTGCTCGTAATTTTTTCATGGTTAAGTATTAATCCTTGGTATTTTCAGGCTGCCATTGATAGTTTTGTTCCTTATGTTAGAGATAAATCCATCTCTCCCTTGTGCAAATAATTTAATTGCGCATCCTCATTCCTAAATCTTGTTCATATGTAAATCAATGTACTTTTGACCTGATCATATAAGTCAGGTGTCACCCCAGTCAAAGTGTTAATATGACAGAGTGATTTAGTTACTCAAGCTCCTGAATATCAAGGTTGCCAAGTATCTAGTTGTAACATTTCAACATTTGTTTTTATATTTGAAATTGCTTTACTTATACACTGCTTGTCCATTTTAATGTATAAATGGTGTAGTATATTCACACTGAAAATCTAAAAAGAATGGGGTCAATTTGCCTGCATGATGTGCTTATTTAATCAATAAAAATAAGCGTGTAATGTTGAACACTTCATGGACTCAATGGTCGCAGATCATGTAGCAGAATGGAAAAATCTGTCAGGTGCTAAAATGTTTTATTTAATTTTAGATTGTGCAATCAATAGCATTTTGCCTCTTCCCAATGGTGAATGTGGTTTTACTCATGACAGGTAATGTTTGGTAGTTTGTTGAAGGGAGGGGGAATAAAGAACAGCAAAGAAACAGATCCAGGATGTTCCTTATTTTTATTTATTTCACCTTATTTTAACATTCAACAACTCTGTTTGTTTGTTTGTTGTGTTAAACGTAGCCTTTTCCTTTCCACCTCTTGCAATCCCAAGTTTACATATCTCACAGTTTGCTATGGCAATGTCATCATCATCAACTTTATAATACCTCCGTACTGCAGACATACACGCGCTTTCTGCTTCAAGCTGCTTCTGTTTTGCTTTGCCGGCATTTAACCATTTCTTCTTTCTTAACCTCTTTCTTGACTTCACACAGTAACAGCAACTCATACGACATGACATCACTTTGTTGCAGAGATGCTATTGGTTAAATGCCGGCAAAGTAGAAAATGGAAGCAGCTTGAAGTAGAGAGCGCGAGTATGTCTGTGGTCTGGAAGTTGATGATGACAACATTGCCATGGCAAACTGTGAGATGTAAACTTGGGATTGCCTGCAGGATATTTTAAGTTGAGGTGCTATTTGTTTTTATATTAGATTTTCTTAATATTTACTGTTGCACTTAAGTCCAAAAGTGAGGAGTTGATGTTATTTATTACTTGATTGTTCAAGCTACCTCACAGATGTGCTCAGTTTGTTAACAGAATTGTTGAATGCTAAGGTAACATGAATTAAATAAAAAATAAGGAACATCCTCGGATCGGGTTTCAATAGGTACTCAAAATCAACTCAACTCGAGGGCAAAAAACCTGATCGGGACATCCCTATTTCCTTTCAGATACTGCATAATATGGTGTCTTTTTGTTAGGTGTTAGGCAATATCTTATTGCTAACAGAGTAAAATACATGTAGGTAATAACTGATATGTTTAAACTTAAAATTCTACACACTTGTCAATATATGTTATTTTATTTTTTGTGTGAAAGTAATGGCCATCTAACTGTGGACAACATTGCGAATTAAAACAAAACATTGCTTAGCATCATAAAGGATTAAGAGACAAGCTCAGTTTCTCTCTTCACTTCATGTGGTAGCAGGAAAAGAGGAACAGACTGTCGAAAGCTGTGGTGAAACGTCTGTTCAACGTGAGTCAGGTCATGTGTGTTGAGCATTTGATTCCTGACTCATGCGGAGTGTGACGGTGTGCAGCAGATCACTGGAGTTTGTGTTGACTAGCTCTGGAAGCTTCTGGAAAAGATACTGTGTCCTTTGCTCTTTGGTCACCTTCATAAACGAAATCGTTTATTGTGGCAGCAAGTGAAGATGGTTAAAACACCGTCAGCAGGGGCACACCTCAGCTCAAAGTTTATTTATCACATGTTAGACTGAAGCTGTAAAATGTGTATTACGGAAACTGCCACACTGTTTAAAAAATAAACAATGACTTTACAAAATGTGTTTTAAAGGGATAGTTCACCTTTGAATCAAACTTTTCCCCATCATTTGCTCATGCTCTCATGTTTCTAAACTTTTATAAATTTCCTTATTCTGTTGAATACAACATAAGATATACTAAAAGTTGTTGTAAACCAGTGGTTCAAAATGTGGGGGTCGTGAGACAATAAGAGGGGGTCACCTGGTGATTTTCAAAAATGGCATGTATGTTATTAAACATTTTTAGAATAACCATATTTTATCCATAACCTGCAGAAGATATAAATAGTATGTAATAGGTAGATTAAAAAACAACATGGAAATAAATGTCATCTGCCTTTCAATTCTTTTTCTATTGGATTGTGACCTCTGGAGTATTTACGCTTGATTAATAACACAGCAATAGTATTAGTTGCAGAATGTTTAACTTTGACACCTTTACGGCACTCACAAACATTAAAAATAAAGGCCACGACTGAACACAGAGGCTTCAAGTGGTTCTTGTGCTGTAAACATTGTGCCCACCATTCTCATTAAGTTAGGTTAATATTAAATAAAACAAATAAAAATAATATAGTTGTTAGCCTGTTACACTTTTTTTGTGTTGTCAATAAGCTTATTTATATAGTTCCCATTGGTGTGTGTGCACCATCGTGTGCAATGTTTGTCTCTTCATAACCACCTCTGAGGATTGTGAGAGGTCACGAGTCACTGAAATTGTTATTTTAGGGGTTGAGAGCTGAAAAGCTTGGGAACCTCTGTTGTAAACCAGCAGTAATGGCTGCTTTCCAGCATTTTTCAGTATAGCTTTTGTTGTGATCAACAGAAGAAAGAAACTCCAACGGGTTGGGAACACTTGGAGGATGAGTAAATAATGACAATTTTCATTTTGTGTGAACTATCCCTTTAGTATCATGGGTCAGTGTTTCTATAAATATGTACTTCTGTAAATCATCTTTACCACTAAAAATATTTAGCTGTTTTCAACATTTTCATTTTCTTGAGCACCAAATCATCACGTGGCACCAAGGACTGGAGTAATGACTGCTGAAACTGTCACAAGAACACATTTAGTGTTAGAATGTTCAAATACTGTTGTTTTTAATATTTCACAATATTAGTTGTTTTTGATAATATATTTTTAAGCTTTCAAAAAAACAACAATCTTTCCAGGCTTTTGAGCTGTAATGTAAACTGTAAAAATAATATGCATTTAAATATTTCATTTGATACTATAGTTACAAATATTATTACCTCATTAAATAGTAAGCATTGATTTATTTTTGCTAAAGTATTTTCTACTTTTTACATCCTTGGTCTCTGGTAGAATTGGTCTTTCTGTGTTAATAAGCATAACTGGAATCATGCTTTTTCCCCTCTGGCCTCAGTCCATCATTGCTCACCTTGGTGAAAATGTCAGGCAGATTGGACAGCACACCTGCAGTGTAACATTCTGTTGTTCCTCCTCTACAAGTCTCTTTGATTATGCTCCAATTTTAGGCAGAACCTGATGGAGTGCTTTCATTTGTTTAGCCCATTTTTACTTCCTTTGAAAACCCGGCTCAAGTCAAACTACTTGCATATGTGTTTGCCATATGGTGTCATTGGTGTGAACCATAAATTGAAACTATCTACTATTTTTATCTGTTGTGTGTTTGCATTAAGCAGGCAATTACTCTTTTACGTCAGTCGTCTGTCTGTCAGTCAGGCGGAAGTTGTTGCCATCTCTAATGTGCTTCTGTGCTACTTGCTCTCAACCCTATCGACAGCCAACTTGTTCTCCCGAGAATAGAAGTTGGCTTGAAAGATACTGAGCAGGTTTGGTTAAAACCCAAGGGATATCAGACTGTTCTGAGCATCGTAGCATCTCATGCTTTGTTTCTTGCTTCTCGAGAGCTCAGCTTTGTTCTAACTGTTCCAAAGGATATCCAATATGACTGAAAATGGGAAACTTGTTGATAGAATGGCTGATAAAAGAATAAGAGAAATTAAGATTTGGGCCAAAAAAAAAATTAAGGAAGTTTTTGGAATTTAACCAATAGTATTTAACCATCTCATTACTCTAGAGCTGCTTAAGGCCATATATATATATATATATATATATATATATATATATATATATATATATATATATATATATATATATATTTATATTTATATATATATATATATATATACATACACACACACACAAAGTATATATAATATGTTGTGTGAAGTGATTTCAACCAAAATCTTACTTTCTCTTTGGCAGATGATGGCCTCGAGCTGATTAAATAATAGGGAAAAGTACATATTTCTTTAATAAGAAAGAAGTACAAGGATAACTGCACCATGGATTTCCTCTTGACCGTTCTGTCATGAGCCTTGATTACTGTAACTAGAGGGTTGGGTGGATCCTCTGTCATTGTTATATTGATCTCACTGAAACTAAACTGCTGCTTAGTCATCATGCCCCACAGGTATGCAGAGGTGGAGTTTGTTCTCCCTCTAATGGCAGTGTGTACTGTATTTAACAGCCTTGTTTCATTCCCCTTTAATCAAAGTCCCTAAACTGAGCCAGTTGCCTTCAAATCTACTTCTTAGTCAATGCACTGAGGAAACATTTGCCTAGACGTTTGCTGAAATATGTTTTTTTTTCTGAACTTCCCTTTTTGTAGTTGGATGTGGAGGAGCAGCCACAAATTTCAGTGCCTGATTTCAGGCCTTTTTCTACCTCTGAGGACCTGCACAGTGAGACGGCCTCACACACACACAGTGAGACCGCTTCCTCTGGATATGCATCTATGCATGGAAATGAACACCTCGCTCCTCCTGAAGGCACACACAACGGTATTATAAAGTGCACAATCACATTTATCTCAATATTTAGAGACACTAAAACCTACCATCGGTATGTTCTATGTACTGCTCATGTTATTGAGGTGTGGGATCACAAGAGTAGATGTAGAAATTCTTATTTACATCTGGTGTTAGAGCTGCATGATTAATTGAAAAAAAAACTATATCTCTATGCGACCCTATACACGATCTTAAATCAGCTTTTCTACGATTCAGACAATTATATTTTCACGGTCAGGAGAGAAGCGTAAAGGCGGTTGCACAAGTGTTCGCATTGTTAAATATACATTTTTCAGCAAAACATAGTCTCAAATGGGGGTAAAAGTGTCACCTACTGTATTTATAATTACCCCAAAAAAGTCATTTCTGTCTTAATGTAATGATGTATTTGCGGCTGCAAAATCACACGTGAGCTGACGTTTGTTTACTATTGAGAGGACGCATGCGTGCTCGCCAATGATGTCTACTTTTAGTGAACAGAACCTGTTTAGGCTGTGAATAACAGCTCATAAAGTTGCAAATATCATGTCGGCGCAATAGCCTGAGGGTTAGTGCCAACATATGGTGCAGCAGCACGTCAGGGCATCCCGAGCTCGAATCCCAGCTTGAGGACATTTCCTTACCGTACCCCCCTCTCTCTAACTAAACTTCTTGTCTCAATACTGTCTTGTCTTATAAAGGCAAAAAGGCCAAAAATAAATCTTTAAAAAAAGTTGCAAATAACATTCAGTTTGTTGCAAACGGAACTCAGTGACAGCAGTCATGACATGAGTGCACTCAGCAGTGAAAGCAATAATATCCAGCGCACATCATTTAAATTATCATATCGCATTTAAAGTTATGATTACAACAAGCTTTTTAATATGGTTTTTCTTTCCTAGCGAACAGTGTTGTGCTTGAAAATAAATGTTTAAAATGGTGTCAGTATAACTACTCTAGCCTATATAATGTTAAATATAATGCAAGGCGGAATCTGATAATGAAAAATGTCTAATTTAACCAGTGAAAAAAATGGTCTAATATTGTAGTCAATGACAAACATATGACTCAAACACAATATCTCAACAAAATTATATTCTGATGTCATCACTTTACTGTGAATTAACAATCAGGACATATTTAAAGTCATACCAAGTCTATGAAAAATGCAGCATTTTAACCAACAGTAGACCTACACATACAGTAGGCCTAGTATTATTATTATTGTTTTACCTTATGTTTAAAAAATAATAATAATATCCTACTCTTAATAACCTTTTCTTACATCTACCTAATCGTAAGAAAATCGTGATTCTCATTTTAGCCAAAATCGTGCCGCCCTACCTGGTGCTGCCTTTTGTTTGACCACTTTTCTGATTTATTGAATGGTAGGGTCTGTAGTTTGGTGCATGCATATGCTTTTAGTAATCTATTCATTAGAGCTGTGCAATTTAATACTTTATTATTCCATTAACACATTAATTATTTAATGCTAACAAATATTTTGTCCTGCGTTCATTGAGTTTTTATTATTAACACATGCGACTTATGCAGAAGACATGACTGAGGCAGATTCTGCATGTTCATGGCCTTTATTTGCATATTTGCATTGACTGTGTATGTAATCTACTCAAGTGAGTACTTTGGATATTTGTGAAAGCACAGCATATTATAATACATACTCTTCGGGCAGTGGCATTGTGCAAAACTGTGAATGAATGTTCTAAAGTGAAGTGAAAACTTCCCTTGCTTGGGTTAATAGGGAGTAGTGAACAATGTAATTCTGAACACAGTTCATGCATAAAGCTCTTATCTCATCATATTGCTCATCAACTTTTAAAATACTTTTTTTTCCCCCAAATTATGTTTAACAGAGCAAGGAAATTTTCACAGTATTTCTTTCACAGCATTTTTTTCTTCTGCAGAAAGTCTTATTTGTTTTGTTTTGGCTTGGTTTTTATTATTATATATATTTTTTAGTATTATTAGCCCCTTTAAGCCAATTGTTTTTTGATAGTCAACAGAACAAACCATCATTATATACAATAACTTGCCTAATTGCCCTAACCTGCCTAGTTAACCTAATTAACTTAGTTAAGCCTTTAAATGTCACTTTAAGCTGTATAGAAGTGTCCTGATAAATATCTTGTCAAATAGTATTTACTGTCATCATGGCAAAGATAAAATAAATGTAAAGTTATTAGAAATAAGTTATTAAAACTATTATGATTGGAAATGTGTTGGAAAAATCGTCTCTCCGTTAAACAGAAACTGGGAAAAAATAAACAGGAGGGCTAATAATTCTGACTTCAACTGTATGACCAAATAATCATAAAATTTAAAATTTCATTTGTTGCCCAGCACTTAATAATGAGATTGTGAAATAAATTAGCCCAGAAAGCAATGCAGAGAACAGAAGCTTTTGTTCCTGTTCTGATAGCTGTAAAACAACACCAAACACTGTTGTGGTTGTCACAGTCAGTACTGGTAAGAGAACACTGTGTTGTTTTTTTTTACACTTTTTTTTTTTTTTTTTTTTCAATAAAGCCTGTCTGGCTTTCACTCCTCTACAACACGCATCCTGTAATGTTTCTGAATTAAGTCAATAGTAGGGTTGTGAATGTGGTGATCAGTTACACCTGTAATACCGGTTTCACCTGGGGTGGGGTGCTTTTAAAAGGCTTATAAATTCTGTTTATTTACATTCGCTTTCAATTTGACTATTGGGTTTCTGTTGCTTGCATCGACAACGTATCAATGTATCAACTATATCTGGATGTGGTAAAAGTTAGACATGTTCACACTAGGGCAGCACAATATATCATTTGAGTATCAATATCACAATGCAACATCCGCAGTAGTCACTTCGCAGGATTAGATTATTTGTTCAATTTTTAAAAGATAAAGATATTATTAAATACTATTGTTTTAATTAATAACCTAACAAATTCATATTTTTTTTATACAATGATAACCATGTTATTTTGTTTGATTGTTCAATTTTTGTTTCTGAATACTGCTAGACTCTACCGAAAACCAGTACTATTTAACGTTTTCCTCTGCTCTGCTGTATTTATATATACTTGTAAGTTGTAATTTATTATAATTTATGCAGATCTATTGCATAGAAAAAGACTTGATCATCTCAATCTATCTAAATCCAATTTTGATTGAGGCTAGTTGGGCAAAGGTAAATATAGTTGTCATGGGTAATTTCCTCATTTATTTAATAATGTTTAACAATGACTAAAAAACATTGCTTTATTTACTAATACAGTAATTTAATTAACATGTTACATTAAAAACAATATAATCTAATTTATAACAGATTTACACTAGTTTTTGCCTTTATTTGCTCGCCGATGTCTACTGCATAGTCCTCTATCCGTCGAGTGACAGTATTTACTTTTTAAAAATCACTTTTATTTACAACATCTAATTGAAACATTTAATTTCAGTTTGCTTTTTTGTCGCTCAGCAGTAAAACAAACAAGAAAGGTTATGTTAAATTAGAAATGACGTTCTCTGCGTCAAAGGCATTCGCTTCAACCTCTATCTCTCTATCATACTCTATCTCCTCTCAGATGGGATGGTGGGCCAAAGCAAAGGTTACAATGGGCCAACTTTGGCCTGTGGGCCCTACTTTGGGCATCTCTGATCTAAATAAATGAATTTTTTCCAAATAGAGCAACTCAATCAGTCTACTGAAATTATATTTATATCACAATATACAGTGCTCCGCATACTTGAGTACACCCCATTTTGAAAATGAATATTTTTATCCATTTCTCAGTGAATATGGCTAATGTATATTAGTACGTTAGTACGGAATTGTTAAACAGATAGATTATATTTTAGTCACAGAACATCTTTAGAAGTCAAAGATAATAATTACAAACTACAAAAATTCCACAAAATTGTATACATTTTTTGTTTCTCTTTATTTTTGCTATTTTTGAAAATGTTATTTAATATTTTCCCTTTCATAAATTTGGGTTACTAATTTTTGAACCATTATTGTAATTATTTATTTATTAATTTTTTTAGATAAGCTCCAGATTTGGCTTTACTACAGACTAAACTAATATACATGCACACATATAATATTGTAAAGCATCCTAGAAAATGTTCATTTAATTAGAGATTTGTGAGGGGTTGCAAAAAAAACTAAATATTGCAATGTCAAATTTTCCCAATATCGCTCAGCCTTAGTTTATACCTTTATTTAATGTTATCCATTTTTGAGCAGATTGGATTTGAAGTGCATTTTAAAGTCATGTAAACATGTCCATTGTGTTTATACTACTTGCCTTTCAAACACATAAATGTGCTTAACAGGCGTAGAAACGTTCATTTACACATGTATGTTAGTTAACTGGATATTACAGTATGTATAATAATTATAATAATACCATATATCAGGTCTTCGAGTATTTTGCTAGACAAGTCTAGACTAACTCTATTTCTCTCTCGTGCTGTAAAAGGCAACCAATAATCATGAAATACATGTGGAATAAATTTGACCATATAACACTAGTTACCTAGCATTGAAATTCCTATCATTTTGCTTTAAAGTGAGCTCAATTTACCAAGAAATTCACTGCAATTCAGTGACAGTACATTACAAAGTATTGATCAACATGTTTAGAAAATATTGCTTTTCCACTGTTCTCAGAATAAAATTTTGTTGTGGAAACAATACGAAATCCAAGCTGTCATACAACGGTCAAGTTCCAGAAGTATAACTTCCAATAACAGCAATTAATCCACTCTATTATGTCTAACCATTTATACTTCCGGTCCAGTTGTGGACTCTAGAAGGTTTAATGCTTCATTGGTGTTTCTGATGTTCACTGATAAAAATCTTTGCATTGTACCATTACGAAGTTTGTTTTGTATAAATCAGAGGTGTGTTTGTTGTTTTAAACCTTTTATAGATGCTTGCGGCAATAGGTCATTTGGTCTGATTGTTTTTTTTTTTTTGGCATTTAAGTTTGAGCTCTATGTTGTGATTGTTTTGCAGGTGTGCAGGAGGAGCCTCACTACGATAACCTTGCCTTCGAGAGCGACGTCCACAACCAGAGTGAAGTCAGAACCTGAGCAACATACACACTGCTGCAATGCACTCATACAGATGAATGAGGGGGGTTGATTTGAGGACTTTAGTCAAAGCACTGCTGAGCCCTTTCCTGATTAGTTTCCAACTAAGTGCCTATACGCGCTCTCCCTGTGACTCTTTGAATTATATTTGGGTCAATTAGGGTCGTAATTATCTGCGGTTAATTCAGGGTATTATGATTTTTTTTAAGTCCAGCTTTAATTCCAATTAATAGTGATTCACATTTGAGATGCACAGAATAACATTATGAAGATGTGAGAGCGGCTGTGGAGATGCACACACAGAGCGAGAGAGATGGAGTGCTCCACCTGCTGTACGTCTGTGGGTTAATCCATACTATTCTTTCCCCTTTGTTTTTGTGGCTGCTGTCTCTTCTTATTGTTGAAGTATGTCGTTCCAGTTTTGATGGAAATGTAGAATTCCAGGAATGTTGTGCCTTACACTCACTCATGTATGTGTGCAGATGTATTTTATTCTTTGCATAGACCTAAGGTTTTAAAATGTCTGGATTTAAGTTCTCCTGATTTTATTATTTAAATAAGGGATTGAATAATTTCTTTACTTTTTGAGATTGAATAGTACTGACTTTATAATTAACACTGTAAATAAAATATTTTATGAAATTGCTTGTTCGGGATTTAGTGATTTATTTGGTTCATTATGAAGTGGAAAGGTGAGTGGGCTTGACTGTGGAAGAAAAGAAAAGCGAGAGAGAGAAAATAAACCTTAAATTTGTCATAACATTCATATACTGCTATTCTCTGATTTATTTGAAGTAAATACGATAAATTAATTAAATGTATTTGCAAGGGAAAAAGCAATATGATAAATGGTCCAACCAGTACAGACTGATCCTAAAGAAATAGTTTCATTGTTGGTCTTTAGTACTCTAGAGATTCAAAAACACTTCACATTTTTCTGAGCTGTTATGAAATAAGTTACTTGCTCCACTGCAATTTTTTGTCAATGTTTTGCAAAAAGAACTATTGGGTTATACGAGACTTATGTCATTGTAATTAAAGGAAGTTGATATATACATGAGCAATTTCACATGAGTAGCAGTGCGATATGGCTGTATATCGGCAACAATTGGCACTATACAGTGCGATATAATATACAGCCATATCGCACTGCTACTTGTGTGATATTGCGTTTTTTACAACAGTTCGACAACATAAGCATCTGAATAAAACAGAAAGTAAAAAAATCCTTTTGTATGCGGAACTACTTCTGCCATTCATTCACTTCTGCAGCTGACATCAGAACAGCAGAAACCCTTGCTAGTTCACAGATGTCATTTTAAAGCTAGTGTTTGAATGATTCTCTAGCGTAATGTCTAAAGTGATGACAAAACAGCTGATTTTGCAGACATTTTAAGATTATACGGCTGAACAGCATGAAATGCCATCAGTCTACAGAGATTTCCCAGTATTTCTCTGTTGCAATAAGGAGATCACAATAATTAACCCCGAAAAAGTCAAAGCAAGGCAAACACTACCAGATTACTGTTGTGTTTGCAACAAGGAAAAACGCTAAACACATGCGAGCATTTCTTCTTTCTTTCTGTTTACTGAACTAGTCTGCAGTACGGAAAACAGGAGATTCATTAGAAACAAACAGATGGCCAACCAAAAAGTAACTCAGGGTAATACAAAGAGTGGCCAACACAAAATACGCACATTCCTGATATGCGAGTCCCATCCCACACTTGAGATACTACAATTATATAGTATAAATACAGCTCTACAACATACAAAAGAGAGAGATCGACTCAGAATGTCACTCATCAATTTTATAATGTTTTAATCAGCAGTTTGAAAATATGCTGACCTTTTCTCTTCTTAAGGCTTATTATGCAGTCTCTGTCGCCATCTTGTGGATGGACAACGTCAGCTGTCTTTGCTCTGCTCAATGACAGGCTAATGGATGCTGACGCACTGTATTTCTGGAATTATAAATATTTTAAATAGGCACTATCCTTTTAAATAAACTGCATAGTTGCAATCTAAACAACTATATTCTCAACTAAACAAGTCTTAAAAGTACATAATGTTGTCCAAAAGGGAAAAAATGACCGAAAATAACTTTCTAAATGAGCACATTTTGTTTTAATTGTATTTTTTTGTCCTTGTATTTGTTCAGATACACTTGGTATTAAAAATTTAAACAAGACAACACTGCTCTCAGGTTCTATGAAGTTTTTGCCTTGTCAGAATAGTATAAAACGTAATGGTTTTAAAATATAATGTATTACTGTAGATATATTGAAGAATTTACTTTTGCAACTCAGAGTAAACATGTTTTGGAAAAGACTGCTTCATTCTTCGTATTATTAAATGTAATATAATTTTTATATGCTCTGAAGCATTCAATATTTATGACAGTTGCCAGAGCTTATCAGGTCTGGCCTTGAAAAAAGTAGTGAATCTAGTGGAATTTTATTCTACAATAGTAGCACATGTATATTTTTTTAATCGTCAATTTTTACACATGCACGCAAGAGATAAACCGACACTGCATTGTAACGTTATCGTTGACAACCCGGCGGTAAACATTTGCTACCCCTTTAAATAATTTGAAACAAAATCATGAGGCGTCGCTAGGATTGTGGGAAATGTAGTGTGTAGTTTTCAGGGCAGCGCTCTCCTCCGTTCAGCGGGGCAGATGTGGAAAACTACAATCCCAGTGGCGTCGCTGTCGCTGTCTTTGGCTCAGTTTCTGTCGACGTGGGAAAAGCGGCGCAAGAGCAAACAACACTCAATCTATGGGTGTATGCGCTTGACATGATACGAGTGGCATGCGAGAGGACGCGGATCTCTGAAGACAAATTCCAGCATGTGGCTCAAACCCGAAGAGGTGCTTCTCAAAAACGCGCTGAAATTATGGGTGACGGAGAAATCCAACGATTACTTCGTGCTGCAGCGCAGACGCGGATACGGAGAGGACAGCGGGGGATTGACAGGTACCGGGAGCGCGCGGATATCCGTGTGCAAGCATTAAGCATGAAAGATGCTGTAATAAATATGCTAAAGATGAGGCCAAATCGAATGCCTTTTCTGTGTTACGCTTTAAAATACACCTATATGGATCATGCAGACTATTGATTTAGAGACTATTACTTCAAACACAAAGTGCTTTGGCAACAGGTCAATGGTTATTGCAGATATGATGCTTTTCCAAGTTTCGCTGTCAGTGGATTGATGATGTGCTGTTTTGGTTGTTGACGTCACCACTGCGGTAAACTGACGTGCGCGTTAATGTACTTAAAAATGCAACATTCCTTCAGATATTATTTATCAAAGCTAAGCTAAAGCCTGAGCTGCTTTAAAGGGAGACTGCTTGGGTAGATGGGATTTATCTCCTTTTGACAGGGGTTGTTGCGTCACGGCGTGACGTCAGGTTGTTTAGGTTTTCAGGCGGATTCGGCGTGTTCGTTGGCAGATCCTGTCCTGATCCTATCTTTCCAAAGTCGGTCTGAAAAAAGGCTGTATTGATTGGCGATGTGGCTTGAGAGTATCTTGGGAGTAAAGGGCAACACGATTCCTGTAGTTTTAATGCTATTTTAAGCCAGTTTACAGTGTTATTTCACCATGTTTTAAACGTTGAAAACGTAAAGAATTACAAAGCGAATCACTGCTTTTGTCATTAAAGAAATGCACTGAAACCACTGTTATTATGTGACACGTAATTGTAAATAATGGTTTATTTGGATGGCAATGGTTTTTCTTGAAGATTAGCATATATCTATGGAAGATTAGCGAGTTGTGCTGTGCTATAGAATGTTACATTTTATTTAAAATGTTTACTTAAAACGAATTATTGTACAAACTAACGATTTAAAGTACATTCTTTTTACACACACACACACACACACACACACACACACACACACACACACACATAAAAAAAGTGAAATAGTCCTGAAATCAAGTACACTGGCTGACTAACCGCATATTAGCTTTACATATAAAGAGGGTTGAACCAACTCACCCGCAGCATTTAATGCAGGGGTGCCCAAACATTTTCGTATGAAGGGCCAAAAAGTAAATATTGAGACCCATGGCCGATGGTAAATATAACACACTACGTTACTATATTAAAGTTTCCATAGGTAATGTAGTACATTTATCGTGTTTGGCCATACACCCAAAGCGCTTCACAATCATGAAGAGGGGCCTGGCTGCAGACTCAGTGCAGATGCAATTTGAGCTGCATGCAATGCTTTTGAATGTGCTCACCTAACCCAACCCGTCACTAGCTACATTGAGTGCACTGTGTCTGACATTGTATCTTCACATGACAGCCAGTGTGCAGCATCCACTTGGATGATGTGACAGCAGCCACATGACAACGACACCAGTGTGCTTACCACATACCAGCTATTGGTGGAGTAGAGAGACGGTGATAGAGCCAATTCAGTGGATGGGGTTGATTGGGAGGCCATGAGGGCCGATGGAGGGAATTTGGCCAGGACACCAGGGAAACACCCCTGCTCTTTACAAGAAGTGCCATGGGATTTTTTTAATGACCACAGAGAGTCAGAACCTTGGTTTACCGTCTCATCTGAAAGACGGTGCTCACTGACAATATAGTGTCCCCTTTACTACACTGGAGCATTAGGATTTACACATACTGCAGGTTGAGAACCCCCTGCTGGCCTAAGTAACACCACTTCCAACACCACAGCAACCTAGTTTTCCTATGTGATCTCCCATCCAGGTGCTGACCAGGCTCAGCCCTGCTTAGCTTCACTGAGTAACCGGCCTTGGGCTGCACAGTGATATGGCTGTGGGGTAATTTAGGTAATTTCCTAACTTATTTTATAATATTTAAAAAAAAGAAATTGAAAGTGTTACTTTAAATCATATAAACTAATGCATTATACACTTATTTTTAAAACTTATTATAATAAAAGCATAAACAATCACAATTATAGCACAGTGGAGTTTAATGTTGAATACATTAGTCATGCTGAATCTGCCTTGATTTGCTTTTTGATATCTCTGGATTGTCCTCTATCTGTCAGGTGACTGAATGTACGTTAAAAAAATCAGATTCATTTAATTAGCATTAGATTTTTCTAGTTTAGCAATAAAACAAACAAACAAAAGGTTACATTAAATTAGAAATGAGTCTCTAAACCACCCCCGTCATTCCCCCTCTCTTCTCAGATGGGAGGATGGGCCAAAGGTAAGCATGGGCCAACTTTGGCCTGCGGGCCCTAGTTTGGGCATCTCTAATTTAATGCATTAGAATTATTGATACTGGCCCAGTGGGAATTGCCCACAGTCACAGGCATATAGTTAAAACTGAATTCAATTGCTTTAACATAAAATGTGCTGGAAATTGTATTGTATGAATCACTGTGTATCCAGATGGGATTTGACTTGTCTTATTAAATAAAATTAACTCTGTAATATTAAATGGATCGTTAGTAATACATGTTGTAATGTCATGATGTCGCAGCACAGAGGAGTGTATGGCCAGAGTTATTGTTGAGCTGATTATGGGTTTTACTTTAATTAGTGACTATTTTCCTCCTTTGGAGTTCATCACCATGGCAACCTTTGCTTCATGGCTGAGGGCCGTAACACACCAGCGTCTTTCAGAAGCAGTTTGTGCAGGCAGTGCAAAGGGACAGATTTCAGTGACTAACACTGAAATATTTTTCCATGCCGATACCTTAGAGACCCTGAAAGAAGTCATTCACGTGTGTGTGTGTGTGTGTGTGTGTGTGTGTGTGTGTGTGTGTGTGTGTGTGTGTGTGTGTGTGTGTGTGTGTGTGTGTGTGTGTGTGTGTGTGTGTGTGTGTGTGTGTGTGTGTGTGTGTGTGTGTGTGTGTGTGTGTGTGTGTGTGTAACATGATCTCTTTAGAAATCATTGATATTTTCTCATTAGGAGCTTTAAGAAATATTTCTGCAAGTCATTTTTATGTTAGCAATGTTGTTAACAGCTGCTATTTTTGTGCCATGTTTGTTCAATAGTTTAAATGAACCATGTTTATTTTAATTTAAAGAACTTAGTTCTATAAAAGGATGAAAAGAGTAGTTATTAAAAAAAATAAATAAAACGGAATCATATGCTCAGTGCTCAGCATAAATGAGTGCACCCCTTTTTTGAAAATATTTGTATCCATTTCTCAGTGAATATAGCCAATATATTTTGGTGAATTTAAGCAAAACTGTTTTATTATATAAATAATGTTATTATTCATTAAAATATTTACCTAATATATTTATATTCTTTAAAGAAAATACATTTAAATTAAGACAAGTTATTGCTAAAACTTAATTACAGCCTACAAAATTTCAACTCAATGTATTTTTTATATTTCTCATGATTTTTCCCATGTATTAAGATTTTATTAAATATTTTCCCTCAACATATTAATTTGAGTGTACTAATTTTTAGACATAAATCTTAATTTTATTGTTATATTAGATCTAGTGACTAATGTAAAGTATAAGCACAAATATATTATTGCAATTCATTTATTCATTTTCTTTTCAGCTTAGTCCCTTTATGAATCAGGGGTCTCCACAACTTATTCCGCATATGTTTTAAGCAGCGGACGCCCTACCAACTGCAATCCATCACTGGGAAACTCCTATACACTCTTGCATTCACACCCACACATACACTACAACCAATTTAGCTTACCCAGTTCACATGTACTGCATGTTTTTGGACTTTGGGGAAACCGGAGCACCTGGAAGAAAGTCACACGAACATGGGGAGAACATGCAAACTCCACAAAGAAATGCCAACTGACTCTGCCGGGGCTTGAACCGGTGACCTTCTTGCTGTGAGACGACAGCGCTACCCACCATGTCGCCCTTTTGTACATCATTTTGTAGGAAATATGTTTGACTCGAAACATCTACATACTAATGGCAAATCCGGAGAACTAATAATTACAAGACTCTTAATTTTGTCCAGGGCTGCATGCAACAATCTGCCACTTTTGATCAATTTAAGTTGTCCATACTAAATTAAATGTAAAATGATTTTATACTATATTAGCAACAATAGCCATGTGGTTAGTGGGTCAAGACAAATCACTACAGTGCTCTCAGTAAACCGAGTACCCATTACTCTTCACTGTGTTATCCCATTAAAATTAAAAATTAAATATGTTGTTGCAATTATTAATTTAATAATAGTTATTTTTCTGTCAAAAAAGTATATTTTCTGGCACCACGGTGGCGCAGTGAGTAGTATGATTGCCTCTTTGCTAGAAGGACACTGGTTCGAGCCCCAGCTGGGTGAGTTGACATTTCTGTGTGAAGTTTGCATGTTCTCCCCGTGTTGGCGTAGGTTTCCTCTGGGGGTTCCGGTTTCCCCCACAAGTCCAAAGACATGCGCTATAGGTGAATTGATTAAGCTAAATTGACCATAGTGTATGGGTGTGAATGAGTGTGTATGGTTGTTTTCCAGTGATGGGTTGGAGCTAGAAGGGCATCCGCTGCGTAGAACATATACTGGATAAGTTGGTGGTTCATTCCACTGTGGCAACCACAGATTAATAAAGGGACTAAGCCAAAAAGAAAATGAATAAATGAAAGATAAAGTAATTTTTCTTGTAAAATGAACACTATAAAATTTTAAAGAATTGTCATAAAGCAGGGGTGTCAAACTCAATTCCTGGAGGGCCAAAGCCCTGCACAGTTTAGTTCCAACCCTGCTCTAACACACTTACCTGTAGGTTACAAACAAGCCTGAAGGACTCAATAAGTTTGATCAGGTGTGTTTGATTAGGGTTGGAACTAAACTGTGCAGAGCTGCGGCCCTCCAGGAACTGAGTTTGGCACCTGTGTCATAAAATGTTAATCTCATCGAGATGTTTTAAAAATGTTATGTTTGTTGTTTTCCATGTTTTTTTAGGCTTGCTGGTCGGAACCTTGGACACAGTTCTTGACTCCACAGCCAAAGTGGCCCCGTTTCGCATTTTACACCAGACACCCGACTCTCAAGTGTACTGGACTATCGCCTGTGGTGAGAGAGCCGCTTCACATCTGATCATGTGTATGTGAGGGCTCAGACTTCACATCATGATATAATGTACTGTATGTGTGTGTTTGTGTAGGAGCATCTTTAGAGGAGATCTCGCAGCACTGGGACTGGCTGCAGCAGAACATTGTCAGAACTCTCTCTGTGTTCGACTCTGGCGAAGACATCACCAGTTTTGTTCAGGGAAAGATAAGGGTGAGATGGTTATTTTGCTCCCAAATACTTTTAAAGTCCTCCTGAAATCAAAATACATTTTTATGTATTTTTATACATTTATCTTATGGTCATCTTCTTAATCGAGCGTGCTTTAAAACAATAACTTCTAAATTCATGTTTAGAAGATGGAAGCATTCAAAGCTTATAGCTGCTCATAGAAATTTACATTAGATGTCGCCTACCCTGTGATTGTCTTTTGGAAGGAATGCGTCAATAGAGCCGCATTTTTAGTATGGCATAGCGCTCCTTTGAAATGAATGCGGGACCAAGGTGTAGTTGAGGACTGGCCATTCAGAGCCAGAGGTACATAATGTATATGTATATACACACACACAAACACACACATATCTATGATTTGGAGTTTTCCCAGTGGTCAGTATGCAAATATTTCTTTAAATTACGAAAATTCTAACGGAAGGAGCAATTCGTTTGTGAATGAATCTCCCGTTATGAACGACTCGTTCACCTAGCTGACAATAATACAAGTTTCTAGCACCGCAGCATCTTTTTGTCATTTTTCATGTACATTGTTTGCTTATTTTATTCAACAAAACTAGCATAAGCCTTATATTTAGTGCAAGTTGGTACTACTTTGCCTTATGATGAGTGCACTAAGTGACTGTATTATCATCAATACTTGTACTTGCACAAAAGTTCATAAAAAAACATTAAAAACTAAATATTTCCTACGAAATGTTCTGCCTTTATGATTTGTTTTCTTTCTTTGTTCATAACTACCCCCGTACACTGCACAAAAGTCCAGCATCTTCACATTGGCTTTGGTCTTGACTAGTGCGTTTGAATAGCATTTGTCTTTGGAGCACTGTACAAATGTGATGGCGCTACTTACGCATGCTCAGGGTCCGTATGCGATATCTTGTGTATATATCTATGATAGCTGCTCATTAAAAATCAAGTCAAGTTGAGCTTTACTGTCGTTCCACTACATGTGTGGGCATACAGTGAAATGAAAATAGTAATCTAACTACTAACTATACATGTACATATACTATAAGTACTGTTGACCTTATTCTGCAATTTATTCTGTTTTTTTTGCCAATATTTTAAAACTTCCGATTCAGTTTCCTATGGGAGAAATAACTAGGAATAATATAAACAGCAGAAATGATCAAAGAACTTGCTCAACAATCAAGTGTTCTCATTTCACAGTTTACAGCATCATTCAGCATAACAAAGCGATTTTAACGTCTAAATATCAATGAAATTAATGAGGCTGGAAGTCTCAAGACAAAAATGTTCTGCACCGGCTTGTATGTGAAGAATAAGGTCAATGCACATAACATAAGACAGATGATACAAGTAATTTAACATAATTGACACTCTTTAAGGACAAACAGATGACAATAAATGACATACAAGCACTGTCTTTAGGACCCGGAGTAGCCACTGTGACCGCACCGACATCTTATATTATTACGCTATTATTATCATTGGAACCAATTTTTTTTAATGACATCACCATGCACTTCAGCTTCTCATCAGATCTTTTAACCAATCAAATGCTCTCCAATATCTGAAGCATCCAGCCCTCTACAAGCTGCTGCTGAAATAAGTCGTCTTTATTCATAGTATATCATATGTGTGAGTCATTGCAGATTACAAAATGTTTCAGATCCATTTAGATTCTATGCTGTGTTTTAAAGTAGAGAAACGTTTAAATGTTTTCAATATTGCTTTTATAGACTTTGGCAGTCATGGCTTTAGTTTGTTCACTCTGATTGCTTCATTGTGAAATAAATAAATATGCTGTTGGCTGTTTTTTAAAAAGGGGGAGGGTCTGTTCTATGTCCCGCCCTGCATTCATGTTTCAGTTTAAATTTTGTGAAACCACTGAGCAAAGCTGCCCATTTTAGGGCACCTTTAAACATGTTTTACTTTATGTTTTGTTGGTATGTTCTGTTTTTTGTGTAGGGTCTGATAGCAGAGGAAGGCACATCTGCAGGTGATGAGGAGGATCCTGAGCGCTTCCGGGAGGCAGTGCTTCGCTTTGAACGCCTGTTTGGTTTGCCGCAGAGAGAAAAGCTTGTGACATATTTCTCATGCAGCTACTGGAGAGGACGGGTGCCGAACCAGGGCTGGATCTACCTCAGCACCAACTTCCTGTGTTTCTACTCCTATATGCTTGGAAATGAAGGTAGGAAACGTACTTGCATTTTAACATGTGTTGCTGCAAATTAAATAATGCGATTTTTAGCTGGTTGGGATGACAGTAACAGTTAATAAAATCATTGTTGGTATCAAAAAATAGAATTATATTGTGCTCACATATATTATAATCAGGGCTTGACATTAACTTTTTTGATCATCAGCCATTGTATCGAGTAGCTTTCCAATGTAACTAGCCACTCGCCATTTTCACAATTTTGTTGTTGGAAAAATATATTTTATATGCATAACTTTGACTTTGGCGTGCTAAAAATTACAATTTTTTACATTTTGTGTTATGTCCACATGCCTCCTCGCTAATTTAACTTTTTTTTTTCACGTGACTTTTTAGGGCTCACTATGATTTTACCTATTTTTTTTCTGGCCACACCAAACAAATTTTTTTTCCTGCCACAAATTTTAAATAATGCGTCAAAACTAGCTAAATATACCTGTATATACTGTACATAAATTTTTTATTCAACAAAAATGTTCTTAAAAAACAATTGACATTTAAAAAGATATATATTCTTATTTATCTAAAACTACACAGTAATTTATCCAGGCTAAAGGTCCCAGATCACCAGTTAACTATACATTAATGGAGAGTTAATCTCCTATTAAAGCAATGTTAATGTAAAGGATGATAATTTACAAACAAACAAATGAACAAAACACATTTACAAAAATAACTGCAAACAAAAGAAAGCAGATGAAAAACATTCTGTGTGAGAAAGTGAAAGGATGATCACGTGCACAGGGTTAACGTTAGACCTAGTAATTATCTGCTCAAAGAATGGTAAAAGCGAAAGCAACAACATCTGCTGCTTACAAAAACTCTGAAGATCTTTTGAAAGCAGCATGACTGTGGGTGCAAGAGCAACGCTTTATTCACAGTCTATTTCATAGGGAAACGATTGCACTATGGTGGTTTTGCACAAGAAACGGGAGCTTTTAAGCACTGGCGTGCATCACATCAGCGAGGATTGCCTGTAAAAAATATTTATCTGACAAGACAGCTCTGGCAATTTAAAAATAATTTTCAATCAGCCAAAGTAGCTAGTGGGGGTGTCTATTTAACCAGCCACAGGTGAAATCTACCCGCATTTGGCGGGTTGGCGGGTGTTAATGTCAAGCCCCTGATTATAATGCTTTTACCAAGTAGCTATTATGGGTGTAGCAATACACAAAAGTTATGGTTTAGTACATACCGTAATTCCAATGGATTCTCATCTTTTTCTTTATTAAGCACAGATTTACTGAACAAATTGTGGCTGTGTTTTTAAATGAAATAAATAATAATTACAGTTTTTTTGAGAATCTCAGATAAACTTTAAAACTATATTGCTTTTAAAAGCTGCCACATCTTTCAATTAACACCAGAACCCAATCTATTCAATTCCAGTTTCTTTTCAAATATAATCATTAATAACACTAAACTAAAGAAAATGGTATGCAAATATATAAATTGTACTAAAGGTTTTTTATTAGCATCTACATCTACTCCTGATTTTACAGTAAATAAAATAAAGTACACAGTGGCTTTTGTTACTTGTTTTCATGTCAGATTTATTTAAACAGACATAAAATAATTAAGAATATTTAGATATTTAGAGAAAAGCCTTCTTACACGCTGTGGGAACTAAGCAACCCTTCTACATTTATTTTGTTCTTTAAATGTTTTTTGTTTTTTGTGGCTGAAACACTGATTAATTACATGAAACATGAGATGGTCGACTCATTTATAATTATTTGGTACTGGAAAAATAGTAAAGATGCAGAGATAATCATGTTCACCCACCCTCTGATGCTATTTGACTTGTGTTTATACAGTGATCTATCAAATAACTCAAAAACATACATTTATTGATTGAATTTCCAAATATAATGAATATAATTAGTTTTTTTTCCTAACATAACTAAATGCAAAGTTGCTTGCAAACATATTCAAACATATTCAGATAGAATTAATTGTTACCAATTTCTCCTTGTGTGCTACAGTTGCTCTTTTTCATGTTACAGTTGCCATCACCCAGACTTTGACTTCTCTTTATTATATGTTTTTGCTTAGTGAAACTGGTGTATCCGTGGGATGAAGTGAGCCGTCTGGAACGCACGTCGAGTGTTTTATTGGCAGAGAGTATCCGTGTGCGAGTGCGTGGAGAGGATCATTTCTTCTCGATGCTTCTGAGGCTTCAGCAGACATACCTGATCATGCAGCAGCTGGCCGACTACGCCATTGTGCGCTTCTTCGATAAAGAAACATTTCATGCTGAACATCCACTAGCCAACCCCCTTCACATCACGCAGAGGTGCTTTACTTTTTTTCCACAAAATGTTAGCATTGTCTTCTATGCTGAACAACGTCTGACTCTGCTGTAATCTTTGCAGGGCTTTGGAAATACATGCACGGAATCAGTCTTTCCGATCGTTTTTCCGGTTGCCGCAGGAGGAGAACCTTTGTGAAGTGTATGAGAGTTTCCTCTGGGTGCCGTTTAGTCACGTCAACACTCTTGGAAAAATCTGTGTCTCGGAAAACTATCTGTGCTTTGCAAGCCAAGATGGGTCTCAGTGCCATCTCATAATACCTCTATGGGAGGTGCGTATTCTGCTTTTAAACTGTCTTGATGAAAACTTCTCTTAAGGAAAATGTGGTTAATGTACATACTTCAAATACACTGTTTTTTTATGTTTAAATTTTTTTTAACACACTTAAAGGATACTCAAACACTCATTGATTACTCAAAAATGACAATGGGGTATATGCACAGACTTTCAAATTTAATCAGCCAGCCCCAGGGCTTCCGGTGAATTGTCATCCTATACAAAATTGCCACATTTAACATCTGATTTCTTTAAAAAACAGCCATTTTACTGCCTGGCAGGTATCAGAGCAAACAAGAAGCACTGCATTAAATTATATTTCTCCTCCCCATGCCTTTAAAATACAGAAATTATTTTTACCTCAGTATTTTCAATGGTTTCTGCACAAGCCTTTTGCTAATGACGGTGCCTGTGTTTAAACAGTCTTTCATCTCTTTTTACACTTTAACAACCAAATGAATGCTGTTAAGAGTTTAAGGGATTCAAGTGGGATGCTGTAACATTTAGGTGAGACAGGTGTAATGTGTGCGACAGATCAAGGTTGAGGCAATAAACAATGGTTTGAACCATACTTAACAGTAATAAATGGAAAAGAGGAAATAAATCATTTACAGTTATTATCTTTAAACCAAAACAATGAGTGAAGCCAAATCAAAGAAATTATCAAAACGAAACAGTCCTTAAACCTAAAGTTTGAACTAGGCAACAAAAAGAAATAATACAATAAAAACCAAGGACTTCAGTGTACACGACACCCTAACTAAACTAACTACAAAACCCAAAAATACACAGATGGCAAAACACTCAAACTAATCTAACAAAACATCCATCTAAACTAAAACAAACCGGATAAGACGGTCAAAGGTTTAGAATCGCACAACAACCATCACATTATGTTACTTTAAGCCAACTAAGTTCAACAAGCAAACTCGAATTACCACAGTAAACTGAGATAAATCACTAAACAGCCGAAGCATAGCACAAACAAATTGCGAGGAGCACAAATGGTACGCCGAGGCAGAGCACACACACTGGTCTGTCGGGGCTTTAAATCCTTGTGGCTCGTCCAGGGATTGGTGAAACTGGCACTGTCATAATGATGATGGACAGATGGTAAACCAATAAGAGACCTAAGGATTGAGTAAGGGCAGAAGAGGGTGAAAAAAAATACACAAAGAAAGAAAACTCGCATCAAACATAACAATGCTTGTGTCTATTTAACGGATTATACTTGAATTACATTACAATGACATTAACATCGATGCTGTAAAAGAAACCTTATGAAAATGGAAACAATCACATAAACCTCACACAGGAAGTGTTTATCATTGGCTGAAAAAACACTAGCTGTGCATGCGTATAGGCCATTCTTACCACTCCACTGTGTTTGTGTCTGTCCTATGTCGGACACAAAAGAAGATATTTTGAAGAATGTTGTAAAACTGTCAGTCCTTGACTTGTATAGTATTGTTTTCTTACTGGATGTCAGTGGCTGCTTTTTTCTAACATTATTTAGCTTCGTTCATCAATTTTATTTAGTTCATCAAAAGAAAGACATTTTTTAAAGTTTTGGAACAATAGTGTGTTAGAAAATGTGTGAACTGTCCCTTTAAGTACACTTTGTAATGATGTCAAATCAAGTTTTACTTAAAGTGCATTTCTAATTCTAATTTGTTTAGTTTTTTGTGTGTGTGTGTGTGTGTGTGTGTGTGTGTGTGTGTGTGTGTGTGTGTGTGTGTGTTTTCAAGAAGTTTTGGTTACATCTTGTTTTAAGGTGTCCTTGTTACAGTGTAACTGTTCATTTAACTACTACATAATAATAAGTAAGTACATGTACTTAATATACAGTTAGGGTTGTTTATGGGTTAGCTGTAGGGTTAGTTGCATGTAATCATTCATAAGTAATTGTAACAACTATAGTAATTACACAGAATATGTGTAACAAGGACAGCTTAAAATAAAGTGTTGCAAAAGTTTGTGATGTATTGACTAATATACTAAAATATTATTATTGGTATTATTATTTTTATTATTATTTTTTTACTGTAGTGTGTTATTTGATATGTATAATTAGAAATATACTTCAATGCATGACTTATAACCTGTAATAGATAAAGTAAGACAAAAAAGTATATTGTAGTTTACTGTAAATTAGGGCTGCACAGCATATCGTTTTATCATCGATACCGCAATGTGCAACCGCAATAGTCACATCACATGATCTCCAATGTTGAATTGGCATATTTTTGACCAGGGACTGCAGTTCAGAACATGGAGTCATTGGAGATTTTTATCATAATGGAGCAAAGGTTTATCTTTTGCATATGATTTTAATGCCTGTGACTGTATGATCATATCAAGACAGTTTAAAGCATTCAGGTACAAGGAATTTAAAATTCAATTAAAAACATTTTATTTAATTATTTATACAATAAAGACTATGCAGTGGTATTTTACTTTTGATTTTTAAACTTCCTACATTGTTAACAAACAGATCTATTTGAGTCATTCTATTCATATCACAACATATATCACAGAAAAAAAACATCACAATGTCAGAGTTTTCCAATATCGTGTAGCCCTACTGTAATAGCTTGTCAAGTACATACATACTATACACTATACACTTCAACTGTACTTCAATGACAATTAAATGTGATTATACAATTACAAACAAAATTGTTTATTGACCGACTAGAGGGTCAAAAATGTTTATTTGTTTAATGTATGGGATTACTGTTTACCTGCAGGTGTTCAGTGTGGAGCTGCCAGACCGCAGCAGTCGAGCTCTGACTGTGTGCCTTCGAGGCAAGAGAGCTTTGCGTTTCTCTGAGGTTCGGGATTTTGAGCGACTTGCTGCCACCATCCGCAGAAAGTGTGGGACATTGGGGAGCCCTCAGCACTGCATCACTAATCCGGTAATTCATTTAAACCCCAGCTTTAAAAAAAAAAACACTATGTGTTTTAATATAAAAATTTTATATTATTATTTAGTAAATAATATTATTTTGTAATAATTGGCTTTTTTTCTTTCTCTCTGAGGATGAGGAAGGTGTGATGGTGGGACAAAGTCAAGCTGTCAGCACTGAAGCTCTAATGAACGTCTTTCATCCACATGATGCAGAAAACCTTGACCCCAAAATGGTACCATTAACCTGAATTTGATATTGGTATAATAATAAAAAAAATGTTGAAGTAACTAAAGCAATGTACACTACTACTGAAAGAATTAGGATCAACATGATTGGTTTAAAAAAATTGTTACAATTCTTTATTTTTATAGCGCAAATTTTTATTAAATTGTCAAAAACATTGTCAAACGGATAAGACAACCTGTTTACATTTGTAAAGTGAATAAAAATATAAAAATAATGACAAAATAATTATATATATATATTAATTATATATATATATATATATTAATTATATATATATATATATATATATATATATATATATATATAGTCAGAAATATTAGCCCTCTTCCCTCTTTCAATTTATTTCTTCTTTTTTAAATATTTTACAAATGATGTTTAACAAAGCAAGGAAATTTTCACAGTATGTATGATAATATTTTTTCTTCTGGAGTAAGTCTTATTTGTTTTATTTCTGCTAGAATAAAAGCAGTTTTTAATGTTTTAAACACCATTTTAGGGACAAAATTATTAGCCCCTTTAAGCTATGTTTCTTCTTGTCTACAGAACAAAGCATGTTTATACAATAACTGGCCTAATTACCCTAACCTGCCTAGTTAACCCAATTACCCTAGTTAAGCCTTTAAATGTCACTTTAAGCTGTATAGAAGTTTCTTGAAACATATCTAGACACAATATTATTTACTGTCATCATGGCAAAGATAAAATAAATCAGTTATTAGAAATGTGTGATTAAAACTAATATGTTTAGAAATTTGTTGAGAAAAATCTGCTCTCCGTTAAACAGAAATTAGGGGAAAAAAAACAAGTGGTCTAATTATTTGGTGGGGCTAATAATTCTGACTTCAGCTGTATGTATACACACACACACACACACACACACACACACACACACAAACACACACACACAAATATATATATATTTCAACTATGATGTTTTTTTTATTAGCTGTGATTAGGTTTTTTTAACTACTAACAAACAGCCAATATCTTATTAACAGGCAGGTTATAACCCACTGGTTATAAGATAAAGTGTAAACAAGAAAATATTACTTGAATTGAGCAAGGACACATTAAAATGACTAGAAGTTACAGTTAATACATTTAGAATGTTACAAATCATTGCTATTGTCTATAAATGCTTCTTTTGAACCCATTCATGAACGTTTCATCAACGACTTTTATTAAGAAATGCATCTTGCCATTGCTGATATTGTATCATTGTGATTGGCAGCTGAAAGAGCGGATGAAGGAGCAGTCGTGGCAGATCCACTTTGCTGAATATGGGCGTGGAACTGGAATGTTTTGCACCAAAAAAACACGTGACCTCATTGTGCGAGGAGTTCCAGAGACTCTCAGAGGAGAACTGTGGATGCTCTTCTCAGGTGTGTGTTTATTGCTCTGGTTGTGTACGTGTGTGTGTGTGTGATATGTACAGTTGGACAAAATTAATAGCTTTCATTTGAAATTCTAATTATTTAAATATTTCCCAAGTTCTGTTTTTTATACAGAATAGTTTAAATAAATAATTCTTGATAGCTAATTTCTTTTGTCTTTGTCATGATGACAGTACATAAGATTTTTCTAGTTATTTTCCAAGACTCTAGTATTCAGCTTAAAGTGCGTTTTAAAGGCTTAACTAGGTTAGTTTAACTAGGCAAGTTAGGTTAATTAGGCAAACAAGCCACTAAAAACTATTTATAGGGGCAACAAAATATAAATTTTAGCAGTTTTTATATTCTTTAAAATTATTTCTAAATATGAGCTAAACTAAAAGAGAGTAATTTCTCCAGGAAAAAAGAAAATACTGTGAGATGCTTGCTCTGTTTAGCAATCTTTGGTAAATATTTGAATTCAGCTTTCACAGAAGTGCTGATTATTTAGTCTTCAACTGTAGGTGTGAGCCTCGGTTCACAGATGTCTGTTGGCTTGTGTTATAGGTGCAGTACATGACATGATCTCTCACCCTGGGTATTACGGGCGGCTGCTGGAAGATTGTATGGGCAGCAGCTCACTCGCATGTGATGAGATTGAGAGAGATCTGCATCGCTCTCTCCCAGAACACCCAGCATTCCAGAGCGACACGGGAATATCAGCTCTGCGCCGGGTCCTCACTGCCTATGCTCACCGCAACCCCAAAATCGGCTACTGCCAGGTACAAACACACACACACAATTAACTCTTTCTGATACTTTCAAATATGATATCATGATCAGAGATTCATGTTTGGGTTGATCTAGTGTTTATGGAATAACATTTCAGAATATTCTCTTAGGGCTGGGCAATTATTGTAAAGTAATCAAAATCGACATTTAAAACCTATGATTGCTCAAGTATTTCCAGTATTTCACTTATCATACTTAAGATGCATTCACTTAATATTAATTTCTGACACGGCTTTTCACTGATTGTCCTGCTTCATTCTTATAATCTCAGATTTCAGATTTTGCGTATAACAGATATTGTATGGGTTTATATGATATATAATATGTCACTGTTTCTCTGTATGTGTATGTGTGCAGGCGATGAATATACTGACGTCAGTGTTGCTGCTGTATGCTAAAGAAGAGGAAGCCTTCTGGCTGCTGGTGGCCGTGTGTGAAAGGATGCTTCCGGATTACTTCAATCGCAGAATTATCGGTATGTGACGGCTGCCTATGCATTGCTCCTACCTGGGAGAGGAAAATAAATCATCCTAATAATCTCGCAACCTGTCATTATAACACACTTCCAACAGTGGTGTAATTAGACGCCCTTACAACTGAAGTGGATAATAATCAGGGAGCTCTGTTAAGCCACACACTGTAATTATCAAAATATTTTCATGTTAAACACTCTTTTAGGGTTAATATGGGGCATTCAATTCTGACTATTCAACATTAAGGTTATTTTTAAAAATGTATACTGAGATTGTGAGCTTGTTGTTTGTGTTTGGCTTTGTTATTTGCATTGTCCAAGATTACTTATTTAGCTGTGTGCAAGCATGATATATTTAATATGTTATGTTATATTATGTGTGTGTTTTTTTTAGGGTTTATTAGGTTATATAATTCGGTATTTTTAACCTTGTCAAGTAAAATATTTTTGGTTATAGCTGTTAACCAATAGTCCATTTAAATTTGAAGTACTTGTACATTTAAAATGGCAGATAAAAAATATGTTTTTATTCCACTAAACTTCTAAACGTCGTTAAATTCACTGTAATATCAGATGGATTACAGATTCACTGATTAGATGTGCTAGAAGCACAGCATGCTGAGGACATCTGCTGGTTACAGCCATGTACTGTAAATGCAACAAGAACTAAAAATAAATAGACAGTGATGTCGGTTTAGAACAGGGGTGCCCAAACTTTTTTGTATGAAGGGCTGAAAACCAAATTTCATTTAGAGCCATGGGCTGAAGGTGTTTATATCAAATTATGTTACATTAAAGTTAATAGGCAAATTTATTTTCCTAATTTATTTAATAATATTTCAAAATAAGTAAAAAAATGTTGCTTTAAATTTTATTAACTAATTCAGTATAACTTTTTAAGTCATTACTTATTGCAATAAAAACAGACGATCGCATTTATAACTCATTGGAGTTCAATGCTAAATGCACGGGTCAGAGGCGGAATCTGCCTTTTACTTGATTACTCACCAAAATCTCTGCATTGTTGGGTGGCATTATGTACAATTAAACAATATCTGATTAATTTACACAATTTAATTTCAGTTGGGAAACAACAAACATAGTGTTACATTAAATTTGAATTTACAATCAGCTAACCATCCCTTTCACTCTCCCTCAAATGGGATGGTGGGCCAAATCAAAGGTTATTATGGGCCAACTTTGGCCCCTGTGCCCTAGTTTGGACTTTCCTGGTTTAGAATAAACAGACTGTTATGAGCTGCTATGAACACAAATATAGCTGCTGTTATACTTGGATATCATTATTGTTCTTGGAGGAAGCTTCATATTTAAATCCACAGATTGTTACTCTTGTGGTTAATGGGCAAAATTGCATGGATTCTTGCAAAAAAAAAAAAAATTTGTCCCTTTTTTATTTCTTTTTTATGATAAAACAATAAAAAACACATTTCCTGTATGTGGTTATTGTTTTGCAACACAACAGCCTCACAATGACTGAAAATTGAAAGAAAGAACAAGGTATTTATTGCATATAGATTGAATATAATTGAATATTGTTTCCTATTGGATGAGATATTGGAAATATCTTTTTGCAAAACCTTAAATTAGAAGTAGTGAACAAATAATATATATGTCAAGCCTGAAATTACCCTCTGAGGTATGAATAATTTTGTCATGGCTTATTATTATATATGTATTTTTAATGACTACATATCTTTTTCATGCAACAGTAGATGCAATGATAATAAAAACACAGAAGAACATAGGCTAATTATTTTCAGTAAAGTCCCAGAATATTTAGAGAATAATTTTTTCTAGTAGCATACAGTACTAAGTTTTATTTTTTAGTTCATAAATGTAATTAAAAACGTGCAGAAATGCAGGAGTACAATCTCTTATGATCTGACCATCTCTTGCATGATCTGATTTTTGCTGGGGCAGTTTGCAGAATCTGTCAGCTTCAGTCAAATCTCGGTGTATGTTTTGCAGGTGCTCTGGTGGACCAGGCTGTGTTCGAGGAGCTGATCCGTGAACATCTCACCCAGCTGACTGAACACATGACAGACCTGTCCTTCTTCTCGTCAGTGTCTTTATCGTGGTTTCTGACGCTCTTCATCAGTGTACTGCCAATAGAGAGCGCTGTGAACGTGGTCGACTGTTTCTTCTACGATGGAATCAAAGCCATCCTGCAGCTGGGCCTCGCTGTCCTCGACTACAACATGGACAATCTGCTCTGCTGCAATGATGACGCAGAAGCCGTCACTGTCCTTAACAGGTAAAGAATAGTGTAATTTTAAAACGTGTGCATCCTTATGGACATCAATATCTGTATCTGTATCGGCATAACTTTCTGACAGTTGTATTTTTATTGAAATTTCAATATGTCAGTGTTAAATTATATGCACAAAATAGTTACTCTCAAGATCTTCAGGACAAAAATATCTACACTGAAACCCGTTAAAGCGGCACAAGTTCAGCAAAAACCCATTTGTAAGTAAAAAGACATTCTTTGTTAACAGGCTTAAGCATTTTGCCAATTTGCCTGACCTGTGGTGCAGATAATCACTTTGGTCCTGTTTTCTGCATGGAGCACTGCAGGCCAAATTGATTAAAATTAAGTTACTACTGTATAATTGTTATTAGTGTATTGTTGTGGTCCTGCTAATAGCCTTAATATTGTGCTAAAGCTTTAAATTCATAAAAATAATTCAAATAAAATTTTAAATAGACTTTGATAAATGTTTTATTGGTTTTAAAAGCAGTTGCATGTAAATTAAATACTTAAAATGATTACATATTTGGTAGTTATCATCAGGATGGTAGCTGGGAACAAATATGTAAGTGAGAGTATAAAATGTTACATGGGTGGTCCAGAGTGTATTTTTAAACCTTGGTTGTGTTTATAAGACGCAATGTGTGCTCATGCTTCATTTGTAGAAAATTGTACTTTGATTACATTCAGCTACTCAGCTAACAGGAAAACAACTGTAATATTTCCTAGTTTTTTCGGAAAGGCCCTGATTGGTCAGCTAACATAATGTTTTTTTCAGTTTGAGCCTGATTCAGTCAGAAAATGAAAAGGACACAGCTGAACCTCACGCCTGCTCTCTAAAATAAAATCTGACAAGTGTCTGTCACATATATTAAGGTTATAACGTTCACATATGTTGTGCGAGTTTATTGTTCAAGATGTAGAACGCAGGGAAAGCGAATGCATACAGAGACACTGCAGCTCTGCTGAAGATTGTGGGTGTTTACAGCTGTTTGATGGATAAATATAAAGCTGTAGCTAAACTGTTAACTATGCCAAACAGCATTTCCCGTTGTTTACATCGTTGTTTACATCCTCGCTATAACATACCAGTAATGCTAGAAACTGTGCATATAATAGATACATTTTAACAAATAAACATACTTACAGGTTGTGGCTCACAATCCACAGCTTCGTCTATTATGGTTGGAGCTGCTCCTCCTTTAAAGAGTTTTTTGCTGAATTCATATGGAATAAAATCACTGTTATAAATATTTTGTGCGTAAATAAAATTCACTCATCTGTAATTATAAAACCGTAAAGGAAAGCTGAACGTACTCATAATTTTACGAGGGTACAATTCCAAAATCTGCAATTAGAACAGACACAGATACGACATTGATATGGACATTGAAAAGGTATCCTCTTTGTCTGTTTGTATACGACTTATAAATTTATGGTGGGTGTGCTTTACAAACACGAAATAGAGTTTTACCACGGACACGAAGACCTGATTATGGGTACGTATCAAAAAGTGACACTCCACTGTCAAAATTACAACTGGTATTATTGAAGATAAAATTATGAGTACGTTCCATTTTCCTTTTTATGTTTTTATAATTACAGATACATGAATTTTATTTACGCACAAAATATGGATGACAGTGATTTTATTCCATAAATCCATGGCCCTTCGCTGCGCGGGTTGTGTGCGCGTGATAAATGCAAGTAACCTGAAGCTTTTGTGATCTCACTAGCCTGGATGTATTTTTTTTGTAGTCCACAAACTTCGTTTGCTGTAGGCTTTGCTAAGTTAACTCTGTGAAAGCCAATATCTTCCTTTGAATTGAACTCTGAGCGCATTACATTCAGAGATGGTGATTTATGTTCACACAGCTACATTACACATCAACTAAAGTTTCATATATGATATTGTAGTGGACCACCCCATTAAAATATTATACTTTAATCATTATTGTTTTGGTCCTGTAGAGACCTATATATTTTTAACTGGCAGGCAAGAGTTAAAAAGGCCAAGTGTTCAAGTCAAGCTAGTGAGTTTTGTTCAGTGTAAGAAGTCTTTTAAAATGATATATTTTAAAAAGTCACCTATATGTTTGCTGTTATTAATATGTGGATCTTTTGTCCATGCTCTTTAATTTATTAATTCGGAAAAGATTGAGATGACCAAACTTGCAGTGTCTTTGAAATACATGCTGTTGTTTTATTGTAAAGTGGATTTTTTTTTTATTTATCAACATGACGTTTGTTTATATTTGATTTTGTCCTTCAGGTTTTTTGACAGTGTCACAAATAAAGACAGTCCCTTGCCAGCAACTGTTCAGCAGGCATCTGCAACAGCCAATGACAAATCAATACAAAAGGTTGACATCAGCGACCTCATCAAAGAAGCATATGAGGTAAAGCTGCACACTTCAATACACGACAGTGAACATTCAAATCTCAGATCAGATGGAAGTCATTAGCCTTGTTTGCTTTTGTTCAAGAACATGCCATCAAGAGCCACATTTTTATGATTATTAAGGCATAGAGTTTTATTTTTGAAGCGTTTATCTTTCTGTTTGATGTTAGAATGACTTTGCTAATGCTTAGTCAATTATGCTGTTGGTGACAGATTTTAAAGCTAGGTGTTGTGCAATAAAAAAAAAGGTGTCAGTTTTATGAGCGCCTGAGAATTTCACACTTTCAGACTGGTCCGTTACATGTAATGATGGAAACCCCACAGGAGGTCAGAGATCAGGCAACCTAAAGCCCAACAGTTGCTCAGACTAATGAAGCATCTTTGTTTCAGAAATATGGAGACATTCGAACAGAGGAAGTGGAAAACATGCGAAAGAGGAACAAGCTTTATGTCATTCAAACACTTGAAGATACAACAAAACAAAATGTAGTGAGTACAGTGAGGCATTATTCCATTCCTACATAGTAACTTATATAATTGCTTTATAATTTTGAAGAATTCAAGTCAACTCAAATGTTTTATTAGAAAAATACACTCTGAGACGTTTGCAATGAGGAAAAAAGAGCAGCATTTAAAATGCATATGATTTAAAATCAAAGTGATAGAGTGAAGTGTTCTCAAATGTAATTTTGTGCTATGTATAAACCATTACAATGTCATCATTCACTTTATTTTTAAGATTTGGTTATTATTAGTACTGGGCAAGAATGAAGCTTGATGAATCACATCCTAAATAGAAGTTAGTTTTGACATTATATATGTGTGTGTACTGAGTATATTTATTAATTCAATTCAATTCATCATTATTTCTATGGCGCTTTTACAAAGTAGATTGCGTCAAAGCAGCTGAACATAAAAGTTCTAGTAAATTGAAACTGTGTCAGTCCAGTTTTTAGAATTGAAGTTCAGTTTAGTTCAGTGTGTATAATTTTCGCTGCTGCAAGTCCAAACACTGAAGATCAAATCCATGATTTGAAGATCTGAAGATCCACTGAAGATCCAATTCATTGATGCTTCACAAGTTTCAAATCAAGCAAGCCAGTGGCGACAGTGGCAAGGAACAAACCTCACCAATTAACAAAAGTATTATTATTTTCTTATTATTATTATTACTATTATTATTATTATATATAAACACACATATGCATATATTTGAGAAAATGTTTATTAATATTCAGATATAAAGTATATGTGCATATGATACAAATAATTTATAAATTGAAACATTTTATCAATGTTACTAAATTGTATAATTTTTATAATTTTTAATAATTTTGTTTATATCACATATACATAATAAGTATATATAATACGTCCACAAATATTATGTCAAACAAACAAAAAACTAAACAAACTTTTATTTTGAATGCGATTAATCTTTGTCCATCACTAGATTTGTAACCAGGAATGCAATAGATTTTTGTAACAGTAAAGACATTTATAATGTTACAAAAGGTTTTTTCTATTTCAAGTTCAACTTTGTATTTTACATTCAATGCTGTTCTGTTGTCTTTATAGTTTCAGAAGGGTCATGTGGCATTAAAGACTGGAGTAATTACTGCTAAATATTCAAATTTTATCAAAGTAATCTCATTAAGCCTCATATGTCATAGTATGATATGCAAAAATCATCCTTTGCACATTTTTGGCACAGAGTTGCAGTTATGCTTGTTGTAATTGTGTGTCATTTTTGCTGCAGTTGCGTGTGGTTGCTCAGGATGTAAAGTTCAGTGCTTCTCAGCTGGACGAGCTTTACTTGCTTTTTAAGGTGAGTTGTGTACACATTTATGCTTTTTAGTACCTAAAGGCCTCAAAACACTAAACACTTTTAAAGGCCTTGATATACTCACAACAAAATGCTCTTCATTCAGGTGTAAAAAGGTTTGAAATACCTGAGCAGTGTTTTACCATTTTTAAACATCCCACTACTGCCCATACTGCTGAGTATGGTATCAAATAAAATTCACATCATATTTATTTTTAACCCCTTAGCGTTCCAACATTCCGGCCATGATACGCTGAGCCACTAGTTACAGGAATCCGGGAACACTAAACTGTTAAAGAACTTTATACATGCATAACATGGTTTATTTTTAGCCTAACAGTATTGAGCATGAAAAACAGTGTCAGTTTTGCTTGCAATATGACATACACTTCACTTTCCACTAGGTTTTCAGTTTTTATTTTCCTCATGGATATCTGACCTTGATGGACTCAACAAAAGAAAGTACCTGGAAAAGGTTTCCAATCAAAGAAGGCGGAGCCACAAAGCCACACCCACTCATTTTGTAATCACAACAAACTATGTTAGTTTTGTTAGTTTCACTGGTTGTTTTAATTCATTCATTAGTCCCTTTATTCATCAGGGGTCGCCACAGTGAAATGAACCGCCTACTTATTCATCATATGTTTTACACAGCGGATGCCCTTCCAGCCACAACCCAAGACATCATACACTGAAAACACCCATACACTTTCATATTCACACACATACACTACGGCCATTTTAGTTTATTCAATTTACCTGTAGCGCATGTCATTGGACTGTGAGGGAAACTTGGAGCACCCGGAGAAAATCCACTCCAACACGGGGAGAAAATACAAACTCCTCACAGAAATGCCAACTGACCCAACTGGGGCTCGAACCAGCGACCTTCTTTCTGTGATGCGATTGTGCTTCCCACTGTGCCATCGTGCCACCAAGTTCAAATTGGCAGATATTTTAGTTATTTTTTTACACCGATATACCGCTATGTCATTCTTTCAGGGTTGTAACTGTGCATTTGTGATGTTTTGAGGTTTTTTGTTCCTTAATTACAGTTTGTGTGCTTGTGTGTTACAGAGGCAGCATTTTGTGTGCTGTTACTGGTCAGTGTGTAGTCCTGCCCTGCAGAACCATGACCCCAGCCTGCCATATCTGGACCAGTATCAGCTGGACCAGTCCCAGTTTAGCAGCCTGTTTAACCTCTTGCAGCCGTGGACCACACACACACACTCGCGCTCTCTGGCACGGTCAGCCTTCCATCTTCTGGATGAGAATGGAGATGGACTTGTGAACTTTAAGGAATTCATTTGCGGCCTGGGTAAGAGGAGCCTAACTAACTCTGAACAACCTTTGACTTTTCACCTTTGTACAGCTTCCTTTGCAACCTGACAGATTCCTTCAAGAGAAAATGTATGTGTGTTTATTGCAGACATATTATACAACAGATCATTCACAGAAAAACTGAAACTTCTCTTCAAACTGCACCTTCAACCAGGTAAATAAGTTTTCTGGTATCTGTCTCTGTTCTGTAATGGACGTTTAACTCTTTAGCAGGCAAAGTTTTAAAAGCTTTACAATAGAACCTAATTTTCAAATGACCAATTAGTATTTTAATGAGGGCCCTATAAAGGGTTCATCTTTGGCCCTAGGTTATGTTTATGCATGTAGATGCATAACTTTATTCATTTCTGCATATCTGTCTTCTTTGCAAATTTATGGACTACCTTATGTATCTTATGTCTCAGTGACCCTGAATTATCAATGTATATGACCAATGTGTAACCCTTTATTCTCTCTATCTAACACTTTATCTTTTAATGATTATATATTATTTTATTGTTATGTTTGCATAATGTTGAATTCTTTGAAAAGCTGCTTTATTAAGTAATGTTTACTATTATTATTATTATTACATTTAATCCCTTAACAGGAATAGATAATCAATACAAGGTATAATCTAAACCTTACTAACCTCTCTGTAACCTTGTCAAATCTGCATACATAAATTCTACATCCAGTCTTTATTTGTAATCATTTAGTAACTTGAATAAAATAAAACAAAACCTAGGCCTTACATTGAGACCTTAGTGAAAGGAGGTTTTTTTTTTACATTTTGATTTGTTTAGAGCTAGCTTTGCTTCTTTTATTTCATAATTATATTGTAATGTGATTAATAATGTGATTTATTATTACTAATACATCATCTTTGACCTGGTGCAACTTAATTTACATAAAAAATGACTAATTATTATTGCAATTAGAATTATTAGCACTGTTAATGGAGATACGATTTTTTTCAACACATTTTGAGTATGAGAGTTTTAATATCTAAATTATTTTGTTTTTGCAGTGATAACAGCCCTATTTTACTAGGTATTTTAAATAAGATACTAGTATTCAGCTTAAAGTGTGATTTAAAGGCTTAATTAGGTTAACTAGGCAAGATTTGTAAATTAGCCAAATCATCGGACAAAAGTGGTTTGTTCTGTAGCAAATTGAAAATTTCATAAGGGGGGCTAATAATATTGAACTTAGCAGCATTTGCTTTTTTTATTCCAGCCAAACTAAAGAAATAAGTATTTCTCCAGAAGAAGAATATTATAAAAAAATAACTGTAAAAAAAAAAAAAAAAAAAGTCAAAGAAATTTTTGAAAAATAATAAAAATTTCACAGGAGGGCTAATCATTTTCTTTTTAACCTTATGTTGCATATTTAGCTTGAATGAGTATTTTCAGGAGAACTTAAAGTAGATTTAGTACAGTTACAGTAACTGTGGGATTTAACGTTTGGCTGTCATGTTAGCAATGGGATAGCATAATATGGGCCAGTATCTTTTGGATAACTCTACAGGCTCTGTTACTACTAAGATACAAGCGCTATATTTAAATCCCTTTCATGGTGAAACGTTCATGGGACATGTAGCAGCTTGCCTTCCAAAACGATTGGCATTTTTAAGTGCTGATTTGTCCCTAACCTATGACATATCATAAAAATGAATGAAAGTAGACAAATGTATGTTTTTGCATATACAGTTGAAGTCAGAATTATTAGCCTTAACTAGGTTAATTAGGTTAACTAGGCAGGTTAGGGTAATTAGGCAAGTTATTGTATAATGATGATTTGTTCTGTAGACTATTACAAAAAATATTGCTTAAAGAGGCTAATAATTTTGACCTTAAAAGTTTTTTTTTTTTTAACTGCTTTTGTTCTAGCTGAAATATAACAAATAAAACTTTCTCCAGAAGAAAAAATATTATCAGACATACTGTGGAAATTTCCTTGCTCAGTTAAACATCATTTGGGAAATATAAAAAATAATAACAGTAAAATTCAAAGGGGGGCTAATAATTTTGACTTCAACTGTATATATGCATATTTTATGTGTTTCTTCAGGGAACCAGGAGTGTAAGATTTTACCGTCGTCTAGATTTTTTCCTCCGGGTGAAGATCACTCTTTCTCCACTCGTCTTTCTGGTCAGCTTTCACTACTTTCATTGCTCTTTTCCTTTCACTCTTTCTCTTTTTCTTCTGGGTGTGTTATAACATCAGTGATCAATTTTGTGTGCTCGTACTGTATGTGTGGTTATTTGCTTTTGTGTTGTGCACAACATTTATTTATCTGCACTTTAGAGAGACTTTGTGTCACCTGACATTTAAAGTCATAACTTTAGGGAATAGACGCATACCACATTTTGGTGTTTTAACAAAAAGCAGATGCTCAAACCCTATACTACCATATGTGCATGTATCTCTGTTCATGCATGAGTGTCTGTGTTTGTGGCTGTACATTTTCTCCTTTTTTTTAATGTAGACTCTGCAGAGGACGGAGTGATCAGAAAATGTCCAGAGAGAGGTGAAGTATTCATCTGTGTGCTCTAATCGTGTTATCTACATCATATCAAGCACAAACGATCATGATTTGTTTTATTATTGGTTAAACACATTGATCTGATGTGAAATTATGAGATGGAAGAAATCGATTGCAGTACTTGATTATTTGGCGTGCTTCACCAATCAGAATCAAGTATTGTGTCTTTCCCCTTAGGCCGTGCCAAAGTAGATCTGCAGGAGTATCTGAAACAGTGGCAGGAGGACTTACAGCGGAGAGAGGAGAATATTAAAGATCTGCCCAGAATTAATCAGGTACTCACTAAAGATGTGGTGGAAATTACACTTTCATCAATCTGAAATGCGTTTGTGCAGTTGCTCAAATAAGCTGGTGTTTAATGGTATTGACTCTTTTCACAAGACTGTTATGACGCGTTTACCAGTCATCAAAAAAGTAAAAGTTTTTAATATTTTGATAAAAAAAAAACTTATGAACATTTATTTGCATTTATATAGTTTAATATCATCTTTGAGTCAAATTGCAAAAAACTGATCACTGCTTATGTGAGATGTTTCTAATAGAGTGTCTATGGAGCAGGACGGTAATTTGATGTTATTCTCTCCTCTGGCTGCCGTCATGATTCATTCATTGATTTTCTTGTCGGCTTAGTCCCTTTATTAATCTGGGGCCAACTATCTATCGCCAACTTATCCAACAAGTTTTTACCCAGAGGATGCCCATCTCTGGGAAACATACACTTACACATTCACACACACACACACACACACACACACACACACACACACACACACACACACACACACACACACACACACACTCATACACTTATACACCACGGACAATTCACTTGTACCGCATGTCTTTGGACTGTGGGGGAAACCGGAGCAACCGGAGGAAACCCACGCGAAGGCAGGGAGAACATGCAAACTCCACACAGAAACGCCAACTGTGCCGAGGTTCGACCCAGCGACCTTCTTGCTGTGAGGCAACAGCACTACCTACTGCACCACACTAAAAGTCTTGATAACACCATCATCACTGCTGAGAAACCCGGAAATGTGAAAAGGGTTTATTGAACAGCAGTGCTCAGCTATTGAAAAATGAAAACCTGAACAGTATCTAAGTGATCCTGTGATTTTTGACATGAACAACATGGAAGCCTTTGACAATTCACACACATTACCATTTAAACAGAATGCATTTTCTCATTCCACTGCACTACTTTTTTTCATGTAAATGCACTTGACTGATGTGAATGACCGTTTTGCTTGCAACTTTTAACATCAATGTCAGTAAAGCAGTGGGCCAATCAGAAGAGCTTCTGTTTACAGTAGTAAATATGGCATGACAATTTTCGTTTGACAAAAACAAGTAACAGGTGCTTTTTTCTTGTAAAAAGTTCTGAGCTCTGCGTGTTGCGTTATTAATTCCTCTGCATGAGCAGCATTCCAGACACAGTCGGAGGTGGGAAATTCACCAATGAAATGTCCCACTCCCGACCTCAATGTGTCACGGTCAATCGTGGATCGCGGTCACATTTTCACCACGTCAGGTTTGAATATTTCATAAAATTTCATGTTATTGTGACAAATATGGCTAAAACTATAGAGAACCGAAAGGTGCGTGATGGTGGGGAAATAAATCGGTGGAAGAAAAACTGCAAAACCGCAAATCTGTTGTTTGACAAACATTTCCTGTTCACTTCATGCATGTCAACCCTGCTGTTTTTGTCGGGATTCTCCCGTATTTTACCATGCTTTCTCGCTGTCATCCTATCATTAAGTTTTTGGTTCCGTATTTCTCCCATTTTTTCAATCTTGAAAGCACATTAAAATACTATAAAAATGTCTGCATTCACTCCATTTCCATTAAGGCTGTGCGTCAATCAGTGCCCTTCGTATGTAACATCTAAATCAGCAAATGCATGTTAAAGTGCTGACTGACGGACGCACTCTCTCTGATAAACTGATTCAAGATCAGCTTATGTACATGACATTTAAAAAGGAGCGAAAGTGCAGAAAACTTTGGGTTTCGGGGTTGTGTTTAAAAAGACAAATGCACTTAATAATATGTAAACATGTCTGTCCTTCCTGCTTGATTGTAAACACAACTAATTTCTTTTAAATTAGCACAAACAGTTACTGAAGTAGAGGCGAGGCAGTGGCGCAGTAGGTAGTGCTGTCGCCTCACAGCAAGAAGGTCGTTGGTTCAAACCTTGGCTCAGTTGGCGTTTCTGTGTGGAGTTTGCATGTTCTCCCTGCCTCCAGGTGCTCCGGTTTCCCCCACAGTCCAAAGACATGTGATTTAGGTGAATTGAGTAGGCTAAATGGTCCATAGTGTATGTGTGTGTGTGTGTGAATGTGTGTGTGTTTCCCAGAGATGGGTTGCGGCTGGAAGGGCATCCGCTGCGTAAAAACTGGCTGGAAAAGTTAGCGGTTCATTCCGCTGTGGCGACCCCGGATTAATAAAGGGACTAAGCCGACAAGAAAATGAATGAATGAATGAGTTACTGAAGTAATCAAATGCTTTCATTATAGATCTGTGCATTCTTACAGTGACACCACTGTTTTCAACCAAAACAAAACGAGAGATTTATTTGCTGCTCTTCACTTGTTTGGGAACCGAGGTGTTACTTCAAATGGCATGTACGGAAGCTGAATCTGTACAGAAGCTGATTTGAATGCAGACATTTTTCTATTATTTTAATGTGCTTTCAAGATTAAAAATATGGGAAAATACTTAATGATATGATGACAGAAGGATAGAATGATAAAATACGGGAGAATCCCAGCAAAAACGGGAGGGTTGACGTGTATTAAGTGAACAGGAAGTGTTTTTGAGCAACAGTTTTGCTAGGGAAGGCAAAATATCTTCGTGAGGAAACTTAAAAACTTCCAAAAATATATATTTTCCTATCACTCCGTTTTTTTTCTTCCACTCATTTTTTTACTCACCATCACATCCCTTCCAGGTCTCTGTACTAAAACAACTGGAATAGAAAATGCTGTCATTTGTCTAACAACATTTGTAAAAACAGATTCTGCAAATAAATAGCAAATTGTGACATGTTGCAAAACATTTACATCTAATTTATTATTATGTTTTGTTATGTCACCAGAGGTTAGCCGACTCTACTTCAAAAAAAATCCAAAGTTTTGCCAGGTTTTTCCAAAGTTTTTCTTTAGAACTATTGTTTATGTGTCTGTACATAGACTGGGGGCTTCCTCTTAATGATTTGTTTATACACACAGGACAATACTCTATTTAAATAATATAGTTCATAAAATAAATATCCCGTCAGCACCAGTAGCCTAGTGGTTAAGTGCGTCGACATATAGCACCATGGTGCTCACGACGACCCGAGTTCGATTCCTGGCTTGAGGTCCTTTGATGACCCTTCTCTTCTCTCTGCTCCCAATACTTTCCTGGCTGCAACCTCTACTGTCATTTCCAAATAAAGGTGAAAAAACCCTAAAAAATAATAATTAAAATAAAATAAATAAAAACATTTAATAATATGATAAAATAAATATCCCAGTGCTAGGAAAAATGGTATATGTTAAACGGCATATGCCATTCGGCATATACCAGGTTCATTTTGCGATGGCAACCCACTGAAAAATCAGGTAGGAAAACGAGTAAATCCATAACTATAAAAGTAACTTCAAAAAGGAACAATCGAACTGGAACCAATTTCAGATTTAGTCAAGAATGTGTGTTATGATAAAGTGAACCAAATATATTTATACTTTGTTACATTATACCAAAACGCATGGATTTCACGTGTGAATGCACCTTAAGAGTGCTTTCACACCTAGACATCTGTTTCGGAACCGGTCTCGTTTGCCTAGTTAGCGCGTTTCATTTAGCAGATGTGAATCCAGCAATCGTGCTCGGATCTGCACCAAATCAATCGGTCCAAGATCGGCTGAATGATCAATTCAATCGACTTGATGGAAGTGAACTCTGGAGTGGATAGATTGTAGTGAGACAGCAATACGATCCAATGAACTAATGGACCAGGCTATATCACACTGTATCATGGTTATATAATAGCCAAATACATGGCTATGTGAAGAGAGAATTATGAGAAGGGCAAGATGTCATTCCTAGCGGTAAATGTGCGAAAGTGAAAGTGAGTGCTGTTTATTTATTCATTAAAAAAATTCACCAAAATTACCATCTTATAATCCATATTTTAGTCTTATAATATTTTGTAATAGGCCTATTGTTTTGTTCATTTCTACACTGACACCTTGAAAGAAAGATCAACATTGATTCTAGCAAATGTTTTTTTTTTTAATAGATTGATTGATTCAATAGATTTTTACAAAGCTTGACAACTAAAAGTCGGAAGAAAGTCTGATGAAAGTATGAGAAAGTTGTGACCTCTCTGATTTATATTGTGTGCCAATGTCTGTAAGTGTCAAAGTTAAAGATCATCTTTTCATTTATAATGTCTTATTGCTTATCGTCATAAATTAAACCATGAACTAAAATAAACATTATAACAATTAGAATCCCAGTTTCGAAACAAACAATAAATCTACAGGTGTGAAAGCACCCTAAAACACTTCATTATGGTCATATCTGCACTGATTTGTCATAGTTATCAGTCAGCCAGATCAGATGACTGAAATGGACTGTGTGTTGCAGGTGCAGTTCATTAGTTTGACCAAGACTCTGTACAGCGTTTTCCACGGCGATGAGGAGGAGGAGAGCCTGTACCGCGCTGTGGCACGAGTGACCAGTCTTCTGTTGCGCATGGAGGAAGTGGGACGGAAACTACAAGACAGCAGCCCGCAGAAAACACCCCAAACTACACCCACCAGCACATCTCAGCCAGAATCCTCCCCAACAAAACCCACCAGCCCTGAATCCGAGACCCCCGCTGAGAGTCGAAGCACCCACGACCAACCCGAGTCTCCTGTCAGTCAACACGAAACTGCTCCATCTCACTCTGACATCACCCCGAACTCAACCTCGCACCCTTCCACACCCACCAGCAGTCCCACTGAAACCAGCAGCCCAGTGCTGGACACGCCAACAGACACCCCCAGCTCGCCCTGCACGGTCAGAGACGGAGACTGGAGTTTCTCCTTCGAGCAGATTTTGGCTTCTCTCCTGAATGAACCATCTGTCGTTCGCTTCTTTGAACGGGTCGTTAACACGGACACTTTGATCACTCGCGCACGCAAAAACCAGCTCAAAGACGCACACTAATGCACACTTTCAGAGCAATCACAGCAAAACACTGCCCTAAAAGCCATAAACACTCTCTTTCTTTGTTTGTGCAACTACTAAAGGTCAGTGTGTGTGAAACACTTGTGTCGCTACCAATCATTCTATTTCTTTACAGACGCTGGCACTGAAAAGGTAAGAAGTGAGGTCAAAAATGAGCGAGAGTATTTTTATGTAACATAAATGATTCGTGTTAGATGTTATTTGTGTAATATAGATGATTGGTGTGAGATATTGTGCTTCTATTGTTATGAGGGAATTACACACACACACACACACACACACACACACACACACACACACACACTGAACATAGTGTATTATTATGAATGCTAACACGTGTGATTTGGGAGGAAGGCCTACTTTAGCTATTCAGTAATCGCTCATTCCCCGCCTGCCCTAATACACACAAGCACATGTAGGACCACAAAAGAAAGGATGAATCCAAGGGAAATCAAAAAGCTATGCTGTTGATCTGCTAAAAACTCTAGCGTTTTAGAATTCATCACGACTAATTACACATCCGTCGCCTTACATTATTTATGCTGCTCCAGTGATCTTGGAAATGAAACTTGCTGTCGTTTCTGTAGAAGCTTGATTAGAAACGCCCAGACTGGCATTATGCTAATCAGGAGGCGGAGTTTAGTCCAAATCATTTCACATTCCACCGTATTGAAGGTCTGTGTTAGGATTCCAGATGATATCTGTTCAATTCTGATTTACTGAATGTGTTTGTGTCTACAAACCGGAATCTGTGCTTTATGCCTTATTAGTTTTTGATTCAGGTCTTCAGTACGAATATCACAAGTGCTTCCATTTAACATTTTTCCTCTTATTGATAACACTAAGCATTTATTTCAGTTACTTTGGAAATGAGTTTATCAATTTGTTTGAGTTTTGTCGCAGAACAAGATGTTTTCTGGCATAATTTTACAAAGAAATATCATACGGAACATGCTGAAATGCTTTAGCAAGAAAATAATGTTAACTATTGTGCTGTAAATTATATGCAAAGTCAGTTCATGTAATCAGTAGGAAACATTAAGTGACGAATCACCAATCGTAAGAGACATTGTATAATGTTTTAAACCGATGGTCTCAAACTCAATTCCTCGAGGGCCGCAGCTCTGCATATATTAGCTCCCATCACCTCCAACTCACACCTGCTTAATAGTCTCTATTAGTCTTGAACACCTTGATTAGTTAAATCAGCTGTGTTTGATTAGGGTTGGAGCAAAACTGTGCAGAGCTGCGGCCCTCCAGGAATCAAGACCTATGCTTTAAACAGACCAATGAATATGCAGAATCGTTCTTCTGTTTGACTCTTGTTAAGTGTTGAGAGCTCGATGAATGCAGGAATGTATGTTTTTGTTTTGTGGTTATTCTGTGTGCCGCTGCGTCAGCTCTACACCAGCGAAACTGTTTTTGTTATTTGCGTAATGCAGTAATTGTGTTCCTTTAAAGCTAAAGGCACCTCAGAGTAGTGAGTATTTTTCCGTTAATTTGACTGAGCAGAAAGATTCTGTTATGGTTTTGCATTCTTGCACAAGAAATAGAGAGAGGGGGAGAGAAAACAAAAACACTTTGCTGAAGGAATTGCATTGAAAATTTAATTATTATTATTATTATTATGTGTTCCATCTTCTCGGAGTCGCTCTCTTGCTGTATTTGTTGTATTACATGTGCTGGAGGGTAATAATGTGGTCATTTTTTTACTTAATTTTTTTATTTCTGTTTTTGTCTAAAGGATTTATCTTTGTTATAATCTGTTTGTGCCTCATAAATTGTCACATTTATGGAAGTTTAATGATAAAATAAAATGTATACGGAAAGATACAAACAATCATTCTCTGTAATGTTTCTTATCTTGTTCTAGGAGAAACATCAGTATGGGTAGAGAAAGTTGATCCTCCAGGACAGGTTGAGTGAGACACGGGTCTGTCTGTGTTTTATTGTTGGTAATTGAAAAGCAAGTCCTTCAGAATAATCAGAAATGCCAGAATTGTCCCTCTAAATGTTAGAAATTCCTCAATTTTTCTGCATCCACCACTGCAAACTACATTTGAAATGAAAATATGGTTGCATTAATTATGCAATCCCCAACAAAAAAAGTGACAAGGCAAGAATTGTCGTTTTTGACATATAAGACATGCATAATTATCATTTCCTCCACCTTTCTGTTTCTTTATGCCTTAAAAAAACCTAATTGTTCGCCCGAAATAGTGGCTGTGGTCTAGCTATGGCATAATTATTACATAAAATGTTAAATAAATTCACAGTTATGTCATGAAGTTTAAGTTATGATATAAAAAGTGCAAATTACGATGGAAAAGTCAAAATTGTGAGTGAAAAATCTCATTTAAAAAAAACTTTTGGCTTATTTTTGTTTTTGTCTAAAAGATTTATCTTTGTTATAATCTGTTTGTGCTTCATAAATTGTCCCATTATAGAAGTTTAATGATAAAATAAAATGTTCTGTAAGATACAAATACTCGTTCTCTGTAATGTCTCTTATATCTTGTTCTAGGAGAAACATCAGTGTTGGTAGAGAAAGTTGATCCTCCAGGACAGGTTGAGTGAGACACGGGACTGTCTGTGTTTTAATGTTGGTAATTGAAAAGCAAGTCCTTCAGAATAATCAGAAATGCCAGAATTGTCCCTGTAAATATTATAAAATTCCTCAATTTTTTTTATCCACCACTGCAAACTACTTTTGAAATGAAAATATGGTTGCATTAATTATGCAATTCCTAACAAAAAAGGCAAGAACTGACGTTTTCGACATATTAAGTTTAGATAAGACATACAGAATTAACATTTCCTCCACCTTTCTATTTCTTCATACCTTAAAAACTAATTGTTCACGCCAAGCAGTGGTTATGGCCTTGTTATGGCATACTTATTACATAAAATGTTAAATACATTTACAGTTATGTCATGAAGTTTAAGTTATGACATAAAAAGTGCAAATTACGATGGAAAAGTCAAAATTGTGAGTGAAAATCTCATTTAAAAAAAAATTACTTAATTTTTTATTTCTGTTTTTGTCTAAAAGAGATATCTGTTTTATAATCTGTTTGTGCTTCATAAATTGTCATATTTATGGAAGTTTAATGATAAAATAAAATGTACTACAAAATACAAAGAATCATTCTCTGTAATGTCTCATCCTGTTCTAGGAGAAACATCAGTGTTGGTAGAGAAAGTTGATCCTTTAGAACAGGTGGAGTGAGACACGGGATATCCTCTGTGCTGTCGATAGAGGGATTGATCTGAGCTGCAGGTGCAGACGCTCTTCTATAAGTATGCAGGAGTACAGACGGGTCCCTGCTGAGATCTGCTTGTCTGCGTTTTATGAAAGACATTAGAAGGTTACATGCTTCATGAAGGTCATGTTGTGGCACAGCTTGTCATTTATGTCCTCTGGCCCTTGCCACTGCAGCAGTACCTTTTATGAGACATGCAGATTTTTTTTTAAAAAAAAAGGGAGTCTTCTGACTGTTTATTGTTTTATGAGGGTACGGATTTTCAAAGTCAACTCCTGGAGGGCCGCAGCTCTGCACTGCTTTACTCCAATCCTAAACAAACAGCTGATTCATATAATTAAAGAGTTCAAAATAGTCTGAACACCTTGATTAGTTGGATCAGCTGTGTTTGATTAGGGTTGGAGCAAAACTGTGCAGAGCTGCGGCCCTCTATGAGTTGACTTTGACACCTATGCAATTTGGATCTTGTGTTGTGAAGTGTCAAGCTTTTTAATTAGCTTGTTCAGGTAAAGGATTGACAGTATCTGTTCTTGAAAATTAAGAGACCACGAAAGAAAACTGGCAAAAATGTTAAAATCACAAGTGAAATATATGAAACGTATAGTTTTTAAACATATTTGTCCACGTTTAATCACAGTATAGCATTTGGTTTTTTATTCTATAAGCTTGCAATATATGAAAATATTCATGTTTTGTTAAAGTGTTCCAGCTTTATTAATAACTTATTGAAGATTGCTGAATATATCAATAATGATAATTTTTTTATTATCTTTGTTTTATTTCTAAACACTTTATGCAAGCTACAACTTAATCTATTTAAAACTTACTAACAATGGTAGCCTATCATGTATACCAAAAAAAAGCCCATTAAAAAGGAATTGCACATGTAAAGCAAACTATAAACATTTATACAATACAATATTTATACAATTTATATAAAAATTTATACAACAGTTCTGTCTGGCTCATGAATCTGATTGGCGAATAGTCGTGCGATATTTTGCAAATAACAGTCGTACTGCCTCTTTACCCTTGTGCATTACTCTGCCCACATGCAGAGACAAGCAAAAGCAGAGGACACAGTTCTGTTGTACAACATAATGTAATTTTGAGGCTTTTTATTCGAGAATAAAGTTGTTTAGGTTGCAACTATGCAGTTTGTTTGTAAGAATAGTGCCTATTTTTTCAGTGCATCTGTTTGAGCAGACCAAAGAAAGTGACAGTCGACGTTCCGCCACAAGATGGCGAGAGACCGCATAATAAGTCCTTATGGAAGAAAAACAGCAATTTCTCTGAGTAACTACAGCTGAACAATTCATTATAAATCAGGTAAGTGACATTCTGAGTCGAGCTCACTTTTTGTATTGTGTAGTGCTGTATTTACACCACAGAAACTGACTGCGGTCACGCCATCTGCGGTTCAGAAAGAGACGGTCACGCTATCTGTGCTTTAAATTGAGGTGCGCGTCTACTCGGTGTTTCGCGGTAAATTAAAGACGCGTGTGTTTAATGCGCTGGAGTTTTATAATCTTGTTTCACTTTATTTCGTGTGAATTAATTCAAATGATAATCAATAATCGTCTCTTTTATTCATATTTGGGTAAATAATTATCATGACTTTGCATGTAGGCTATAACTGGAAGTGTTTGCTTTGCTCTGACTTTTTCTGGGTTAATTATTGTGAAATCCCGATTGCAACAGTAGGAATACTGGGAAATCTCTGTAGACTGATGGCATTTTATGCCGTTCAGCCTTACAATTTTAAAATGTCAGCAAAATCACCTGTTTTGTCATCACTTTAGTCATTACGCTAGAGAATCATTTAAATGATAGCTTAAAGTGATGTGTGTAAACTGGCAACGGTTTCTGCTGTTCTGCCGTCAGCTACAGATGTGAATGAGTGGTGGAAGAAAGTAGTTCCTCAAACAAAAGGTTTTTTAAACTCTTTGTGTTTGATTTTCTTTTTTATACACTTTTGTATAAATGCAATATCACACTCGTAGCAGTGCAATATTGCTCATATAAACTGTTGATTATATATTGACTTCTTTTAGAAACGAAAAATAAAGGGTTAAAATATTAATGACGAATTGTAGGTTTACATTAATTGCACTGCTCCAGTAAATATTTCAGAGTACTGTTGATTAGTAGCTCCCAAAGTTAGTGTACGCTAAGTAGTGGGTGGATTTAAGTCCACATTACACAGTCCACTGTATACGTTTCTATTAGGATTCCAGGTTATTTCTGTGACCACGTTTATATAATATTGCTACAATTAACAAAGAAATTATATATGCGCTGACAGCGAAAAGAGAACTTGATTTAGAAAACATAAATTGGCTGAACTTTCATTCATGTGGACTTGACGCAGATGTTATGTCTCTCTCTAGAGGAAGGTCTCCGGTCATGGAGATGGAGCTTACCAAAATGACAGATTTTCCAACACAAGGTAAGCTTCCCAGCTAAAAGTAGGTTCTCTTTTAGTTAACTACAATGTTTTGTACTAAAATTGTCTTATCCTTGATATATATTCCATTTATTTAAAAAAAAAACATTAATTTAATTTTACCTAACATCATGTGTGAATATGTGCATATATATATTGTCCTTACTGTGTGTATCCAGTTCTCAGCCTAGCAAAATGCTAACATAACTATGCAGTGCATGCATGAGTGTTGCATTTTCCGCCTATTAGTAACTTCTGGGGCTCGTTTTGGTCAGGCTGATGCTGTGCTTGATGGACTGTAGACAGGAAGGCTGTTCAAAAGAAGCACAGCTATACGGATGTTTACAATCCCTAACTGTTTAGTGTCACTGTAAATTTTTGGATCTGCTGAGATGCTCTTGGCAACTTCTTAAGCCAGGCTGTACTCTTGCCTAATAGAGCATATTTAGCCAATCAGAGCTCCTTCCCGTCTGTCTGCCAGACCTGTGTCAGGTTTCAAACCGGACACACACACACATACAGGGTGTCTCTGGGCACTCATTTCATCTCTCTAAGAATAGTCTTCAGTGTTTATTTAAGACGTGAACACACACATAGCAACTTTGCTTGATATCAATCATGTTTACATGCTGAGAATGTGTGGACGTTACATTCATACAGTGCTGGTTCTCTGGCTGAAAAGATTTCTGCAGGTTATAGACACACACACTGTGAACACCTGGCAGAGGTCATCAGGACTGTAGACAAGATGATGTAATGGTTGTATGTTGTTGACTTGTAAAATATGATCAGCTTTGCCACTGATAGAATATAAATACATCAGTTTTCCTCTACAGTCAGCCCCCTCTTTCAAAAACGCAATACAAACAAAAAAATACTAAATTTAAACATTATACCCGTAAATCTCTTAAGTGTTTTATTGTTGGTAATTGAAAAGCAAGTCCTCCAGAATAATCAGAATAAGAATTATCCCTCTAAATGTTAAAAATTCTTCAGTTTTTCTTTATCCACCACTGCAAGCTACTTTTGAACTGAAAATATGGTTTCATTTAATTATGCAGTTCCTAACATAAAAGTGACAAGGCAAGAACTGTCGTTTTCGACATATTAAGCATAGATAAGACATACAGAATTTTTATTTCCTCCACCTTTCTGTTTCTTCGTATTTGCTATTGCATACTTATTCTATTAAACTATTAAATACATTTATAATTATGTCATGAATTTTAAGTTATGACTCAAAAAGTGCAATTTACGATGGAAAAGTCAAAATTGTAAGTGAAAAATCTAATTTAAAAAAAACTTGTATAAATTCTTACAATGCTCAGCATAAATAAGTACACCCCTCATTAATCTCTTTTTTTTATTCATATTTTTAATAGGAAGCTATACAATTATATTTGTGCATATACATTAGATTTGTCAGTACTGAAGCTAAATCTGGAGCTTATCTTACAAAATAACTTATGGTAATAGTCCAAAAACTAGTACACCCAAATATATGTTATAAAAAAATATTAAATACAAATAAAAAAAAACGGGAAAAATCAAGAGAAGCAAAAATATTTTGTAGGTTGTAATTTATTTTTGCAATATTTTGCTTAAATTTAATTGTATTATCTTTCAATTTGTAAATATGTTTTGACTAAAATATTATTTGAATAAATATATCTGTTTAATAAATTTGTTTTGTTTAAATGCACCACAATACATTGCCTATTTTCACTGAAAAATGGATACAAATATTCATTTTCAAAATGGGGTGTACTCAATTATGCTGAGCACAGGATATACTTCTTAATTTATTTATTTACAAGATTTTGACTTTCTTTCTTTGTCTTGGATGGCCGTTATCAGAATTTTACTCTTTATGTCTTAATTATGGCCTAGTATATGATAACTCAATACCATAAATATATTTCCAATATGTAATTTGGAGAAAAAGGGCTCCCACATGATTCAGTCTATGACTCAGTCATCGATCTGTTCAATACTTGATCATGTGATTGCAATATTCCCACAAAATGAATTCAAGTAAAGCTTCACATCAGTTCACATTCAAACTCCCTGATTCTGATGTCACTCTAAATGACACCTCGATAAATGAACCTCATCGTTCGCATGTTGCCTGTGAGCGGGAGAGGGACTCTCTTTAGTTGTTCAGAACGGGAGATCCCACATTCAGTAATGGAGTCAAGACTCTCTCGTTTCCTTCTGCTCAGATTTTGAGGTCATCCATCCTGGTCTTGTTGCTGCTATAGCGACTCGAATGGCTGGGCCTGCGCTGCTGGCTTGATGGTGATCCGGGTACAGAGCTCACTGTTTTGCTGATCTTAACATCAGCAGTGTCAGGTTTGCCGTTGCGCTCTACAGCCATGTTCTCTCGGTTTTGCTTGTAAACAGAGCGGCTGTTATGAACCGGAAAGGTCCCATCAGGTTCTGAGAGGTTGAAGTGCGGCTCTGTGGGAAAGGAAGCCGGAGGAGGTGCGTGAGCAGGAAAATAAGGGTAATTTTGCACAAAAGGAACAACAACGTCCTCACTAGGCACTTTAGACTCAGTGTCGCAGACTGAGTGAGCACGCCGGTAACGGAGACCCTGTCTGCACTTGGTAAAGCCCAGGTGATACATCTCCACCAGGTTGAGCAGCAGAGAGACACAGGCTACGGCCAGCATGAAAATAATGAAGATGGTTTTTTCTGTCGGTCTCGAGATGTAGCAGTTGACAGTGTTTGGGCAAGGCCACCTGCTGCAGGTGTACAGAGGCTTGAGCTCAAATCCATAGAGGAAATACTGTGCCACAATGAAGCCCACCTCAAACAGTGTTTTGAAGATGATGTTGAAGACATACGTGCGCAGCAAGACTCCCTTCAGACAGATCTTCCCCTGTTCATCACGTATGGGACCTTTTGGTTTGTGGCCCAGAAGTGCTTGTTTGTCTGCTCCGCTTGTTTCATTGCTTTTTAGTTTTTGCTCCATGCGCACCAGGTGGAGGATATGGCCCAGATAGATCAGTGTTGGGGTTGAGACGAAGATGATCTGGAGCACCCAGAATCGGATGTGAGAGATGGGGAAGGTTACATCGTAACACACATTCTGACAACCAGGTTGTTTGGTGTCACAGGTGAAGCCAGACTGCTCGTCACCCCAAACCTTCTCTGCGGCAGCACTGAGCACCAAGATACGGAAGATGAATAGGACGGTGAGCCAGACTTTGCCCACCACTGTAGAATGTTCCTGGGCGCTTTCTAAAAGCTTCCCAAGAGAGCTAAAGTCTCCCATCGCTGCAGTGCATCCACCTGCAGATACATGCAGAAATCAGTATTGCGTACATTTCTGGCTCAACTGAATTTAAGCATTTTTAATGAATCATCTGCTTTCAGTTACAATTTCTAGAGAACTATAAAGAAGGGGAAAAGGCAGAGGAAGCTGCGCAAGTTAATTGAAACGTGATATAAGTGCCTTTCACACCAATGTATTCATAGAACTATTGGTTGAAGGGTATGCATTTTGGCATGTTCACAAGTACATATTTTGCAGAAACAGAAATAGTACCTACTTCGGATCAAGCTTAAACCCAGCACAATAGGAACTACCAGTGATATACGTCCATACATAAAATTGGGCTTATGACTATCAAATTTTCTTGCTGCGACTATTACCATAGACCAAAGATGCCCAATCTGAAATTTCTATTTAAATGGTGTAAATTAGGCAGGCAGATTCTGCTTGACTAGTGTATTCAGCATTGAACTCCACTGTGTTATAGATGTGATTGTTCATGTTTTTATTGGAATAAGCTATAATTTAAAAAGATAAACTGCTTTAGTCAATGCAATTCAAATTAATGTTTTCTATTTATTTTTTAAAATGATGAAAAAACAATATGAATAACAACTTCAATTTGAAATAGTTAGGTAGGTAAAATAGGTATATTTATCTTCGGCCCATGGCTATCAATGATATTTGGTTTTTGGCCCTTCATATGAAAAAGTTCAGGCACCCGTGCAATAGATAGTGTATCACTTTATTGTATATACAGTTAAAGTCAGAATTATTAGCCCCCCTGATTTATTAGGCTGCTTGTTTATTTTTTCCCCAATTTCTGTTTAACAAAGAGAAGATTTTTTTCAACAGATTTTTAAACATAATAGTTTTCAAAACTCGTCTCTAACAGTGGATTTATTTCATCTTTGCCATGATGACAGTAAATAATATTTGACTAGATATTTTTCAAGACACTACTTTACAGCTAATAAAATAAAACAAATAAGACTTTCTCCAGAAGAAAACATATTGTCAGACATACTGTGAAAATGCCCTTGCTCTGTTAAACATCATTTGGGAAATATTTTAAAAAGAAAAAAAAAATCAAAGGGGGCTAATAATTCTGTCTTCAACTGTACATAAGTTAAGGTTTCAATCAAATTTAATTTCAACAGGTTTTTAAGTACAAAAGGTAACACTTTACAACAAAATCTTGTTGGTAAACATTAGTTAATCCTTTAAAATCAACTGTAAGAAAAGTCATATTTGTTGCAGTTACTTTTTTTAATTTTAGTTAAAATACAACGGAATTTTATTAGTTATTAACTCTATTTAACAAAACAATTACAACTTGTGATTAGACTACATCTAGGATTTTGTAAGATTTATTTTTTAGGGGTTTTTAACCGTTAATGTTTAGAACAAGGGTCACCAACATGATGCCCGTGGCACCAAGTAGCCCACAAGGATCACGAGTTACCCGTGGGCCTGTTCTAAAAATAGCTCACCATAGCACCTCGGACCAGTTTTTGAGCTATTCTTTTTAATTCACACTTGCATTGGTGAAAAATTGAAAATGACATTAAGTTATATATAAAAAAAACTTTAAAACTTATTTCAGACAAATGAAGTGTTGCATATTGATATTTTCCTACCTTGTTAAATCATAGCTGAGAACTTTTGTGAGAAATCATTAACATGATCGGTGTCTTCACATAGATTGATGCCATAAATTATTAATAATAACATATCATTAAAAGTGAATTGAGAACATTTGTAATTAAAGAAGTGTTTATCAAACCGGTAGCCCTTCACATTAATCAGTACCCAAGAAGTAGCTCTCAGTTTCAAAAAGGTTGGTGACCTCTGGTCTAGAATGTTGGATAGTACTGAGAGGAAATCATGCAGCGCACACAGAGAAGAAAGATTGGCAAATCGAACTCCGGTCACCGTGAGAACTTTAGTGCTAAATGTCAAGGCACTTAACCACTATTCTGTTGGCGCTGTCACAAATAGGATTTTAACACGTAATTAGGTATGAACATCACCTAAGATTAATAAAAGCCTTTATAGTTTATATCATGAATTTAGTTAAATTATTGAAGCTTTTTTGCTCAGACCATTCAGTCAATATTTTAGCATGACGTAGCTCTGTAAAAACGTTCATGTTTTAAACTTTTAAACTAACCAATTTTATCTTCAAGAATTTGGCACTATTATAGACACCAGCAAATGCAATGTCAATATTCCTAACAAGCACTCTGAAAGTCTAAAGAATAAATAAATATTCACTATATTATGGAGTGCTCATGATATCAAAATTCAATATGAAGGTTCATTATCATGAACTATAGAATATTGGCATAAACCAATTAAAACACCACCGCAACATTCTAGTTGTTGCAAAACATAAAGGAGGACCAGTCTACTGATTAGATCCTATAACTAAATTTGTAGAACTACATGGTACAAAAGCTTCTATAGTGGGCCAGTGATTAGTTACCTCACGCTAAGAAGGTAGTAAGGTCAAGCCCTAAACCAAGGCCAGATTGCATGTTTTCCCTTGTGTCAGTGCAGGTCGTCTGGATTCCCCTTACAGTTGAAATAATTTGGAGTCTCAGAATTGTCTATAGATGTGTGAAAGCTCTGTGATGGACTTGTCATCTCTCCAGAGTGTTTCCCCCGCCTCCCTCTGTCTAAGGAATCTGGGATAGACTCCTGCCCTATAACCCTGAAAGGTTGTATTTCTGTGTACCTTCACTAGTTCTGCTTATATAATTGCATAATCAGTTCAAGCTAATTATCATTTAATATCTGATTATGCAATGCCCCCCCTCCCCCCATCCCCCATAAAAATGTGTCATTTAAGATTTAAATAAGCATTACAGTATGGATAAGGTGTTGTAAATAATTGTAATACTAACACACCAGTGTATAAATAAATTAGATAGCCTCTAAAATCAGACAATCCATTGTAAAAGAAAGAAAACTTGCTTAATGTTTCCAGTAAACTAATTTGTGTCTTATTTTTATGCCATTTTTTACACAAGGTCATCCCCAAAGGTGGTTTTGGGTAAGATTTTATATGAATTTGTCCTAAAAAAGTAAAAGTTTTAAGTTTAAAAGAATTACAGTTACTCATACTGTATATATGCATGTATGTGTTGAAAGTTCTTTGTCATGTTTGAGGGATGGATTGTTATATTTGGTCACGTGGGGCCGGAGGTTTGACTGACATGCCTTCATGCCTGAGCATGACCTGAAACAGGTGGACATACTTGACCCTACACACACTTATGTACAGATACCCTAAAACACACCATCCCTCCTGTATTATATGTTTACAGATTTCTTTCAATTTCATTTTAAAGTGTCTTAATTGTGGGCTTTTAAATGCTATGGACTCAAAACAGCCTTACTAAGGACCCAAATATGAAAAAATGTTAGCTTTATTTTCCATGCATACAAAAAAAAGAAAGATATTACAATAATGTATCAGAAATATTGAATGGAGATCTAATATCTAAAATAATTTGTGTCTTAAATTATGCTAATACAAGTTAATATATAAAATAATTAGTGCTCATTCTCATGATTTTGTGAGCTGTCTTTAGAGAGCTGAAATAAAAGAAGTAAAAGTATAGTAAATCATAAATATTCTAAAGTATTTTCCGATTTTTGTGTGAGTTAATGGAAAGCTAATGTTTTCTTTTTTTAGCTTGGTGCTTTCACAGAAATACACACACATTCTGTGAAACATAAAACCAAAGATCAAAACTAAAGTGTCTCAAAACCAGTTTACATCCTTTATGGGACATACTGTGATTAGTCACTCACAGATAAATAAACACACACTCATACATGAAGTAATCACATTAGTCATAATACTAAATATAGGATTCCTTTTACTTTAAAAAAAACATGTGATGGGTGTAAAACTTACCTCTTTTACTGTTATTTAAACCGTTAATGAGGCAAAGAGCAATTCATGCTAATAAATGAAAGGAACCAAAACTTTTAAAAGTGAAAACAAGACCTAGATAAATCTGAAAGAGTGTTAAATGAGTTTTTCATTCCGGCAGATGCTTCATTCAGTCTCTGTGTGAGTGTGTGTGTGTGTGTGTGTGTCATTTAATTCTATAGCATGAAACTCACCTTGCTAGGGTCCAGAATTAGAAAGATTCCACAGACACAAATAGACAAACGTCTACAAATCTAAACAAACATCTTCTGTCTCACACACACTTTCTTCTGTACTCCAGCACCGACTCAGACAGAAAGAGAACCGACCCATACAAATACACTGTATCTGTGTGTGTGTGTGTGTGTCTGTGTTGGGGTTAATTTTGGCAGGGAACACAATCCCTATAGGGAGAATTTTGAAGAGTGTACCACCTGCCGTGTTTCTCAGAGTCTCTCCGGTGAGTGACAGCTGTCAGGACCAATAGCGGAGCTCACAGGCCTTTGAAAGAAATCAGTGCCGAAACACATTTTGTCTTTTTTTATTTTCGCTTAAGTGTGTTTAACAGCTAATAGAGACCAAATGGGAGTTGAAGAGCTCAAGGTAGACAGGAGAACTGGGATGTGTGGATGTGCTTGTATTGACTAGGCTGTAATGGCTTTCAAAAGACAAAAAATGCTTCACATTCTCTAAAGACATGCAGGTAAAATGTGGACTGGATGGTAATTGAAGAACCAGAGTTTAAAACGCATATCATTTTATTTTACTTTATTTATTGTATTATTTTTCTGATTTGATTAAAATGTATACTCAAATCATGCTAAATGAATTAACACATTCGGATTTACATGGGATCTATTTAGATCCGTCTTTGTTTTTTTGTTTTAAGACACTTTAAGCAATTATGACACTGAACCTGGTGACCTTTGTACATAGGTCAGTGTCAGTCCAAATTCTACTAATAAATAATAGCTTGTAATAACAGATTACCTACTAAAAATAATCAAAAACTTATATATATATATTTTGTCATTATTTTGTTGATGAACAGATAAAAAAGACAAAATGCCATCTCAGAGAGACTGACCTTGCAAATTTGCTTAAAACTTAAGTCACTGTGATTTGAATGGAGAGCTGCTCTTTTTGGATATGTAGCGTCGCCTAGAGGCGATGCACTGTACAGACACACAAATGAAATTAACAGTCCAATAACACCCTTATTCCTGTTATAGTGGGCGAGTGTCAAGACTTTCGACTTTATTTACTTAAGTTCATTTTAGCCTAAAAAACATCAGTGCTTTATCATAAACTGGTATTTCTATTATTATTTGAATGTAGCCAATTGTCTATCCTTAGTTTTACTTAATATAGACTAATTAAAATACTTTTGCAAAAATATAGCCTATTAATGTGCATAAATAGATTTTGTATTATAAAAAGTGTTTCAAAATAGATTAAAAGCATTTAATATTGGCTGAAATGTTTTTTAAACAACTTTTAGGCATGGGCCAGTGTGATTCTGATGCAATGATATCCTTGCGTAACATTATCACTGTTTGATGGTATTGATATTACTGCTCTAAATATATTATTTTTAAATGTCTGGGTAAAAAACAAAAACTTGTTTCCCCTTTAAACACAATATATTACATTTGAGAAACATTTTCAATATTTTGGAGTAGTAAACAATTCATTGACTTCTGCTGTCTTCATCAGTTTTAAAAACACAGATTTATTACTATTTAAAACGGCATCTTGGATATGTTTTCTGGTGAAGGTACTGTTGTTCTAAAAAACAAAAACAAATAAATAAATCTTACACATACCTTAGGAATGGTAGCAGAAAATTTTGGAAATTTTAAAACCTTGACTTTTCTAAACCGTGGTATAGGCCTACCTTGAAAACGGTTATCGTCCCATCCCAAATAACATTACATTGCATTAGTTATATAAGATTATATTGGTACAACTTATATTAGTAGACATAAATGTAGGTGGACCCTAAATTGCTGAACATAATACATATTTAACCTATATAGCCGGCTGAAAACCTGATCTAAAAAAATGAAGTCAAGAACTGATTATCTAAATGTATAAGGACAATATGAGCTTTTTCTCTTAACCCTTTACTTGCCTGCTCTACCAAAAGGTTGCATATTTTGACTGTTTTAAAGAATGACTGTTTTAAATAGTTGTTTACACACACAGCATTGTTGGTTTACAAAGAAATCAAACAAACATATTCCTGTTGCACTACTACACTTGATTTTGGTTTTATTGTAAAAAAAAAATAAAAAAAAATCAATAACACATGTTAAATGAGAATCTGAAATATTTTATGGCATCCTTAAAAAATAAAGATGATTTTCAGAAATAAAAATCTGAAAATATCAGAAAATTTTCATTTTGATAATTATAATTTTTTTAAATAAATAAATTGCTCTTGCACTTCAGATTTTCTGATTTTTCATATATGTATTAATTCCAGTACTTTTATCATAAACCGACATATCAACCATTTGGTAGAGCTTGATATTTTAGAAATTATGAGATGTGTTGAAAAAAATGCATTGCGTGTGTCAACTGGTAACATTAGAAGTTAAGAAATGCAATACAATTTGTTTTTTCTTAGTCATTTGCAATACAACTCAATGTGTGAGCACAGATAAATTAATGTTTCAATTTTATTTCATTGTAGAATTTTTTAAGCTACCAAATAAGTATATTCATGCAGCAGTAAATACATGTCATAAGTAATGCTTATGTACATAATTTAAAAAGTATTCTGAGTTACACATAAAAACATCATCACTGACATATTCAGTGTTGGGTAAAGTTACTTTTAAAAGTATTACAGTCTTAAGTCACCTTAAAAAGTAACAGTGTTACGTTGTTAGCTACTTTTTAAAGGACGTATGCAATATGAAAGCAGCCTAAGCGCTCTATGTGTGTGGGTTGTTGATTTTTATTTTTAAAATTAACACAGCGTTTAAGATTGTAATATATTAGGAACTTTACCCAACACGGATCATTGTTAACCCTCGTTAAATATAAGCGTTTAAGTGACATATTTAAGGCTTGAGGCCGAGCACTTCTAGAAGGAGCAGAGTTTTTGGGAGATCCAGGCTCCCACAGCGGAATCTTTGGAGTTATTGAGATGTCGACTGGTTGCTCTCGCCACAAGAAAGACGATTTCGGCGATGTTGAGCAGGATACAGACGCCGGACACCGCCAGCATAAATATAGTGAAGACTGTTTTCTCTGTCGGCCTGGACACGAAACAGTCGACAATGTTTGGGCACGGATACGAGTCACACTTCACCAGCCGGAACATCTTATAGCCCGGGTAAATCATGTAAAACAGATACATAAAGGCGGACTCGAACAACACACGGAACAGCAGGCTGATCATATATGTCCACCAGAGGGCGCCGGTAATCTTCATCTTCTGGTTCTTTATCGCCTCCAAGTCTTTCGGGCTGGTGCGGCCAGCCTGGCGATACAACTTTTTGTCGATGTGCCGACGGTGTGCAATGTGCATGGCGACCAGCAGGGCGGGGGTGGAGACCATGATGAGCTGCAGGGCCCACAGTCGGATGTGGGAGATCGGGAAGAAGTGGTCGTAGCACACGCTGTTGCATCCCGGCTGTTGGGTGTTGCAGATGAAATGCGCTTTCTCGTCGCCCCACACGCTCTCCGCCGCCACCACCAGAACCAGGATCCGGAAAATGAAGAGGACAGACAGCCAAATCCGCCCAATGCCGGTGGAATGTCGGTTCACGCCGCTGATCACGGCATAAAATGACGCCCAGTTCATTTTTGGTTCCAGATCTGAGAGACAGAGAAAAAGTCCACTGTTAGTCAAACACACACACATACACTCACTCACAGGCACGGTCAAAACAGTGGCCATTATTCATTCAGAACTCTTTTCAAGAAATACTTTGTTTTATTGGGCTAGAACACGTTACATTGATCACAAGTGACAGTGTGGATACGACGTTATAAAAGATTTGTGTTTCAAACAATGGTGAACTTTTGAACTGTTACTAAGTTCACTCAAAACTCCACATTCTGTCGTCATTTACTCACTCTTCACACAAAAGGACCCAGCTAGCATTTTTTGTTTCTAATAGAGGTCTAAACATAGTCGTCTTGGCTAAGACAAAGCTAAATTTGGCCTGTCAGTGAAAATCTAATAGACAACTAGGAATAGGCCAACACTAGACTAGTCATCAAATAAACAAAAATGAATAACTATACATATAAAGTCTGTCGAATCTGTCTATTTGACCACTAGTCCAGTTTAGGGCTGTTCAACGCCTATTAGATTTTCACTGAAAGCCCAAGTTTAGCCTTGTTTTAGCCAGGACGGCTATGTTTAGATGTCTACTAGATGTCTATTAAACACAAAATTGTTTGCTGGGAAGAAATTTGATGAAAGCTGGAAACCAGTAACCATTGACTTCCATTGTATATGTTTTTGCTTATTATGGAGGTCAACAGTTTCCAACTTACTTTAAAACATCTTTGTTTGTGTTCAACCTATTAAAGAAACCCGTATTCAGGTTTGCAACCACTTGAGCATGAGTAAAATGTTAATTTTGGGGTGAACTATCTTGGCATGGGATGATAATAGTTTTGAAGGTATAACACGGATGGAAAAAGTCAAGGTTTTACAACCAACAAAATAGTCTGCTATACCGTTCCTATGGTATATGTAAAGTATGGTAACATAAAGTTTTTTAGGACAACAGTATCTCCAGCAGAAAAGATATCCAAAGATGCCATTTTTAATTTTAAAGCAATCTGTGTTTTTAAAACAAATGAAGACAGCAGAAGTCAATGATTCATTTTTATTATTCAGCCTGATATTTTTACTGTTCCAGAATACTATAAATGTTTCTCAAAATTAAAAATATTGTGTCCAAAAGGGAAAAAAGTTTTAGTTTTTTAGCCAGACATTTACAATACCGTCAAATCCTGAAAATTGTATCCAAGTTTTTCATATCATCAGAATCTTACACTGGCCCATGCCTAGACCTTTAAGACTTTATAGGTGTAACATTAGTCAATGTGAACTACTAGTGAACAATTGGCTTATATTTTACCAGCATGTCCTCTGTTAATGTTGGCTACTTTTCATATTAATACAAATTTACACTGCATCACCAATGGATTTGTAATAATGCATTGCATGCTAATATTAACACGTTACATTAATGTAAACAAATGTTTATTATATATTATTGAAAAACTATATTATAAAGTATTACATATATTTAAAAAATGCATCAATCCTTGTACCAAAAACAGGCAACACATCTGTTTTCTACATTTATAATTATAAGACCCTTCATGACTAATGCATAATACTAAAATTATTTTTGAACAATCATGGGCTGATGAAGAATGAAATAAATGGCTGCTGAAAATTCATCATCACGGGAATACATTTTAAATTGAGCTTAAAATAATAAACAAAGCCTTTAAACATTTTAATGATTATTAAATAATTTTAAAATGAGATACTATTTTACAATATTACTGTATTTATTTTTTATTTTACAAAATGCAGTCTACATGAGCATGTTTCTTTCAAAAGCATTGAAACATTTTACGAAACAAAAGCATTTGAAAAATGGCCTATGCAAACATGTAAAGATATCTAAATAGCATGCATCGAAGCAATTGCATAACTACTGTGCATCATCACATCAAGTCACCATCATAACCATGTCTAATTCAACTACAAATTCAGGTCTTCACAAACAATGCACAACACAAGAAAATATATCATTCAAGCTATAACTTAGATGTCCTTTAAAGTCCTGCACAAATGTTTCAAAACTCTAATTACTCCCTAACAGCACTCAAAACCATTTAGATTCCACAAGAAAAGCAAGCACACATATAAAAAGCAGCTACATCTACAGCAGAAAACCGCATCAGAGCAGCAGAAAGCATTACCAGGCTCCGCAGGTGGTGTTAGTGGCATGGGCAGAGCCCGTGTTGAGGGGTTCTGAGACCCGCCGTGTCTCCGGTGTGTGCCAGTGTGTGTGTGTTTGTGTGTGTGTGTGTGTGTACTTCTGTCAGATGGAGTGTCTCCAGCTTTCAGTGACCATTTATGAAGGCAGAGCCACCCATGTGACCGGTGAACTCGCAGCCAATGCCATTCCTCCCATCGCACAATGAAAGCGTAGGTTCAGTCACAGAACAAGTGTGTGTGTGCTTGGATGAGTGTGTTTGTGTGATATAGGTCACCAAGTACCTTCCATCTTTCACTTTTGACTCAGATTTGACATTGACCTAACAAACAGTCCATTATTTTAATACTCGAGTTTTAGTGAGTTTAGAAGGGCAACGGTAAGAAATATGCTGACAATGACTTACAATAATACACAGCCATATGAAATAGAGTTGAATTTCGTATTATTAAACCGCCTTTACATTTTTTTTTCCTTTTTTAAATATTTCCCAAGTGATATTACCAGAGCAAGGACATTTTCACAGTATGTCTGATAATAGTTTGACCTCTGGAGTAAGTCTTATTTGTTTTATTTCGGCTAGAATAAAAGCAGTTTTAAATTTTTTAAAACCCATTTTAAGGTCAAAACTATTAGCCCCTTTTAAGCTATTTTTTTTGTCGATAGTCTATAGAACAAACCATCATTATACAACAACTTGCCTAATTACCCTAACCTGCCTAGTTAACCTAATTAACCTAGTTAAACCTTTAAATGTCACTTTAAGCTTTATAGAAGTGTCTTGAAAAATATCTAGTCAAATATAATTTAATGTCATCATGGCAAAGATAAAAAAATCAGTTATTAGAGATGAGTTATTAAATGTATTATGTTTAGAAATGTGTTGTAAAAATCTTCTCTTCCTTAAACAGAAATTGGGGGAAAATAAACAGGGGACTAATAATTCAGGGGGATAATAATTCTGACTTCAACTGTACATCAAAGTGATGATGCTTAAAATGCATTTTATGTTTACTTTGTTCATTAATGTAGTTTAATATATGATATTATATTAATGTTTAACATTACATACTCATAAATTGTAAAAAAAAAAAAAATTGATTTAAGTTAACCATTTTTAATACCATTCATACATTGTAAAATATTATATAATCAATTAGCCCTGTAAAAAATATGCATATGCACTGTAAAAAAAAGTTGACACAATTTAAACTTTTAATGCAACCTCAGGACATTTTTGAATTTACTCAAATTGAATCAAGTCAAGTGCATTAATTGGGTTGAAAGTTGAGTCAACTCAAAAATGTCCTGAAGATTGTGTCTTCAAATTTTAAGTTAAGTTTTTTGTTTTTTACAGTGTTTTTAGGTCATTATAACTTATTAAATGAAGTTAATCATGTTCTAACTTATATTTTACATGTTAGAACATATATATTTATATATATTATTTATAAGTTGCACAAGCTAATTTTAAGTCAGTTTAACATAATACAAGTTCAATTGACTCATAAGGTTAATTTGATTCAGCTTAAAAATTTAAGGCAACCAGGATTTTTTTTTACAGTGTGCGCAGTAAAATGCTTAATGACAAACTGTCAAGAGAACAAATATATGTATGTTGCTTCAACTTATTAAAAAAAAAATCAGGCTTCAACTATTGTTTTTTATTTTAATTTTACAAAGGTTAGCTTAATATTTTTAGTTTGTTTGATTGATGCAGGTTGAGATGACTAGAAAAGTTCATTTGACTGAAATATTAAAGCAGAGTTTTTTACAGTGTTAGATTTAAGTCAGTTTCATTTTATGTAAGATGAAATGACTTATTTTGAAGTTAATTTAAGAACTTAAATATTTAGGCCAGCAATATTTATTCATATTCATTAGTTCTTATTATGCAAATAGATTAATAAAAAGTGTTGTCCTAAAAACAATACATATATATTTTAAAAAGTCTTCAGTAACTGTAAATATGAGATGTCTTCAATATATATCTTTCAAAGCATGTTTCTTTATAATATAGATTTGTTTTACATCTGTTAGTAAGGTGATGCTTGTGTTTTATTGTTTTAGTGAAATACAATAATGACTGTCATTACAGAGATTAATAAAAGTACTGAAATACTGTACAACATCATCTCTTTAAATACACACTTTTACTTTTCCATGAGTGGTGTTATGAAATAATATATTTGATCTATCAGAACATTTCATTAACAGTGAGTGGTTTGTAAACTTTCTAAATGAGGAATTAGATAGGTGTTTGATTGCTGGCTTCACTGGTTCGGTAGATGGTTGATTATTGGGTTGCTGGTTTGAACATGGTTGGTAGTTGATTATGACAGGGTTTAATTGGTAGGTTTAGTACTGTATTTGATAGGGTGGGTATTTTTGCTGATGTTTACCTGCGGTTGGTGAGGTCCCTGAGGAGAAGAGAAGATGTGGCGAAAGAGAAGTCGCACAGGAAAGGGTTGATGTTTCCCCAGTGCAGATTATGGCGCAGCACCGGAGCTTTGCATTGCTAATCACCCGTGTCACGCTGTTACTCACCCCACTACAAACATCTCCACACAAAAGATGCTTGTGCTGGCGGTCCTTAACCATTCAGATCAGATCCAAGGCGCACACCCACCAGCAGACACTGTGACGCAAATTATGTACAAATAATGCACACATGAACATACACCAACTCACACACAAGTTTCTTCATAGCTTCTCTTTCAACACAATCATTGCTGCAAACATGTCAGTTTGGACATGTGGGATAGTTTGCATACAAAAAAGTATACTTGTTCAACAAAACTAGACAATTAACAGCACACAAACATTAAGCATTAGTTTCTGTTTTTATGATTGATGTTTATAGAATTATCTGGATTTATAACAAACTTGAATTGAGCTTAATTCTGAATACTTGCCAGAAAGTAGGCTTACCAGTCTATCTACCTTTATCTGAGATTTGCTGACATTGAGCTTTGCTATTCTTTATTTTTGTAACCAAATTTACAGCTAATGTTTAGCTACAGTTGAAGTCAGAGTTAGTAGCCCCCATGAATTATTAGCCCGCTGTTTATTTTTTCCTCAATTTCTGTTTAACGGTAAACAGATTTTTTTCAACACATTTTTAAACATAACAGTTTGAATAACTTATCTCTAATACCTGTTTTATTTTTATCGTTGCCATGATGACAGTAACTAATATTTTACTAGATATTTTTCAAGACACTTCCATACAAGTAAAAAAATAAATAAATAAACAAATAAAAAGTGACATTTAAAGCTAAATTTAATAAATTTAGGGTAATTAGGTTAACTAGGCAGGTTAGAATTGGGCAAGTTATTGTATAATGATGGTTTGTTCTGTAGTCTATCGAAAAAAATAGCTTAAAGGGTCTAATCATTTTGACCTTAAAATTTTTTTTTTAAGAAATTAATTACTGCTTGTATTCTTGCCGAAATAAAACAAACAAGACTTTCTCTAGAAGAAAAAATATTGTTATACATACTGTAAAAATTTCTTTGCTCTGTTAAACATCATTTAGGAAATATGTTTAATAATTCAAAGGGGGGCTAATAATTCTGACTTTAACTGCACAGTAGGAGCATAGAATTATGCATTAAAGCAAAAACTCTAAAATAGTATAGTAGTTTAAATTTAAAAAGTTATTTAGTTAATAAAATTTAGATATTTAAAAAAAAGTTTATTAATTGCTTAATGACACTTTTATTCAATGAGTAAAGGGAAAACCTTAAATAACTGGAAATGTTCAGAAAAAAATCTTTTATTTTTCCTTTTTTACATTTTAGTTAGCTTCTGAGAATCCAAAAAGAGCCACATATTGATAAATGATGTTAAGATAGCTGTTTTAACAATAGTTTATGATTGAATTGCCTCTTGTTACAGTTATGAAATAGTTTGATAACAAGCATGAAATGTTCACGAAAAATGGTCTATGGAAAAAATGGTCTATGGAAAATTGTTTCACAAAAATGGTCTATAATTTAGCACACTGTAAAACCCAAAAAGTGAAGGTAACTCAAACTATTTGAGAAAACCGATTGCAAAAAACCATTTAAGTTTAAAAACTAATCCTAATGAGTACTGTGAACTTAATCTATTTGAGTAAAATAAGCAACTTGAGCACAGTAAAACCCAATGAATGAAGAGAACTTAAACCAACTGAGTACTGCAAAACCAATAAGTTAAGACAACTCAAACCATTTGAGAAACTCGATTGCTAGACAAAACATTTAAAAAAACTAATCTATACGACTACTGTGAACTTACTCCATTTAACTCCATTTAAGTTGAAGTAATGAGGTATTTAATTAACTCATTACCTTCAAAACTAAGTTCAAAACTCTTTTCAAATGAGTAGAATTAACTTTTAGTCAATTTTGAGTTAACTGCACTCATTTCATTTAATAAAGTTGACCGTTGGGTCTTGCAGTGCATAATGACATTCCTGTGATAATGAGTGTTTTGTTTAACTGTGATGATTTGTGTTGTTGTTTTTTAATGTTTGAATCAGGGCACCTTCAATTTAAAAGAAAGTATTTCAGTTTGTGGTAAGCTTGTTTTTGATGTGAATTCGTTTTAGACAATAAATTAATATATACAATGACTGTAGATTAAGCATTATCTTTAACTAATAGAAATGGCATTCCTTAGTTTCCTTTCTTTAGTTTTCAGTTTTTCATTGGAAAAGAAAGTAAATTGGGCTGTTTTTACGTGCATTTATTCACTTCCCAAAGGTCCCCACAAGGTGATCCACAGTCACGCGCACATGCAGACGGGCAAAAACGCGAGAACGCGCACGCCCAGCCCCACCTAGAGGAATTGTGGGAAGACATGGCAGCTTCCGCTGTTTGTGTTCACTGAGTTTCCGCACTAATCAGTCACTAAATTGCTGAAGTAAAGTTAGCTTAATAAGTTTATCAGCGCCGCGGTTAGGGTTATTTCGGAATGGAGGAGAGCGCAAGTGTGGACAGTGTGGAGTCGCTGTGCAGGTACCTAAAACATTCAAATACTCTTTAAAATATACACAAAACGGTTTGACTGGTTTAAATGTTAATTTCACTAACATTTCTGATGAAAACGCTTCCCGGAAATCCTTATTAAAGTCTTGAAGGTTCTTGACAAGCACAGAATCTAACTTTGATCATTCATCTGTCAGATAGGTTTGCTCATTTACACATTGAACTCTGTCATTATTTGCTCACTCCTATATTTATTAAACATGTATGAATTTCTTTATTCTGTTGTACAGAAAACAGATGGTAGCAGAATGACAAAACTCATTTTTTTTGTATAGAATTAAGGATGTAATGGTAACGGTGGTGAAGACTGAAGCTGTCAGTCTTTATCATTTAGCATTTGATTGAGGTCAAGTTGGTTTAATTTTCGCACATTAGTTCATTGACACCTTGTGACTTGCTCCCTATATTGTTTACCTTGGTTTTTTGGATAGTTGACTAAAACTACATGTAAATATGACTTTAAAACAACATTAGCACTATTCAACTGACTGTGGACAGTGTTGTACTTTAATATTCATTGGCTGCTAATATGATTTCACTATTTAGAATTTGCAATGAAAACTTTTCTGAAATGATATTTTTAATGAGAAAGTCTCAATGTGTGAATATAAAAACCAACTTTACCTCAAACATTATTTGTTTTATGCTAGAAATAAATCAAAATTGTGTGCTTTAATCTTCATCTTCATGTACCTTCAGCTCCACTACGACCCGCTCTGATCGCTCAAGTGGCCCCAAAGTTTCAGACACAGAGCTGCGGGTCAGTCTCTTCTTATTCTGTCCTTTTAGACTGATATATGTGCTGAATCATTACTGATACTAACACTCATCTCTTATTTTTCTTGCTTATAGAGTAAAGGAAGGCCAATTGAAAAGGTATTAAATAGAAATGTGAGCCAGACTGTTTAATAACATTTTAATTTCTGTGCGCTGATTTGTTTGTGTTTGTGTGTGTGTGTGTGTGTGTGTGTGTGTGTGTGTGTGTGTGTGTGTGTGTGTGTGTGTGTGTGTGTGTGTGCGCGCGCAGATGTACAAAGACCCAAGTAAAGGCGAACTTCCTCTTCTGCCTGTGGAACTGGTTCAGGAGTCCGGTATTTTGCTACATTATACTGACTACTTTTTATCAGCAGTTCTGATGATTTGAGTGCTGTGTGTGTTTAAATTGTGTGTGTGTGTGTGTTTACAGCTAAAGACGTGACATACATTTGTCCATTCATTGGGCCTATTAGAGGGAGTCTGACCGTCACTAACTACAGACTGTTCTTCAGATGCACTGACAGGGTAAGAGACAAGCACGCATGCTGTTTATTTATGACATCTGAAGAGTATTTTTTTTAAATTGGCTTAATTTTTAATCTCTATATATGTGTATAGGAGCCAGTGTTTGGGTTAGATCTTCCCCTGGGAGTATTGAGCCGAGTAGAGAAGATCGGAGCAGCAACAGGCAGAGGAGACGTCTCGTATGGCTTGGCATGCAAGGTCTTTGTGATTTTCACATGTAATATGTGTTAAAATGTATTTTTTTTTATCAAAACAAGTGTAAAAATTGCTCCTAACTGAAATAAAATGTATTTATTTATTAAAACTAAATAAAAAAATCTATAAAAAATGAACTCAATTTTAAAAAACTACAGTTAAACGGACACCTGAAAGTATAAAATAAATGTATAATATGATTTATGACTTTATTAATGTGTAATAATAATAAAAAAATAAATAAAAGTGAGCAAATAAACTGTTGTGGCCTGATACATCATTGCATGATAGCTAAGTGTGTATATATATGTGTCTTGTAGGATATGAGAAACCTGCGTTTTGTACACAAAGAGCCTGACGACTCGCTAAAGAAATCAGTGTTTGAGGTCCTGATGAAGTTTGCTTTTCCAGTGTCAAACAACATGGTGAGAAAAATAGACAAATTATATAAGTTACTACACTATATAAACAATAAACCCTGCTGATTCAGCATTAGAATTCATTATTTCACTGGCCGTCTCTTTCCTTTCTCTTTTTTTTTTCTCTAGTCTCTTTTTGCATTCGAGTATAAGCAGGTGTTTCCTGAGAACGGATGGAAGGTGTATGATCCTCTGGCTGAATGCAAGAGACAGGTACAGTGTGTTTTTATTTCTTTCATGGTTTTGGGGTTGTATGGAATGTGATGATGTACAGTTATCCAGTCTTTATTGCAAAATAAACCCTTTTAAAGTGATCAGCGCTGTAATGTAAATTTAATATCTCTGCTTTTTTCTCTAGGTTATTCTTATTATCGAATTGCTTTTAATCTGTCCAACGAATGTGGCACTGTTGATTATGAATATTGCATAAATGCTAATTTAAATATTTCTACTTATGATGGCTGAGTGTGCATAGATACTTTTTGGATGGATGGATGGGTAGATCATCAAAATGGAATTAAAACAATATAAATGTATTTTTAACATACCATTTAATTTATTAATTTTACAAAAAAGTTTTTTGACTATTTAAATGCTACCACTAATATCACTAATATAAATGATATATTTCTTTAAAAGGTTCAGTAAAATTAAAATTAAGTTTTTTAGATGTTAGTATCAGTAGGTTAGTTTTAAGGGTATTTATAAGCTAGTGTGCCCAAAAACAATGACACAATTCACATTTAGAAGATATAAACCTGATGTTTACATCCAAAGCTAACAGTTTGTCAACTGCATCAATGATCTTACTTCAGTTTCTCATCAAATTTTGACCAATCAAATGGCTTTCATTTGATGTGCTTGAGGCAACACAGTGGTTCAGTGGTTAGCACTGTCGCCTCACAGCAAGAAGGTCACTTGTTTCTGCCCCGGCTGGGTCAGTTGGCATTTCTGTGTGGAGTATGCATGTTTCCGCGTCGGTTTTCTCCGGGTGCCCCGGTTTCCACTACAGTCCAATGACATGCGCAGCGCTATAGATGAATTGAATAAGCTAAATTGGTCCTCGTGTATGTGTGTGAATGTAAGAGTGTATGGGTGTTTCCCAGTGCTGGGTTGCAGCTGTGAGGTCATAAACTTATGCTGGCAACCCCTGATTAATAAAAGGATTTTAAATAATAATTTAATAATTAATGAATGATGTGCTTGAGCTCAACCACTCTCTCTGGCTGTGAGAAAACAGAATGCTATTGGCTGTTTTTGAAAAGGGGGAGGGGCTACTTTACATCCTGCCTTCTCTTCATGTTTCAATTGAGTTTACGTCAAAATTGGAATCAAATATTTTTTAAAGCACCTCACTGTACCAATATTAAATAATAAAAATATCAACAACATTAAATAATAAGATTATTAATGCTTATCTTTAGCTCATTCAATATTTGTAAAATAAGAAGATGGTGTTATATACATCCAACACAGCTAAATCATCAGCATCACTTTACAAAAAAATTATTCATCTGTCTTAAATACAACTGTGTGTGTGTAGGGTCTCCCGAATGAGAGCTGGAGGATCTCCAAATTAAATGATCACTATGAGCTGTGTGATTCGTACCCAGCGACTCTAGTTGTGCCAGTAACCATCACTGACGATGAACTGCGCCGTGTCTCCAGCTTCAGGGCCAAAGGACGCATTCCAGTCAGTGTCATTAAGCATTTCTGATTGTTCTCGTTTCAGTCTGTGTATGATATTCTTCATCCTCACTGCTGGCTCATTATACTCTAGGTGCTTTCATGGATCCATCCTGAGAGTCAGGCTGCGGTGGTTCGCTCCAGTCAGCCAATGGTGGGCCAGAACGGACGACGCTGCAAAGAGGATGAGAAGCTCCTTCAGGCCATCATGGATGCAAACGCGCAGTCGCACAAACTGTTCATATTCGACGCCAGGCCCAGTGTGAATGCTGCAGCAAACAAGGTAAACAGTCAGTTTCTTTCCAAAATGTGTTTTGGATGAAAGTGAAACTTTGAGTGACAGCTTCTGCATGTGTTTCAGATGAAAGGAGGTGGGTTTGAGAGTGAAGATGCTTATCAGAATGCTGAGCTGGTGTTTCTGGATATCCATAACATTCATGTTATGCGCGAGTCACTGCGAAAACTTAAGGAGGTCGTCTATCCAAACATCGAGGAATCCCATTGGCTGTCCAACCTCGAGTCCACACACTGGCTGGAGCATATAAAGGTGTGACTAAAGGGATCTCTTCATTACGTTTCTCTTATACTAAAGGAAAACTTACTCACCATTCCAAATAAACACAAAATAAGTTATTTTGAAGAATGTTGGGAAACACAAAGTTGATGGCTCCCATTGACTTCCATAAAATAAAAATAAAAAATAGTATGGAAGTCAATGGAGACTAACAAGGGATTAGAACATTATTCATACAGTAACATTTTCTTTTGTGTCATGCAGAAAAGAGAAACGTATACAGCTTTAGACCAAGTGTAGGATGAGTAACTCCTTTGCAATGCACAATTTTAGCCCAAATTTGAAACATGGATTTGGTTCAGAGAAAGCCTTTTTCTCAGTCCATTTGGATCTAAAAATGGGGGAAAGTTTGGAAAAACTTTGGCAGGAGTACTCTTGTCTTTTTAATGTTTCTTATAAGCTGTAGTCTACCAAAGTGAGGTACAGTTTCCATCCCTCTCAAGAACTCTGATTTCATGTCTGATCTTGTGTCCTCATGCGTGTTTGGCTTTAAAACAAGGGCTCTATCTGAAATCACCCCTATACCCTCAAATATTTTTGAGGGAGCAGGCATTTCTTGTGGTGTATGAAATCATAGCAGACATTTTAAATTGCATTGAATCAATCCCACAATGCACAGCAAAAGTGAGTCTACTACCCATGTACATGAAACATCAAGAAAAAAAAAAACAATGCACAGTGAAGGTTCTCGCGCCAAAGGAAATTACATATATGACCACAGGATGGTATCAAAAGCAAAATCTTATTGGTGTAAGTTTTAAATTAAAGTATTATTTTATTAATGCAACATTGTATTTATACTGTATATGTATATATAACACAAATCAAAGTCTTTGTTTCATTCCTATTAGACAACTCTCTAAAAAAAATCTATAACAGGGTCTGAACAGGAAGTTGAAAATCAAATTCTTCTGAGGGATTTATCAATTCGAGTGCTCTAACTCACTCACTCATTTCATTGACTCTTTCAAGTGGACTAATGGATAAAGCAATCATGTGCGACCCAGGCAGAGCTGTCAGTGTTTCTTCCTATAGTCATTTTATGCTGTGTTTAACCTCCTATCTGACAAATTTGAAAATCATGTAGTGTGAACTTGGCATAATCGATAGCAGAATTTTTTGGTGAACTGATGAACTGATTGTGTTTGTTTGTTTGTTTGTTTGTTTGTTTGTGTGTGCGATAGTTGATTCTAGCAGGCGCTTTAAGAATAGCTGACAAAGTGGAGTCTGGGAAGACGTCAGTGGTGGTTCATTGCAGTGATGGCTGGGACAGAACCGCTCAGCTCACCTCACTGGCCCTCATCATGCTGGACTCGCACTACAGAACCATTCGAGGCTTTCAGATACTGGTGGAGAAAGAGTGGCTCAGTTTCGGACATCGCTTCCAACAGGTTAGTCAACTGACTAGCTTAGATGACATGGATCTAATTATGCAAATCCCTAAAAGTCTATGATTGTATGTTTATATTAAAAGAATATGCAACGCTTTATCAAGCTCAAATTGTGAAAGAAGGTTTCATTTTTATACATTTGTTGCCCACTATTTAACTTTACAGCTGTTTTAAGTCTTGAGAAATAGAGGGAATATTTAAATTCAGAACAGTTAAAGTAAACTGTAACTATATTTTGCATTATTATTATTTCACAGTCAAAGTCAGCTTTATTGCCAATTCTGACACATGTAGACCTACAGATAATTAAAATGACATCACTCTCAGACCCTGAGTGCATATGAATTATAAAAACACAACAAGAGGCATGTTAATATACAATAAATACAAATTGTTTAGTAAAAACTAAGCGAAAAAGACCAAGTCTGATATTTGACATGATATATATTCACTGTGTTCCACTCAGTGGAAACGGGCCATTAGTTCACCCATGTACAGCCATGTTAATAGGCAAAACTGTCAACCGTTTAGGACCGTGGGAGTTTGCTTCTGAGTCTACAGTCTGCCATAGCCATTCAAACTGAAGATTCTGATTAGGGTTAAAACCAGCACAACAAAATAGTCAAATTACTTTTACATTTAGATGCAACATTCTTGATAATTTTACCCTTTTAGTAAATCTCAGAGAACAGTACATGAACAGTAGTTCATGACCCCTCTGTTTGTTCATTGTCAATAATTGTTTTATTGCTTGTTTGGCCTCATTTGTGTGTATAGCGAGTGGGTCACGGTGATAAAAATCACACAGATGTAGATCGCTCTCCAATCTTCCTGCAGTTCATTGACTGTGTGTGGCAGATGACAAGACAGGTGAGTTTAACAGAGCAACACCTCTTTTCAATGTATTGATATGGTCTGATCTGCAAAAGTAACAAGTGTTTATCTCTGTGTTTAGTTTCCAGCAGCTTTTGAGTTCAATGAGTATTTCCTCATTACAATACTGGATCACCTCTACAGCTGCCTATTTGGCACGTTTCTGTGTAACAGTGAACAGCAAAGACTCAAAGAAGTAAGTGCAAACGTACTATTGGACATATCTGCAATAGGAACATCAAAGCATTATTTTAGTATCTAGCATTGATGTAATATTCTAGATTATTTAATAGTTAATAGTTCCCCGTTTTACTCTTATAATGTTAGCATTTTAGTATTTTGTGTTTTGACAATTGCTTTGGTAATTTTAATGTGTACATGAATGTGCGTGCGTGCGTGCGTGCGTGCGTATGTATGTATGTATGTATGTATGTATGTATGTATGTATGTATGTATGTATGTATGTATGTATGTATGTATGTATGTATGTATGTATGTATATATGTGTGTGTGTGTGTGTGTGTGTGTGTGTCTATATATATATATATATATATATACACACACACACACACATTTCAGATGTAATGGATCACGGTTGATCCGTGCTTCGTACAGATCTCAACCCATGGTTCAGAACCCGCAGATTCTTTACTAGTAGATTAATTGTAAATTTGTAACGATTACAAAAAGATTGCCTCTTGCGTCATTCAAGTCACATGCATTTAGGCTTTCCTGTAAAATATAATGATGATGGAAAAAGTTGTGGTGGGTTATTCTGGATGTGGTGGGTTTTATTAAAGTGTTTCTACTTGTTTAGCCTGCATTAATGCATTCAGTGTAAGCTGCACTATTACCCATTAAAAGTTTGGGATCTCAACACCCACGCAATTATAAATGATGGTGATTTGCACATGTTTATTAATCCTAACAAATTCCATCTTTAGTCTTATGAGTCAGTTATGAAGTTACAAAGTCAAATAATACAGAAGTACTGGCCATCCAAAATATGCCATTAAATAATTCCTAAAAAAATGACACATCTAGCAATGAAACATGAAGTTTGTGAGTGAATAACTGAATCATTTATTGAAAATTAGACTAACAATAAAAATTGTTGTACAAATTATATTGTTAGATTTCTACATTTAGCGTTATCATCAACAGTAGTAGTGAAATATTCAGTAGTGTGAAAAATTCTCTGCTACTATTTATTTTTATTCTGCTGATTATTTCTTTGTTTAATTTTTAATAAAATTACAGTTCTTAGTTCTGTTTGTTAAAACTAAAAGTATCTTGCAATACTGTTTTTGTAATAAATGGAAAGCAAATGACATTTGTCTTCTCCCCTTTTTGGCTGATCCGAAAAATGGTTCGATCCATGACTAAAATTCTTATGTGATCCGAACCATGAGATTTGTGATGCGTTACATCACTAATATATATGTATATGTGTGTGTGTTTAACATTATTTTTTATTTCAGTTAATGTTTATTTTTTATTATTTGTTGTTTATTTATAGATTATATGTTTATCTGACTGATCATTTGGTAAATGCTTTATAAACTTAACCTTATTTTTCTTAATCTTTTTAATTGTGTTTTGAGCATTTTTTGGTTAATATATTTAAATTTTAAATATATTTCTATTAAAATGTCTGTCATATTTAAGCATGGTCACTGAATTAAGATATTTAACAAAGTGTACTAAACGCTAAATGTAAAAGCAGGAAATGAATGTGTATTGGTCTAAGGGAATGTCTGTCTTTGTCTTTAGGAAATCCCGAAGCGCACTGTCTCTCTCTGGTCATTTGTGAACAGTCAGTTGGAGGAGTTTGTGAATCCGCTGTACGTGCACTACTCTTCTCATGTGCTGTTCCCCACTGTGGGTATTCGACACCTGCAGCTATGGGTCTCCTACTACATACGCTGGAATCCTCGTATGCGGCCACAGGTACACACATGTGAACAGATGTTTTAACAGGAACAGATCATTAAACCCAGCATTTCTTTAGCTTGTGTCCATAAATAGTAGCATACACTTTTAGGGCTTTTAAATGAGTAATTTTAATAAATTGCATTCACAATAAAATTATATTTTAGTGTATGTAATGTATATTTATTTATGTGTGTGTGTATAGGTATGTATATGTGCATATGTGTGTGTGTATGTAAATGCGCTGAAACTACATAATACAAATATAATACTGTGTGTGTGTGTATATATATATATATATATATATATATATATATATATATATATATATATATATATATATATATATATACATACATACTTACTGTATATATATATATACTGTATATACATATGTATATATATATACAAAACAGAAATATTTACATTTTATACTTGTATTAGATCAAATATTTTAGATATATACTCATAGACATGCATGTGTGAATTTATCTATATACATAGTAAATATGGACAGCACACACACATACTGTGTGTATAGCACATAACTTTTATATTGGATGTGATTAACCAAAATTAATCTTTTGGCAGCACTATTTTATTATTATTATTATTATTATTACATTACAAGGATGCAGGTAGTATGCAGAAGTTGTGGTTTAATGGTAAAAATGTCAGGTTTTCCATGGGTCATGAAATTTCTGGAATATTAAAAGGTCTATTACAGACATTAAAAGTCTGGTAGTTCTTATACAGTGCTCGGCATATGAGTACACCCCTCACAGACCACTTTTTAAAATTCATATTTTTAATAGGAAGCTATACAATATTATATTTGTGCATGTAGATTGAGTTAGTCAGTACTAAAGCCAAATCTGGAGCTTATCTAACAAAATATCTGACAATAACTGTCCAGAAACTAGTACAGCCGAATGTATATGTTAGAGAAAAATATTAAATACAAATTTAAAAAATGGGAAAAAATAATTAAAGCAAAAAAAAAAAAGGAAAAATTGAGTTGAACTGGACACTTCACATACTCAACGGTTGCAGCTTTCGGGCTCTGATGTTGGATAATTTATTTAGGATTGTGAAAGCAGAGTTGTCTTTCGAGAGTGATTTTACCGCCTCCCAAAGGTGAATGCGGTTATACTCATGGCAGGTATTATTTGTTCGTTTATTTAGCTAATTTGTCAAACGTCATTAGGGAAACGGTTTGATTTCCGCTTAGTAAAAAACTTTATATGGGAATATACTATGCTGTTGAGAGTGTAAGTGCAAAAGTACATAGTGCATAAGTGCATAGTGTGGCATTTGGAACACAGTCTAATGCCGAGTTCAGACTGCATGATTTTTTAACGTAATCGTGTCTCGTGATAGCATGATTATTTGGGCTAGCGTTTTATTGCTTGGTTTTGATATTGCTTGTTTTGATTTGTATGGGTGCTCCTGCCAAATTCCCACTAGTTTTTCCTCCATTTTTTGGGTCCAAATAATTTTAAAATGAGATGATTTTAAAATTAATTAACAACCTCCCACTGGCCTGCAGGTACACACACTAGTGAATGCTGCTCTCTCTCATTGGCTGTAGGTGATCGCCGGTGTTTCTTTCAGTCAAAACTCATTTCACACGGCATGACTTGAATCGCTGACAGCTTCAGATATTTAGCATGTCAAATATCTCACAGGCAACGGCAACTCATCAGCGATTCTCTCATTTTGATAGTTGATAGTTCAACTCAGTCTTATTGACTTTGATAGTTCACTGTGTGATTGTTACTTGCGTGAACGAGCACTGATTTGCATGTGATTACAGGCATTTGTCGGCGATTTCTCAAAAACTGTCGGCGAGTCAAAATCGGGGCTAAAATGACTCAGTCTGAACTCGGCATAAGTGTTAAAAAAAAGATAACAGATCTCTCATTCTGGCCTAATATCATTCCGCCTGCTACAGCCATGGTACAGCAGTAAAGTTTCTTGATTATTACGCCAGAATGAGAGTATTCACCTTATTTTCCGCCAACGAGCGGGCACTGCCAATTGAATCTTTTTGGCTTGAGACTACCGGTCTCATTCACTTCCATTTATTTTTTGACGTTAAAAACTGCTCGTTACGCTGCTTGATGTTGCAGTTTGATATTTTCATATTATATTATTCTACTTGGTCTGTATAGTCATGCAAACATTTGTTTGTAGAGCAAGTAGTTTGACCGTTTTCTGCTGTTTATTATTCCTAGTCGTTTCTCCCATAGGCGACTGAATCGGAAGTTCTAAGACAATCGCGAAAACAGGCGCACTTCCGCATTTTAGAATAAGGTCAATAGTTTCAGGACATATTAAACTAGAAAATAGCGACTTTTCGCTTTCCACCTGTCTTTGTAACTGCAGAAGAGTCTAGATTTTAATAGGATTATGATCAAAACTTAATTATTATTTTTTGTGAGATGTTCACTAGTATTTTTGTTCCAATCCAATTTAATGATTTATGCTAAGCTAAAAGTCCTCCTGTCAGACACAGGCTGAATGGAATAAAAACTGGTCAAACTCAACTTTTTTACTCTAAGGTTATTAAAAAAGTTGTAAAATGAGGCTATTTCCAAAACTAAAGTAGAGTGTTCCATTATTTTTCTGTTGCCTGCATATGTTGTTTTAACCATTAATTCACAATGATATATGAATCACTAAGCACCAGTTTCTGCTAAAGATTCACCTACATTAGAGGTGTCCAAACTCGGTGCTGGAGGTCTGGTGTCCTGCAGATTTTAGCTCCAACTTGCCTCAACACACCTGCAAGGATGTTTCTAGAAAGCCTAGTAAGAGCTTGATTAGCTAGCCCAGGTGTGTCTGATTGGGGTTGGAACTAAACTTAGCTGGACTCCTGCCCTCCAGGACCGAGTTTGGGCACCCCTGTCCTACATCTTTGATGAACTGTTGGAACTATGCCTTCATGAACTTTAATAATTAGTTGTAAATGGCTTGTGTTGTCTGTCCCTGGTATTGAAAGTGTGATTTACAACTGCGTTTTAGGAGCCTGTCCATCAGCGCTACAAAGAGCTGCTAGCGAAGCGTGCAGAGCTTCAGAAGAGAGTTGAGGAGCTGCAGCGTGAGGTGTCCAGCCGAACGGCCTCCTCATCCTCCGAGAGGGCAGGCTCTCCTACACGCTCCATCACCCCGGTGCAAACCTTCGTTTAAGCACTCCACAGACTGATGAATGTAGATCCTTCACACACCACGTGAGCTACACGCGGTTCTCCTGTTACATGCAGTGATGCGCAACTGATGTACATCCACACACTAACATTCACCTCGCTGCTACCAGCTGGCTGGATGGATGATGCTTTTAATCACTAAAACTGTTTGATACTGGTATTATATTAATACATTTATTGAGACTAGGGAAGCATTAATACATGTTAGAAACATTACTCTATAAGCTGTATGTAGTTGAACTCTGCGACTGAGCATCACATGACCAAAGTATTGTGATGTCACTGAGATTCTGCCTGCGTCATCGCGGTGCGGAGGGAAGTGGAGGTGAGTCTTTCCTTCTTCAGGGTTTTACGTGTCTACTTGAAATTGCAAACTTTCTAGGGCTTGTTTAAAAGGACACTATCTAATCATGTTATAGAATATGCTCTATAATCTAACTTTTGCTTAGACATTAACAAAGTGTTTTGACACTAATTTAATGGCAGTGCTAATCCACAGCAATAAAACACTTGCAGAATGTGGGTCTAAATAATGCTTGGTGTGTTTTGTTCATGTAAAGATGCATAATTACTATATTTACATGCAGTTATTAGTGAGCAAAGATATGCTTTTGTATAGTTTTTATAAATCTTTGTGTAGTTATTCTGCATTCTGTCCTAGTATATTTCATAGTGTGGAATTGAATAGCATCTGTGTGCCTCATATAAAACACCAAAGTAAGGCGTAATTTGAGTCAAGTATACATGCTGAACTAGTTGTAATACAGTTTCAGTCAGAATAACTTTTTGAAAAACAGTACTTGTGAATATGAACGAGTCAGTGTTGCTATTATTAATTAAAAATGCTTAATATTAAAATATCATAAAAATATTCCATCAAAACAAACATTACAATATAATTTATTAGAAATTTTGTTTTCGTAACTACCTAAAATACACTAATTACTAAAACTAGAAATTAAAATAAATAAAAATATTTATAAATAAAAAAATGCTATATTATTTAAATGTATTATTCTTAAATGCATCATTATATAGATACAACTAGAATAACACAGATGAATGAGGAATATGTTCTGTCCGTGTTTGCATGGGTTTTTCCGGGTGCTCTGGTTTTTCCCCACAGTCCAAAGACATGCACTGTTGGTGAGTTGGGTAAGGTAAATTGTTTGCAGTGTATATGTGATCCTGATCCTCCAGGTTGGGGTTTGAGCATTGGGCTAACAACACACTTTGCAAATAATTAGATGTTTCATAACACAAATATCAGGGTTTCTGCAGGTTTCATCAAGTCAAATTTTAGACTTTATGAGACCCTTTTAAGACCATTATGAATGGAATTTAAACTTATACGGGGCTCAATACTTTGCCACAAAAAAAGATTAAATGTTATTATTTGTTAGTGACCTACTTTAATGTGTCAAAATGAGAAAACTGTAGTTGTACACACTTTTTTTTCACCATAATATTTATTTTAAATTTTATTTTAAAGTTTAACATTGTTAAAAGTATATTTATTATGGAGTTAATTACATAAATAATCAAACATATATATTTGTTGGCTTTTGCTCCAAATTGATTGAGCATAACTTTTATTCAATCTAATGCGTTTCTGTTGTAAAGCCTTAATATTTATAAATAGGTGTGAAACTTATGTCTACTCCCCCTTATTTGAATGAAAGATAATGTAATGGGATGTATTGCTCTGTTATTATCATGAGGAACTGTGTAATTGTTTTCTTTCCCTGATTTTATCAAGATGGATGGTTGGTGATTATATGGATGTTGGCCTGATTGGATAGCTTTACTTGGATAGGAAAATTAAGACCTGTTTAAAATGATTTAAGACACACAACACACTATTTTGTTGAATTTAAGTGAATAACACCCTGAATATGGTGCGCCTAGATGACAACTTTGCTATAAACGATCTGCTGAGTCTCTTCCAAATGTTTATTCCAGTTGTAAACTGCAATAACGTTTATCATGTAGCATATACAGCTATAAGGGCATATGCTGGATAAGTTGGTGATTCATTCCGCTAATTAATAAAGGGACTAAGCCGAAAAGAAAATGAATGAATGAATGTAGCATATGCTTTTAATCTGAAGCAAGAAGACCAATGAGTTTTGAATCGCTCTAACATCCTGTCATAAATTAGTGTTCTGGCTCCAAGCTTGCATTTTAAAAACATCAGCTCCACAGTAGTTAGAACAGACTGTTTATTGATGCATCACAGCGAACTGAATTTAGAAATGATTTGAAGTGATTTTAATAAAAAAGGTATATAAATACAGGAATATTTACAGTGTTTACGTTGGTTTGAAATTGTTTTTGTATCTGTGAAGCAGTGGCCCTCCTCTGGACTTCACCACTTGCCCCTCTTGCTCCAGTCTTTAGGAGTGAAATGCAAGCATTTGGGATCAATGCGGAGATGGCGTTTCTGCATTGCACACTCGTGACCTTCCACTATGTCCTCGGACAAGGTGAGGATGTATTGACCCTTCAATGGAAGAGAGGTAAAACACACAATTCAGTATCTGCAAGAGTCACATTATGTCACTTTCATGACTTTCTTTCCTCTGTTCAACACAAAAGAAGATACTTTAAAAAATGCTGTAACCACTGCATTCCATAGTATTTGTTTTTTCTACAACAGAAGTAAATGGTTACAGGTTTTAAGCTTTCTTTAAAGCATCTACTTTAGTGTTCAACAGAATAAAACAGCTCATAAAGGTTTGGAACCACTTCACAATTTTTGGGTGAACTGTCCCTTTAAAGTAATGTCTTGCCTTATAATAATTGATGAGGTTGAGGTACTGAAGGGTGGATATCACATCTTCTTTCTTGATGCTTGTAATCTCACTGATTTCACTGAAAATAAGAAGAACACCATTAGATATGTGTGTCTTTTAAGTTTTAGAGATCAAACAGTGGGCACATACTTGATGGTGATCTGTGGTCGTTCTCCATTCTCTGATTTGAGGTCCATGAGTATCTCCAGAATGGTCTGGGACCAGTACGAGCGGTAGGAGAGCAGTCCCAAATCAGACAAGGGTTTCTCTGGGGTGCCCGTCTTTCCTTCCACCTTTGAGAGCTCATAACCTTTAAGACAAAGATGTGAAACGGGCAACATTAGGCATTACTATAGACCATTTTGCGTCAAGTAAACAAATACAATGGTCCCAACATATTTTCTGTTTTACATTTTTAATTTCTATAGCTTCAGAGAATCCAAAAATAACCACATATTGATAAATAATGTTATGATGGCTGCTTTAACATGAAGTTCTGATTTAATTGTCTCTCGTTAGTTATAAAATAGTTTGATAACAAGCAGGAAATGTTCACGAGCCAATGAAATGACCAAATTTAAATGGTCTATACACTTTTCTCAAACTAAGGCATGAATTGTTTATTTTTTTTCCTTTATTGTGATAGTATAGTGAAGGTGGAGGGGACACGATCAGAAAAAGTTTGCAAGCCAGGATTTGAAATCACTAACTGAATCACTTGACTGAAAATTATAAGCAAAAATTTTGCCTAAAAAATCTTTGGTATTTTACTGAACATTAGTCGCACTTGGTCAAAATTGCATTGGTAATTTTTTTTTCTAATCTTATATTTATGTCTATTTAATTGAAATAATGAAACTTCTTAACAAATTTATTAAGAATGTACTTTTTCTAAAGTTTAATCAAAAAGTGTATTACTACTTGGAGATGTGTATTTAACCATAATAGTAATATATGTTTTTTTAATATAAAAAAAATATGCTTTTCCTGCTTACAGGATCATTTAGATGAGACCAAAATACTGTTTACGCACCCTAAGTAGTTCCAACCCGTAATGAGCTTCTTTATTTTGTTGAACACTAAGATATTTTGAAGAAAGATGAAAACCTGTATCCATTTATTTACTTTCAAAGTAGGAAAAACAAATATTTTAGAAGTCAATGGTTACAGGTTTTAAGCTTTTGACTTCAGAATATCTTATTTTGTGTTCAACAGAAGAAACTTATAAAGGTTTGAAACAAATAAAAGGGAAAGTAAATTATGACAGATTATTATTTTTTTTGACTGAACTCTCCTTTTAAATGTAACTGCATGATACAAGTTTGCAAAATAACAATAATTTCATTCTATAAATTAACATACAGTAACTAAATTTGAGTAGTCCTGAAGAACTTTAAAATTACTCACTGAACTCAATGAGCAGTTTGCCATAGCCTCTTCTCTGGTAAGGTGGTAACGTCAGGATACAGGCCACATTATAGTCCTCTGTTGATTCTTTCTCCTTTATTAGATGAGGGGAAAAAAACATGTTTAAGAGGATTAAAGGCTATTCAAATTACACACAAATGTTTGATGAATTCTAAATGATACAACAATAGATCACCTTTGAGAAGTAGCCAACAATATGGAAACCCTTTGGGTCGTACTCTGTCATAACATAGAAGAGGAAAGGGTCTGTGTCGTAGTACAGGGTCTTGTGGTCCAGGAAGCATTTAGCCAGTAAACACAAATTTTGGGAATATGCCTGGGAAAGAGCAACAAATATCAGACCATCAAGATACTACAAAGATGTACTGTACATGCTACAATAAGTATTATATTATTTTAAGGAAAGACCAACATTTAGTTTCATTTAGCCACTTAAACAACATCACTCTTGTTCATTCAGGGATATTTACAGTCAAAGACAAAATTATTAGCCCTCTTGTGAAATTTCAATTCCTTTTAAAAAATTTCCCAAGTGATCTTAAACAAAGAAAGGAATTTTTAAAAGTATTTCCTATTATATCTTTCTACTGGAGAAAGTCTTCTTTTAGTTTGGCTGGAATAGATTTTGTAACTGCTAGGTCGATATTATTGTCTCCTTCAAATACAAAATGAAGTATCAAAATATATCGAGTAAAATATTACTTACAATACCTGACAAAGGTCTTTTCTCCTAACCAAGTTTTAGGGACAACAATAACTTGAACTCTAGTTGATCATTTGGTATCAGAAGGGGCTTATATGGAAGGCAAAGGCCTCTAGATTACGCTTATTTGACCAAAATAAAATATGATCATGCCTTGATATTTAATTATTTAATTAGGACAGTAAGGTCTGAATTTGCTCAGACAAAAGTCACTTAACAGAAATAATGTACAGTATAGAATAGAAAATCATGGTGCAGTGGAAAAAGAATTGATATTGTGTATTACTAATTAGCTTGGAGGACTGCATCCATACATCTCTGCAATGACAATAATAACTTATTAATAAAGTCATCTGGAATGGCAAAGAAAGCGTTCCTTCAGGACTCCCAGAGTTTATAAAGACTCTTTGGATTCATCTTCAATGCCTCCTCCTCCATCTTACCCCAGACATGCTCAATAATGTTCATATCCTGGAGCACCTTGACCTTCTTCGCTTTCAGAAGCTTTGATGTGGAGGCTGAAGTATAAGAAGAAGCACTATCCTGCTGAAGAATTTGCCCTCTCTTGTGGTTTATAATGTAATGAGCAGCACAAATGTCTTGATACCTCAGGCTGTTGATGTTGCCATCCACTCTGCAGATCTCTCACACGCCCCCATACTGAATGTAACCCCAAACCATGATTTTTCCTTCAGCAAACTTGACGGATTTCTATGAGAATCTTGGGTCCATGCAGGTTTGAATAGGTCTTCTGCAGTAATTATGATGCAGTTCAACAGATGATTCATCAGAAAAATGTACCTTCTGCCACTTTTTCAAATGATCAACTAGAGGTCAAGTTTTTATTTGTTGCTCTTACAACTGGGATCAACGACAAGGCTTTTGTCAGGTAGTGTATTGTCATCATGGCAAAGACAAAATAAATTAGTTATTAGAGATTAGTAATTAAAACTACCATGTTTAAAATCTCTCCATTAAATTTTTTTTATTAATGGGCTAATAATTTAATCCTCGACTGTGTGTAAAATCCTTAAACCAAATCTACTTTGTAATCTGATTTCACACCTTGTTTTTTCTGCCATCTATTTCGAAAAAGGAGATGGTTCCTTTGCGGTAGATCTCATTTCCTGGAGGATGCCGAAGGTTGCATTTTGTCTGTAAAGGTTACAGCAGAACTAAATACAGCATTTACTACGAAATAAATATAATACAATCGAGTCATTTCAATAAAAATGTGTATTAAAGAGTTTTGCATGATTTTACTTGTGTTCAGCTGCTTGATTTGAAAGTCATGTGTTAGAATACCACCTAGACAACAGAAGTAAAATGTGACCACAGATGAGGCCTTTACTCTTACCAGGTGCCTCTGAAGACATTTGAGGCTCTTGAGGTATTTGAGACAGAATTCACAAAGGTAGATAATGGGCAGAGAGGTGAGCTCCTGTGGGTATGGAGAGAAGTACCAAGGCTTCAGTCTGTGTCGGCCCAGCTCTATACAGCCTATGTTCTTCATCCGAGTCACGATGTCATCATGGCTGCGGTCGGACACCAAGCTCCCAGTCATGCGTGGGGCAGAAGGGATTCCATCTGAACTGTCCTGCGAGTCCTGAGATGAGAGGGTAGCGTTAGGGAGAATGGTATGAAGCATTAAAACATGAAACAAAATGTTTGAGGGTTTGATATCAACTGTTTTTAATATCAGGCGGCATTTACTCCACGCTGTTTAAAACCACAAACAGAAATCTTTGATGTCTTTTGGCCATTTGGTAAATGGCAAAAGTGTTTTGAGAGCTTGATAATGCAGATTTTTGAAAACAGCTGTCATGTTTTACAAAGTGGTGCATGTTTTCGATACAAAACTGTGAGTTTCCATATTACATGGTCAGTCTATAGGCATGGTGGACTGTATGTGTGCAGATGTGAAGAATGTTTTAAGGGGAAGTTGCCATCTACTGGCCTGGCATAGATAATACGTTTTGAGTCATTTCCACAGATGTGTGTGAACAAAGATCATCAGTGCCAATTTGTCTATTGTACGCTAAACTTCTTTAAATTGCAATATATTATACATTTATGTATATAGTGCAATGGACTCATCGTTGCATTTCCGGAATCCATCATATCTACAATCTGACTGTACAACAGCCATAAGCCTCCATTATGACAAGACACAATAGCAATGGTAAGTAAATGAGCCGGACCTCTCCTGGCAGCAAATAGACGGTGGAGCAGCGGGGACTGTTATTCTGGAACACCTTTACCATCTATAAAAACACAAGGGGTTGCAAAGCTTTGGGACACTTTAAGATTGGTGACAGCAGTAAAAGAAAAAAAAATATTGGAAAACAGTTCAAGGATTTGGTTTTGATCTGAACTCTGGTGCACTCGTTGTCAGTGACGGTTTCTAAAATGCTTCAAATAACAGAATTTGTATAACATGATATCTCACAAAGCACTTAAATGAGATTTAAAGGAACTAATTGCCCTAAAATATTACATTCTATCTTTTAAAAATATATCGAGTATGTTTGCATGACTGACCTCATCTGTGCCTCCACAATTCTTTCTTTTTCTCCCAGGTTGAGGAGGAATAAGATGGCGCTGGATGGATGTTGTGCCATTCTTAAAGAAAAAAAAAACAAGCAGAGAAAATATGTCATGAGGACCTTCTCTTCTATGTCAGGTCAGGGTGCGTGTTTAATACAGTCATTCTTTCCCAATATTCAGCAGCACAACAGGCATCCTTTTTTACATCGTTTTTGGCACACAAAAGTGTTTTTGGAGCTTTATATGATTACAGAATCACTGAAGTCACATGGAATTTGGTCCCACTTTATATTAAATGGCCTCAACAACTAAGTACTTACACCATAACATAAGCACAATGTTCTTACTGTGTTCATATTGTATTGCACTGATGATGCTCTTGAAGTGGGATACATGTAGACTGGTAGGTTTAAGGGTGAGTTAAGGTTTAAGGAATGGGTTAACAGAGTAATTGTAATTAATTACAGAGACAATTATATGCAGATCATTTTAAATATATATAAATACAATGTAAAAACATGCATGTACAAAATAAGTACATTGTACCAAATGATTCATTTAAATGCAAGTATACAGTAATTAGGGTCACTTAAAATAAAGTAGGACCTGAAATATTTTGACAGTGTGTGGTTCATTTTCTTGATTTTAAACACCTTGGGTCTGTTGGAGGACGGGAGAGAGATCTCTGATTTCATCTAAAATATCTCTATATGTGCTCTGAAAATGAACAAAGGTCTCAGAGGATCGGAATGACAGGAAAGTGAAATTAATAACATCATTTACAATATTTGAGTGAACTAACCCTTTATTTTTTTTGGTCACATGAGAATTTACATTATGAAAGCAACTGAATTAAATTGTGTTTTTATAAAGATAGTTTGGAAAATGCTAATAAGTTTTGCTATATTAACCTCATTGTCATGTAACTGGTCATGATAGATTCCTTGGATAGTCCTGCACACATTGTTACTAAATTTTCCAAAATTTGCTAAACTTCCTGTCCACCATTTTAGCTTAAATTTAAAAAGCTACTTTTTTAAACTCCTCGTAGACCGTTGGTCTGATTTTTACCAAATTCACCAAGATCCTCATCTTCAGATCATGTCGAAAAAAAAAAAACCCGGATGCGGTTTAAAAATGGACAGACTCTAAAAATTGTATTTAATTTAGGATCTCTATTTAGCATCATCCCTGAGTAAACGGCTAAATACAGACTTTGCTTACTGTTGTTAGAGAGGTGAGCGGTTCATGTTCTTCTCTGGATTTAATGTTGAAGGATGCATCTCTGATTGCTGTATAGAGTGCCGCCTGACTGGCCTCTGTAGAAGCTGGAAGTGAAGGCACTGGAGTCGCTGCAGTCACCTGTGTGGCTAAAGAGACTGACTCCGCTTTCCTTTTCTGCAAGATCAAACAGAAATAAGACAGCTACTTTTTTTCCCCTCTGCATGAATAACGAGTGCAATAATTCTTTAAAAGTACTAAAATCCATCAACAAGCATAACTATGAGTGAACTTCAGACACTTACCACGTGAAAATAAATAAAGAGCAATGAGTAATAATGAAAATGTCCTGACTGTGTTGAGAATTAACAGATTTGCTACATTTTTTAATTCTATGTGTAACAGATGCAAAGATTGTGTCTAGTATTTGAGATGTGCACTCCAGTGCTTCAATCGTTTGTAATCTCTTCGATTGCTGTGTGTTTTATATCTTTTATTTACTGTACATTTATCTGAAAAAGTTTAGCCAGGTTAAATTGTGTCGAGGCAAAGACTGCATCCCTCACACTTTTTCGAACAGTCGGGCCAATTTAAATTGGTCTTTAATTCAGCCCATTGGTCATAAAATTTCAGTGGACAGATTGGTCAGTATGGACAGGGTTCGTCTGTACCGGTGTGGGGACGGTTTTGCCTCTTGAAGGAGCCGAAGCAGACTGAACATGAAGATCTAGACTCTTCTTCTAAATTTGAACAGAAAGTGAGAGAAGATGGTAAACAGACTACATAGCATGCAAGTTTGAAAACAACTGTGATATACTGTATTTCTCTGCCACTGAAGTGGGGGAATTGCGTTTCTACACAGAGGTATAGATTACATTGACTTACCACGTCTCTTTCTGGTGAGCTCGGACGAGACCCAGACAGGCCATTCTTCATGGGGGTCTTTGCCTCCTTTTTGGGAAATTGGAGCTTCTTAATGTCCAGCCGGTCTGGAGTGACCCATTCGTCCAGCCGCTTATTGACTTCCAACAAACAACAAATTATGCTGACCTTTTTCTTTACACTTAAAGCCTTAACAGATGAGTTATTTAACCCTTGTGCATCTTTATGAGCATTTTTGTCTTTTCACTTTACTTTTGGTGATCATTTTAGAGGGTGACACGGCGGCGCAGTCACCTCACAGCAAGAAAGTCTCTGGTTTGAGCCCCAGCTGGATCAGTTGGCATTTCTGTGTGGCGTTTGCCTGTTCTCTCCGTGTTGGCTTGGGTTTCCTCCGGGTGCTCCGGTGTCCCCCAAAGTCCAAAGAAATGCGCTATAAGTGAATTGAATTAGCTAAATTGCCCGTAGTGTATGTGTGGGTGTGAATGCAAGAGTGTATGGGTGTTTCCCAGTGCTGGGATGTAGCTGGAAGGGCATCCGCTGCGTGAAACATAAGCTGGATATGTTGGTGGTTCATTCGGCTGTAGTGGCCCCTGATTAATAAAGGGACTAAGCCGAAAAGAAAATGAATGAATAACCAATTTGGCTGTTAATGCATATAATATGACAAAAAAAATTTTTTTTACACTTTACTTTCAATTCCTTTCATCAATCTATTTTACAAAAATCTACCGGTACAAAATTGAAAATTACATCCGGATGCTAATTTTACACAAAGTCATGGATTCTTTGTTTACAAACTTCTAATCAGTTGGCAAGGCTTCAGCATTTTAGCTTGTTTATGACATGTTTGCCCTCTATAAACTTGTATCTAACCTTATTTAATAGGTGCACAAGGGTTAATAAAACTCTGGAAGCAAGATATTAAAAAAAAGACAAAAGAATTGAGTCAGGCTGTCAATTAATACTCACAGTCAACATAGTGGACATAGTAGAGCTTCCTCCCAGAGATGTCTTTGACACTTAAGATTTCAGCCAAAGCTATGGAAAAAAGAAACCACAAATTAACCAAACATTAATATATCTACGTGTGTTGTATTCAACTGTTATTAGCGTGTAACTACTCTTGTGTTATAACGTGAGGGTCAATAGATGAAACAGATAAGCTGCAGTGTTTTGTTTACATCTACAGTATGGGCTGCTGCTGACAGGCTGATATACTTACGCCATTCGTCTTCGTTTTCTTGATTTCTCCGCAATACTGGAAGTCGACAGCCCTCAGTTATTTCAACCTATGGGAACATAACACAATTTTAAATGGAATCGACCAACAAATGCAGAAGAAATTACATTTAAATCGCTGCTAAAACGACATTAAACCCAACTGTTTGTCTATTACTCACAGAGTGGTCCGCCATCTTTTTATGTGACGCAGAGAAGTGTGCAGTGAGTGACGCACTGGATAAAGCTCGTTTGTTCCTCAATAAAAGTTTTATTGGTTTTCACTTTAGTAGAAGAGTGTAGAAAAACATGCAGAAACGTTTGAGGGGAAAAAATAAATTGTAATTTGAGTCAAAGTATTGTCTTTGTTTTTGGACGGACACTAACTAAAAAACTGATTTGATGAATTATCATTTTTTTAAAAACAGTTCGCTTTATGAAGTTATATTTTACCATCCAAAAATATACAATAAAAAACTTCATTTTCATTTTCGCTCATCGTGAACGTTTAGTTGCTTAAAAGTGATATATGCTTATTTTTGAGTAAGGAAAATGTGTGCGCGCAATGATTCCTATATTTTTCTGTTGTTTGTCATCTACTCTGTGGCTTTCGTCATCTCTGAAATAAATATTCTTCAGTGAATTAATTTTTTATGTTAAATATCACCTTTGTAATTTAAATAAAAACCACAAATAACAAAAATGTTTTTAATACATTCAACTCGCTTCTATCTAAACTTCGACCGACCTACAGTTTTTCTTTACAGCGCTTTTTTTTAGGGTTTATCTTTTTCCATGGAGAGAAATTTCTGATTTCCTGTCTGAGCCATAATGGAGCCTCTTACAGTCGGACTCTACAGTTTCAACTCGAAATTATAAGAAAGGGTGAGCTCCTTACATCACTTAATGCGTCACGAAAAAGCCGTACGTAGTTTTAAAAAGGGAAGGACGAACTCTTTGATTGGTCTTGATATTTCAAAACCTTTCTTCCCGCCCACCGGCGCTGGCTCCTGATAGGTAGTTACGTCTTTCCTTTGTAGTCACAGGTCGCATCCGGTTCGTGCGTCGACTGAGATACAAAAAGGAGAAAGCAAAAAATCTCATCAGGAGCCGAAATACCGAGATATGAAGTCAGGGTTTTAGTTATTCTTTTTACGTATAACCATATATGTAGTATTAGTCATGTGTTGTAGTCTCTAATGTTTTTATAACAGTATCGGTAGAGCAGTTTTAGATGGTTGGACTCGTTCTAGTTATCGGGATTAAGTGCAGTTTTAATTGGGATTGAATCAGCTCAGGTCTATATTCGTCGCATGTGTTAAAGGTCGTCCGCGCATTGAGTGTCGTTATATTTTAGCAGTAGTCGTGTTTGTGTGTTTGCGGGGTTGGCGATGGCCACATCGGCCCTGTACGCCTGCACCAAGTGTAACCAGCGGTTCCCGTTCGAGGAGCTGTCGCAGGGCCAGCAGCTTTGCAAGGTGAGCGGAGAGCGCGCACATGCACACACATACTGTTGTTTACATCAGCTTAAACAGTCTCTACTGGAAGACAGTGTCCTGTTTCAGCTCAGCGAGTTATCTAAGCGTTCACGGTGAACGGCAGAAGCATTTAGAGCTTAAGTTAAACACCACTGCTGTCATAAAGCCACCGAGATACACTCCACTAGTCATACGTGTAACATGATTTCTGGACTAAGTTAAGCTGCACTGCTTTGTATACACATTTTAAAACAGGACACAGGTCTGAATGCTTATCTTGAGACATCTTAAAGCACATTTTAAGTTTATAGCATATCTTTACTTGATTTATTTCCCCCTCAGGAATGTCGGATTGCGCATCCCATAGTAAAATGTACCTACTGCAGGTCAGAGTTTCAGCAGGAAAGGTAAGAAACATAAACAAATGAATAAATAATTTTTCCTTGTACGTTAACCGAAGTGACTGGTAAACGCCCCAATCAATGTACACGCTGCAAAGATCTTCATTCAGACCTACACAGTCTGAAACACCTTAGAAAAGTATTTGAAGAATTTAAAGTACCTTAGTATAGGTGCAGTGATTAGAGTTTCTCACGGGTCAACTTGGATTTGAAAACCCAAGCTCTTACCTGAGACCCTAGCAGGTTCGGGTCTCGAGTGATTTAAAATAAACATTTCATCCTATTACTTGAGTGTCTCTTTGCAATAAATATCCACCTTGTTGGCAGAGAATGCATTGCGCTTTGAGTGAGGAGTTCATTTACGAAATTCAGCATCTACTTGAGCTTTGGTCTTTAAAGGATTCTGAGAAATGCATGTAGAGTTGAAAAATACAATTGAAATTATACACAGAAGTTCAACATATTCATCTGGAAATCCACTCACTCAAAAAAGTTACTGTTGCTGCTTGTTCATACTACTGATTTAATTGATTTAACTCATTTTAAGTTTTTTGGGGACAACTTAATTGTTTCATTTTCAATCCACCTAAAGTTGTTATAACGATTTTGTTTACTTAATCGATTTGTGTTGGGACAACATGAAGGACCCAGCATTTTTCAGTGTTCTTCACTGCAGTTTGTATTCATGTAGGAAATGTCTTTACTGCGTTTGCAATCTCTTCATTGAAGATGAGCTAAACAGCACTGAAGACATTAGAAAACGTTAGAAAATCTATCATTGAAGATATTGCTTATTTTTTGTTAAACTATAACATTTATTTGTTTAATATTATTGTCAAAATTTAAAACATAGAGATAACTTGTATCCATCAGGCTGTCAGTATTATAAAGTAATACAAAAATCAAATAATCAAAAAATGGACATGTGGGCAAATTAATCAACAGCACTTTCCTTGACTGATATCGGTATTGCAGACATTGAGCATACATCAATGACATTGACAAAATCTGGTCTGTCACTGGTTGAGTTTTTCTTTTAAAAATATAGTATATCATTTAGGGTTCAGGTAAGAAGTGATTTGGGTTGGGGTTGAATTTTAGGAGCTGAGAAGACCTCTAATACATCCATGCACTAGCCACATGTCTAAGAGCAGTATTTAGATTGTTTATTTGAGCTGTTTACTTTTTTAATGCATAGCTAAAATGAAGGTTGATGATTCTGGCCTAATGGTTAGGGAGTTGGACTTTTAATCCAAAGATCTCAGGTTTGAGTCTCAACACTGGCAGGAATTGTTGGTGTTTTAGCGCATAGACCTAATACACTTTATTGAACAACTAGACATCACCTATATACTATATAACTGCAGGCATGCTGTTTATATACAATAACTTTTAAAATCTATTAGATACTATTTAAAGTTATTAGTAACTAATAAAGTTGTGATAACTAATAACCTTAACTTTTCCAAGTTTGATTGTAGTGCAATAATGTGCACCTTTTGTAAGGTTACTTTGAAACAATAATTATTGTGAAAAGTGCCCTACAAATAAACTTCAATTGAATTGAGTGTTGGGAGTGAATAGCCAACGCTCACCATCCTCAAAAGGCTGACTTGATTAAATTGAGCTAGACACCGAACCACCAACTGCTCCCTGGCAGCCCACGGGTCCAAGTGTATGCTGACCACTGTGAGTTGCTTTGGATAAAAGCGTGTGCTAAATGCTTAATGTAAGTTTAATAAACGATCTAATGTCACAATTTTAATAATAAATTGTTTTATACAGTAGGCATAAATGTCACCCGACTAACAAATGCTGTTTTTGATTAGAATTGCACGTCAGATTCTTTTACAGAGCACTTCATGTTTACACTTTGACATCTGATCTTGATGAATTGAAAATTTGTTGTTAACTCTTAGAAAACAAATGCGCTTCAAAACAAGCTCAGTATCATTTAGAAATGGGCCAGTATAAGTTGCTGATTGTATAATAACCTTGGATAAAATACCCAGGATTTACAGTATCACAGGGTTGTGATTAATGCTCTAAAATACCTTCTTTTTAAATGTCTGGGTAAGACAAAACAAAAGTTATTTTAAGAAGCATTAATAATATTTTGGAACATTAAACATGTCAGGTTAAATAAAGCATTTACTTCTGCTCTTCATTATTTTCAAAAACACGGGTTTCTTTACAACAGATAAAAAACATAATAAAAATTACATATATCTTAGGAACGGTATAACAGAACATTTTAGTGGTATTAAAACCTTGACTTTTCAAAACCGCGGTAAAACTTGAAACCGATTATCGTCCCATGCCTAGTATCATTACATTATTAACCTCAGTATTATCGGTGAGCATTTGTGTATTATAAATTGTAATGAATAAATTGTATTGTAAATAAACCTCTAACGTATTAAATTGAAAATATTTTAGTTTAGAAAAAGACATTTTTACTTGCAAAAAGAAAACATCAAGCTCACACTTTCCATTTCTGTATTGCCTTAGAGTAGAATAGGACTGAAGAGTGGAGAGTTTGTAAAGTAGAAAAAGTTAACCACTGAGTAGGAGCTGTCATTTACATAGATATTTATAAAAAAAAAGTAAAGCATGTAATCTTTAATACTTCACTATGGTGATGAATACAAATGCACATTATCTAATAATAATGTCATTATTACACTAATTGTCTATTAGCTATGAGCAGACATTGTCAATCAGTGCATTGAAGGAAACTACACATGCTTGTCAAACAAAGTTGCTTGTCATATCTTCTAATCAAGCATCCATGCATTTGAAAAAAATTGCAAATTAACAACAACAAAAGTCCAAATTGGCATGTTATAAGCAGACTTTGCAATTGTGATTCACATTAAAAAAAAAAAAGAAAAGAGTTGGAGGTGTCTTAAAGTCACACCTGCATATTCGCCCCTGATAAAAAGTAATTCATAAGTTTTTTTTTTTTGTTTGTTTAAAGTTTGAGAGTTTTATATTCTAATCAAAGTTTATTATGTCTGATTTAATTTTAAATTGTTGCTAATTTATTCTTTGTAATGTTGCCTGCACTAATGCAAAATCTTTCCTTTCGTTCAGCAAAACCAACACTATCTGTAAGAAATGCGCACAGAATGTCAAACAGTTTGGAACAGTAAGTTGACATCATGTTTAAAAAATTGTAAACCCCACAGATCTGTGTGCTAACATCGTCTTCTCTTTTACCAGCCGAAGCCATGTCAGTACTGTAACATCATTGCTGCGTTCATTGGGACCAAATGTCAGCGCTGCACCAACTCTGAGAAGAAGTACGGCCCTCCACAAACCTGCGAGCAGTGCAAGCAGCAGTGTGCCTTCGACAGGAAGGACGAGGGAAGGAGAAAGGTGACCAATCACGCATGCACATTCTTATTCAGTCGTATCACTCCTCCACACTCTCTGGCTGTGTTCTCTCACTCTGTATGTGTGTGATGTGATTCACCACTCTCTGACAGATTGAAGAGTCACTGTCTCCAGATTTCAGCACAACTGAAAGCAGGAGTTTATTAGAGCTGTCATTAAATACTAGACAAATGCTGTTGTTTATGCACAAAAACAGATGAATCATTAAAGCCCACTGCTCCCACCAATGTTAACAGCTTTTTCAGCCATTATTGCTTCCTTCGTGATACGGAAACATTTGGTGTTATGTCTTTTAAGGATTTTTGTCTTTCTTTTTTGAAGGTTGACCTGTTTGAAAATATTATTTTTACAAATCTATTTGATGTAGCTGGTGGTGGTGGTACAGAAATTCACTTCACCTTGAAAATATTCCAACCATGTTATCATTATTCTGCCCATTAACCTTGAATTGAAACCTACAACTGCATTTAGACTAACTTTATAACTTATCACTATTTTGTTTTTGCCATTTTAAAATCTTTGAAATGTTCTCAACATTTTATTTTTTTTCATTTAGAGGTGAATTAAGTGTGAGCAATACAGAATCGTTCTCACATTTCCAGGTTTCTCAGTAGCAGAAGTCCTCATAGTTGGGTAAACTTATAGCACAATAATTGGGACAAGAAGTGATATATATATATATATATATATATATATATATATATATATATATATATATATATATATATATATATATATATATATATATATACACACACATTTTTTTATTATTATTTATTTATTTTTATTTTTTTACATTTTTTGCTCAAATAATAAAAGAAAAACTCAATGATAGTGTTATTAAGACTTTGAGTAGAAGGAAAAGAACTGTGCGCAACTTATAATGCAACATCAAATTTACTCTCCTGTCCATAGATGCTCCAATAGAAACGCCTCCCACACGTGGTCATTTGTTTTGCGTACTTTGATGCAAAGATTACATAATACATATGTAAATACACAAATATACAGGCTTTTTTTTTTTTTTTTCTCCAAGGATTTAAGATTATGGTGACCATCTTGTGGAAAAGGTCCATTCTGATTCTGGTAATCACAATCCAATTTGATCTGGCAGGAATATGATGCGATGCGTTTTAAGTTGGCCCTTCTTTATTCCAAGTGAACCGAATTCGGCAGTGTACACATGTGCCTGACGGCTGTTTCTAGCTCATGCCTGCGCAGTCCCATATCATCAAACTAATTTGAGAACTTTTGAGAACTGATTCAGAATCCTTTGAGAGAGAATCACGAACCATCAATTTTTTTTCTCCCACCCCTAGTGGAACAGCAGTATACTGTTTTTCTGACCGAATAACCTATATTTGTGTGACTATTTCCCTTAATCATCTCATCCACAGCCATTTGTTCAGTTTATATTCAAATTTTGACTGTTCATTCAGCGTAGTGATATGTAACTGCACTCAAGACCAGTGTTGTGCTTTCCCCTCAATATTGTTCCTCGGATAATCAGAAGTGCGCCTTCAACAGCCCCCGTAGAATTTAAAGAACATGAAAATAATTTTACACACTCTAGCTATAGATGTCTGTTTTCTCGTCCTGCAGGTGGATGGGAAACTCTTGTGTTGGCTATGCACGTTGTCGTATCGTCGCGTTCTCCAAAAAACGAAAGAGCAACGGAAAGGCCTCGGCTCTTCCCACTCCAACTCTTCTTCCCTCAGCGAGAAGGAGCATCAGAGACACCATCACCATCATCAGCACCACAGACACGGAAGTTCACACCACAAGTGAGTACAGATAATAAAATACCACAGAACATAAGTTAATGACATTTTAAATGCATGGTCTCTTACACAATTACTCACTTTTTTGTTGGAAATCTTAATAAAAATGTTGCTATTCTGTATGTGTGTTTTACAGAATAAGTGGAAACTTAAGTCCAGAGCAGGATCAGGGATTGTGGAAACAGAGGTGGAATTCATATCTTTTACTTTTTTTACTTTGTTCTGTGTTTGTGTGTTTTGTGGATCAATTGACTGTAATTGGGTTCTCTTATATAGCATTCAAAAGGAAACGCCAAAGAAAAAACCCAAACTAGAAACAAAGCCATCCAATGGAGACAGGTAATTACTGTTCATTGTATTTGTCAGTCTCTCAGGGAGCATCTGTTGACACATTACTTTTAATATTAAAGCCATTTCTCTTTCTTTCCCTCCAGTAGTTCAATCACTCAATCGATGGATTCTGGAGGCACGGATAACTTCATCTTGATTAGCCAGCTGAAAGAGGAAGTGATGTCACTGAAGCGCATGCTCCAGCAGAGAGACCAGACCATCCTTGAGAAAGACAGGAAGGTAATTTGTGATGTCATCTCCTGACACTGCAAGCTAGTCCAGGATGACTCACTTTCTCCGAAATAGTACACAGAAATGGATGGGTTTAGAAACGTGAATTTGCACATTGTTAGAATTATTTCTTTAAGCTTTTCCTGCTGTTTGTGATCTGCTGCCCACTTCACAGTCCATTTGCTGCCTGAGAAGATAATCACACTTGAGCCGTTACTAGAAGTCCATAATTGTTGTTGTAGTGATTGTTGTGACTTTCTTTGAAGGAGCTTGCTGCATTAAAGCTTAAAGTAATTTAACACATTGAAGATTCTTCAGAGGCTTTAGTTTGTAGGGACTTGAGTTGCTTTGAAATGTTCTATGAGGGTATGTTTGGTAATAAGGGGTGTTGACATAAATGATATCAGCACCACACTAAAGCAGCAGATAAATAAATGACTTCTGTCCTTAAGTAGTTTTGCAGAGAACATTTCATAATTGTGTTTACGGTTTCAGCTGACGGAGCTGAAGGCAGACTTTCAGTATCAGGAGTCAAACATGCGGGTGAAGATGAACAACATGGAGAAAGCGCACAAAGAGGCCATGGAGCAGCAACAGGTCACTTTACACTATAATCTATCCAACACATGCTTGCTTTTAGGTTTTTAGGTTTTAGATGCTTGCTATTGTCTTCCATACCTGATGCTTGGTATTTTTTTTAGTTCTACCTCAAGTGAGGTACCAAGCGAGCTGTGCCATTACCAAAACGTGACGTACAGTAGTCAACATTCAAAGTAAATCAAAAATGTTTTTTTAGAATTGTCCTAGGACAAGAATGCGTGTTGTTCAATAGTTTTAGGACAACTTTGAGGAAAAGGGATGATCCACTTCAAATGCTGACTACTGTATTCACACTGTTAACAAATCCCCTAGTTTTTAGCGATCGCTGAATCCAACGCTACAACGACACAAAAGTTGCAAGTGTTTTGCGATCCTGCTAAATTTTTAATTTAAATAATCACAAAAAATGTAAATTCTCATAAAACATGCAATTCCAAACCATATATAATCAAATTAGATTTATTTCAGTTTGCAATTATTTGTTTTACATACGCACGTTTTGCCTATGCAGCGCACATGATTTATTTTAATGTCTTGTGAAAAATGAGAAAAAACGTCTTTCATTTAGTTTTCACTTTCATTTTTCAGAATCATTACATGAAAGTGGGTAAATTGTTTTGCAGCCTGTGCAGTAGGCAGATGCGGATGAATAGTGAGTCGTTTATATGTGTAGTCAATTTAAGGATGCAATTAGACATCCTGTGGTGCAAATCGAGTGAGTAATACAGCGTTTTATGTTTGATGCGCTTCAGACTGCAAAAGAAAGTGTGAGCAAACATCTAACAAAGAACAATGGAACAGACAGAATAGCAAGCAGCTTAAAATGTTGGATGTTGGTTCAAGGATGACTGCTGCTGGACATGACTGAATTAAAGGACATTATTTGTGCTTTACCTGTATGACTAAGAGGCTATTATGTGCCAAATCAATAAATAATTTCGCTTAACTCTTGCCCTGCCTCTGACGAGAGAAAACGCTTCTTGACATGTTTTACGACAATCCGTGTTTTAGGTGTATTACAGTAAGGGAAGTCCTTACGCGTGTACTGTGTGAGGTACATTATGTCAAATGCTCCAGGGAATGAAATCTGAGAAAGAGAAAGTAAAATCGTACCCTATTAGATCTTGTGTTGACAAAAGACCAAAATAAAGAAGCTTTATTTTTATGATGTATGTCAGATTGCATGCCTAACATAGTAGGCTACCTAAAACGGTAAATAAGAAATCGCATGCACATCTTACCTTTTTATTATATATATATATATACATACACACACACATTTTTTAAATCGCAAAATTGACCGCAAATTTTTGGGAATTACCACCACAATATTAATAATTTTTTGCAGAAAATCGCGAAAAACCTAGGGGTTCTGTGTTAATCACCAATTGGTCGGAGTGAATTGTCACTACCAAAGTCTATTGGATTTGTGACGCGAGGCATCAAACCCTCTATATTGAAATGGTCTGCAGCAGCAGACGCTGCTTAAGAACAGCAATTACAACTATAGCCATATTAAGTGGTACTAAACTGCAATGGAAATGCATAGTGAGCCGAGCAAAACTGAAGCGTTGAGACCATAGACTGTAAAATATATGGACGTAGTATCCGTGACGTCACCCATAGGTTTCTGAACACTGCAAAACAAGCTACAAGTAGGCCTGGCCAACCGTCGCCATTTTATTCGCGCGTCATCATACCCACGGTGGGATACCACACAAAGGAGGCGGGGAGTGAGTGGAGCTAGACACCTGCTGGCATTTTGCTTGGACCTGGCTTAGACAGTCATTACTTCGGGAGAACGCTTAACACTTTATTACCTGCAACTCGTTTGTGTTCTGATCACATGTGCTTGGTTGTATACAATATCAATGAAGTGTTTAGACTTCTAAAAACACTGTTGTTACACATTGAGCCACTAAGCATTGTTCTTATGACGTTTTTCTACGGGAGGAAAGAGCGAATTACTTCCAAACACTTTAAATTTAGTCTGTGTTAGTAAATGCAAGGCTATTGAGGAAATCCAGGCATAAAAACTGTATGACAACGCTTCAGATGACTCTTCTATAGCCTACAGCTAATCAATCTTTCAGATTCTGGAGTGCTTTACAGCTCTAAAGAACATTATAAATTATAAATAGTCTTAAATGAAACAAAAACATTTGTAGAGATGGTTTATAAGTGTATAACTTTACTCACATGGGCAATGGAGGCCACGTGAATGGTTTGTGAGCACAATTAAGTGCACACAGCATCCGATGTCATCTGATAATTGTAAGAAATAAGGCTAAAAGGCGTCTGACTGTGTAAAGCCACATAAAACAACACAAAAATATGACGAATATACCAAGTTCAGTGGCTAATCTGCCGAAGTCAGCTGTGGTGAAGTGACCAGCGAGACCTAGCTGTCACTCAAGTGGCCACGTCCTTAATTATGCAAACTTAATATAACCTAATATAAAGGAAACAAATGATTTATAAAAAAATTACACAGTTGTCATGAAGGGTAATATTAGCTATATGAACCAAAATCGTTCTTTGTAGCAGGCTGTAAACACCTTTTTTCTGCTGTAAAGTTGACCATTCTAAAAGTGGGCTCAATTAAAATTTGCTTCATATGGAGCCAGGACTAGCTGAATTTCGATGAATTGCAGTTTCAGCTACTTCTGTATTGGCTTCCCGAGGGAGAGCGGGAGGTTGCCTCTTGGTTGAGACATGATGAACCATACAACCATACTGTGCAGTCATAAAAATAGCTAAAATACACCAATACAACTCTTAAAAAGAATCAATTATCAATGTATAGGTCAATTTATTTGTAATTAGCAAGGCACTGATCTTGATTTTAATTGGAATATCTGCAGAGTTTTTAAAATGATAGACATCTACTCCACTGTAAACACAATCTGCCAAAAGAGACTGCATATATTTGCTTTAGCAAGTACTGCTTAAATATAGATTAATGACTCTGTTTTTCTGGCCAGTCAATTGGTGCCTCTATAATTTTCACCAATTGGATGCATCATGCTGAACCAAAGTACACATTTGCATTTAAAATTGAGCCTATGCATTTCCTCGGTGGTGTATATATTATTCACTAACTGTGTGTTTGTTCGTTTCTCAGGCAAAGAACCGAGAACTGTTGAAACAGGTTGCTGCTCTCTCAAAAGGCAAGAAGTTTGACCGCAGCGGCAGCTCTCTGCTGTTACCATAGCAATGACCTCACGCCATAGCAATGGCCCCTTACCCTAATGTGTCATTACTGTGAGGAAGCTTCACCCTCCCTCGCTCACACATAATCTGTGTGTTGTGTTTTATTATTCCGATGATGTCACATATGCAAATCTCTCAAGTTATTATTGTTTTTTTTTTCCTTTGGCTGTTTTAGTAACCTTTCATATTTACAGAACAGACATGACTGTATAGAGCCATTTCAGGAGCCCTGGCTGATTCCAGCCTCAGATCTCATATGCAAAATGTTTTAGAGTTTCTGAAAACTGACAAAAAGAAGCAGAGGTGCTGTCAACAAATGTATGGAAATATTATGAATTGAACGTGTTGGATATGCTGAACAGTTTTATATATGCTCAGTTCATCTCTCTTTCTATGTCTTAACTCTATTTCTCTCTCTCTCTTTCTCTCAATCTGAATCATGGAAAGACTGTATTACTGCATGTCTTACTGCCTGGTCAACCATGTGGTTTTGTATATTAACTGATTGCTCTGTTTTGTTTGGCTTTGTATTAGTGATATTTCAGAGATGAATTCTGCAGGCCTGTATGAGACACTGCTGTTTTAGTGAGTGAGGCTCTTTTATGTCCCCCATGCATTCTCATCTTTTTACTGTCGGACACTTTTGTACTTTTTTTTTCTTCTGCAACACAGACGTTTCAGGAATATTAAAGCTTGTAAAAACCTTTAAAAACTA